GTCCGAGAAGCACAAAATAGTGGCCCGGCTCGTCACCGTGCACGATCGCATCAATAGCATCCTGCTCGCGTCTCCGCAAAAGCTGTGCAGGGGCATCCAGCTCCGGCGCTTCATCCACCGCCTCGTCCTCCAGTCTCGGGGCGGTGCCGCTCTTGGGTCGGCTCTGGTACGTCGCCAGCTCCAGCGCTGGATCGTACCCCGGCGCGAACGCGTCCTCGATCTGCAACCGCGCGTCGTCAGAACACAGCAGCACGGCACAGCACACAGCTTCGACACGGGGGCAGCGCGCACCTTGCGTAGGACGTTCCACTTGTACCACTTCATATACCCGACACCGCCCACGAAGACCAGTCCGAGACCCACGACAGTGGTGAGCGCGGCATCGCGCAACGAATTTCCGCCGAACGCAGGGCTACCGGGAATCGAGAACGGCGATGGAGTGAATGCAGCGCTTGAGTCGATGCTCTCCGCCGTTCCGCTGGTCGAGACAGGAGGCGGTTTGGCTGCCCAGACTTTACGGGCCTTTCGAGATGGCTGGGGAGCTGGGCGCGCCGCTGAAGAAGGTGATGGTGTTTTCGAAGAGTAATAGCGTGTGGCACGCGTGCGATCGGGCACGCGACCAGGCGTCGCGTGCCGGATATTTGCACATAAGGTAGTGGAATTACTATACAAAGAGCGTCGGGTTCGCAGAAACGAGGTAGAAGACATAACGGAGAGTGTGTTGCAAGTGCAAGCTCGCAGCAGGAGCTGGGGGCGAAGCACGTGTGCCAAGCCCACCGTCGCCAACAGCGGTGCGGGTTTCGCACTATGCGGATGTTGCACAGGATCAGTAGGTGTATTCGCGAGATTAGATGGCGAATCTAATGTGGGTCCCTGGAATTACAGTTTTACGACAACAACATAAAAGCCCGCAACTCAATACAGATAAAGATAATACACGTCCTTCATCCTGCGCTGGAATTCTGTATTCGATCATTCACGCGCTGACGATGCAGTCTGTTGGTCAGGTGCAACTCGTAGTTCTCCAGCGTCTCGCCGGGACCCGTGATGTATATCTGCTGAGGTTGAATAGACAGTTCAAACGAGAATTTCTTATGGAAAACCCACCTTGCCAGGACAGTCCAGGCACTTGACGCGCCACTCCCAGGCCGTGGGACTGGCTTTCGGAAGAACATCAAACCTGTCGTTCTCCCATTTCGCCTGAGTAACTTGCATCGCCTGGACGAGCCACTGAGGAGGCTGCATTCTCATGTAAGTCCAGGGAGTTGTTCAGAAATTAGTCACATGCCTTTGTTGGTCTAGGAGGAAGCTGGCTGAGATCTATTTGAGGTCGGGGAGAGATGTTGACAGTCGGTGGTGGCGGTGCGGGGGATGGAGCGGGTATTTCCGGCGGTGTCGAGAGCGTAGTGGGTGAGGCTGCTGCTGGCTGAGACCGCTTGATCTTGATCCTCTGTGCCAAGGGAGCCTCAGAGGAGGTCGACGCGGTCGACGCCGGTGAGACGTCCCGTACAGGAGACTGACGCGAAACTATTTCTGGGGCAACACTGCTTGCTGCAGGACGTCGCTTTCGCTTTGCCTGGTCGGCTTCCTTCTTCAGAAGGTTGGCGTGATAGTCATAGCTCGGGTTATAGTCAAACGGCCGCGGCCGGCGGAAACGATGCCAGTATTTTCCTGTGAAGATAAGGTCGTGAGAACAGAAGCGACGGCTTGATTCCACACATACCACAGGCTCCACATTGGGATTTATCCCCGAGGGGGCCCTTTCTCCGGCCAATGGCGATGCTGTCTGGACATCCACAATTGGAGCAATGCCAGATACCGTCGATCATATTCTCATGCTGTCCTTCGGCAAATTCCCGTTCCTTGGCTTCTCGCTCCAGTTCCTTGGCCCGTTTGGCTGTGACTGGTCTGGGGGCCCGCGGATAACTCGCGGTTACAATCGGTGCCGGGGGTGGATCATTCTCCAGAGGAACGGGGAGTTTAGTCACATCAGCTCCAGTGGACGGTATCGGCGCAGGGACACGAGCTCGGGCCCGCAGAATCGACTTGTCCAACTGCGGGGGTTTGAAAAACCCTTTCACCGACTTGGGCTTGACGACGAGCGGTGGCGGCGCCGGCAAGGATGGCAAGGATGGCGTGAAGCTGGTGCGAGATTCTCCATTCTCAGACGCAACGAGATTGGCAATCGTGAGAGAGGCAGCTGCCGCTGCCGCACGCCGAGAGACTGGCGCGTGGACAGCCACAGCCGCAGCGACGACCGCAGGGTCTGGCTCGGGGAACCCGATGGCCGGCGTGCGGCAGGTGCGAATTGGCTCCCGATCAGGTAGAGGCACACCGCGTCGTCCGCCACGATTTCGCTTCTTGCGTTTGTTCATATCTTTTTCTCGCTCTTTGTCGTTACGTTCGAGTTCGCCGTCGCTGAGGTAGTTGAGGAGTGGGGTAAACGCTTGGACCTGGTCCATCGATCGAGCACCCGAAGCAAGGCTGGGCAGAAAGGCATATCGCAGTTCCTCGTCCTGCACAGCGGTCCCATCCATCGGGTGACCGACCAGAAATAGCGACTTCTGATGGGCGACCACTTGCTCGCGAATAAGATGTGCAATCGCAGTGCTGCAAGGATCAGATCCAGTCTAGCTAATCGCAGCCAACAAAAGGTACTCACCGGAATTCCCCACTCAAACCGAGATCTTGCGTGTAGATTCGAGCAAACTCCTCCGGCGACGCATCTGCGTTATCGAGGTCCCATTCGAATTGGTCGTCGAGCTTCATCGAGCCTACCGTCACGTCCAGCTAGTCCACGTTAACATGATTCAGAAAGAAGCACACGATTCTTACTCGAATCAAAATACGCAAGTCTTGGTGTTCAGCATTGGAATCCACGAGAAACTCGTCCAGGGACATGGCCCGATCGTCTTCAGACTCTTTCTTGACAAGCCTCGGGCGTTTACGGGCTTTGGCGTGGGATTCCGGTCTCAGCCGCTTGCGCCAGCCTGCCCACCATTCTGCGCTGTCTCCTTCAAGTAGGCCAGCCCCAGGCCTGGAGTCAGGTAAAAATCGGTCAACGGCCACCGAATGCGCGCGATAGTCGCTAAGCTGGTCTTCAATGGACTTGACGATGACCCCATGATAGGCAGCAGGCAAACTGTAGTCTTCGATCACAGTTTGTGCGAAATCCGCCAAGGCGATAGATGCTGCGCAATTCCTTAGCAAGCGAAAATCAAGCGACAAGTAGAGTGTACCATTAAGGTCCCAAACAAAGGTGTCCCGGATTTTCTGGTGCTCAACATCAAACTCGACGCGGATGGGAACTAGTTCTTCTTCCCGCGCTGCCTGCTCGGAGCTCGGTTTCCCAGGTCTGAAGATGCGTCATTCAAGCGATTGAAAAAGCAAGACAGCCGACAAACATCTTGAGACCCTCACGCTTGGGCTTCCTGCGTGACTCTTCGCGATCACGTTTGCGATGTGGATATCGCACGTCAAACTTTTCACGACCGACAAGAAACTTGCTGTTGTTGGTCGCAAGTGATCCACGGTCCCACCAAGGGATATTGGGTCCATTAAGTGCATCCCGAGACTCGGCTGACACCCTCTCCGTCATGTCCCGCACAACGGCCTCATATCGCGTATCGATTTCCATCCAAGATTTGACATCTTTGATCTCGGTAGCCTCCAGCGCAGGAATTGTTTCGCGTGAAGTGGAGAGAGGAACGACAGTGACGCGCGTAATATTCGGATTGAGGTTCACTGAGGCTGGGAGCGATGGTAGTGGTACATTCGAGGACGTTACTTGAGCTGGAGTAGACGCGCTGGTCACAGAGCCGGAAACAGGCAACGCTGGAGTGGCCTTGACTGGCGAGCTTATGCGTTGTACCTTCGCAAATGTCTGAGGCTGCCCAGATGCAGAGAGAAGACTATTGGATTCGGGGGTGGACCCTGACGAGTTCGAACGAAGGACCGAAGGTGATGGATCCCCCGAGGGCAGTCGAGAAGGAAAAGATGGCGAGGGTTGATGCGTGTTCTGTACTGTCGTCCCAAAATGTGGAACGACCGCACTCTTTGCTGGCTGGAAATTGTTGGGCTGTGGCGAAGTTTGTGCACCTTCTGCTTCCAGCGCGCCCATGTTCATGCCTCCAACGCTTCCGTTGCCCATCCCCGTCGCTGCGCTCCCATGCCCTGGTCTGTTGAAAGCGCTCTGCTCGGTGGTATGGTGCTGTTGAGCAGCTTGTGCTTGAGAAGCAGCTTGTGCATGCTGTCGAAAGACAACCATCGCATTTCTGAGAGCAGCAGTGCGCTCCGGCGGATTCATGGCAGCGATCTGTTCACGAGTGATGCCTGAGTTCATCATTATCTGCACCAGTTGCGCTTGCATTTGTTGCTGTTGGGCTAGGGAATGAAGGGGCGCGCCTGACGCCGTGTGCGGGAAGGCGTTCGCGCCTCCAGATGGCATCGTCGCGTTCGGTGGCGCGGAGAGAGCGGCAGGATTCATCGCGGCGCCATTCGACATCGGCATGTGTTGCTGGTTAGAGGGCGGCTGCTGCATACCACCCATCCCATTGAGAAGCTGGGCGGGACTGACAGCTCCACCGAAAGAGGGCTGTTGTGGTTGGGGCTGTTGATTGAAGCCGGCCAGCATCGCCGGATTGATACCCTGGTGTGGGTGCTGGTTGATTGTGTTCTGTGACGCGAACGGGAGCGCGCCCATGTATGCGCCACCTGAACCCGGATTCATGGCCGACTGTGGGGTAAGAAGGCATAAGGGCGGTGTATGTAATGGGGGGGCGAGTGAGCTTACGTGGAGGGCGAAGCCTCAGAGCGAGACTTATGTGATGGTATTTTTGGGCGGGACTGGACCTCGCGCAGGCACGGGCTTGGAAAATTCCGGCTTCCGCGTCTCTGCCGGAGCGAGCAAGCAAAGCAGCACACGGGGTGACAAGCAAACCAACGATCCGTGACAGCACAGCCCGCCAAATCGTCGTCACGTCATCACATATTATGGGGAGCAGCTCAGAGCTCTCGGCACCTTTACGCATTCTCCCATGCTCAGAAATTCTTGTCAACACAATGTTTATACATCTATACATTCTCTTCTCTCTGCATTATATCCCCGCTATCATTCTTCTAGAACCGTTCGCCTCATCAAAGGGAGCTGCCCAACCTAGATTCCAAAACATATGATTATTAGCACCGGCGTTACTGATTAATGGATTATTTGGAAGCAGGCGGAGTGGAGAGATATGGAATAGCAAATGCAGCCACCAAGACGATGGCAGCCAGTGTCAAGGCTGTTGCGTACGAGGTCGACTCCCCAGAGGAAGATTTTGGTTTTGATTTTGGAGACGGCTCTTGGATATACGACGGAGTCAGGATGAGCTGAACGTACCCAATGGACTTGAAACCCTGAATGCTGCGAGACGGCATCAGGACAAGCAAGACATAACACAAAGGCCACTTACTAGTATCCCTCGAGATTGTGTTTGATCTCCTCGGACATGCCTGTGGGGACCCCATCCAGCTCGAATGTCACTGTCGTCGAGTCCGATCCTTGCTTCAAACTTGTGGTGAGTGTCGCAAAGTGACCTGCAGCGAGGCATTAGACATTGCTATGATCGTCTCCTCGTCTATATCACCTGTCGGCCACGAGGGACTGGCGAGCGCCCAAGTTTGCACAATCTCAGATGGAGCAGTCAGTGAAACATATTTGCCCTTGACCCCACCACCGAATAGAGAGTATTCCGTGTCCGCCTTGGCAGCAGACTGCGTTCAAACGTGAATCCCGGCGCGAGAACACGACCAACAAACACGCACCACCGCAGGAGCACGAGTCCACGTCGGGATACGATTCTGATCCGTCAACAGACTGAACAGATCGTCCGCGGCGGCCATGAACGTCGACTCCAGATTGATTTTGGTTGTGTTGATCTTGCTCTTCTTTTCAACAGGTTTCGGCGCTGGGGCAGCAGCTGGCACAGCAGATTTAGCAGGAGCAGAACCAGAACCAGAGGAAGCAAGCGGTGTTGCACTCCGGCTGGGATCCGCGCTGACTGTCAGGTCCTTGCCGTGCGTGTCGACCAGAACAACGACGAATTCAGAAAACTTCGACTCGAGGGCAGAGGGCAACCGAGATTTGGCCAAGGCAAACACGGAGTCGACTGCAGGAGAAGATGGCGTGGTCAAGGTCCAGTTGTACTAGATTGCGATATGAGATCGTTTCATCTCCCGGAATCCAGAGACTCACCACGTAGTCGGACAGCCTGTCCACGACGATCTCATGAGAAACCTCAGGAATTGTGACGGTCCCTTTCACTTCGGTCCCATCCTCAGTAGTTCCTGCCCATTCGCAAACCACCTTGCAGTCAAAAATAGTGATCAATCTGGGAACAACTGAATCACTGTGAGCCGAGCATTGAACAAACGCTCACTTTGATTTTCTCTGTCCAAGTTCGACATCCCCGTCGAAATCGGTCACACTGGAGATGGAAACGACTTGAGAGCCTTTGCCAGCAATGTTGATGGTGGTCAATTCGCTTTCAAACCACTCCTTGCCCCAACGCGTCACATTTTTGTTTTTCCAGTGCCAATTGGCAGTCGAAGAAGGGAGAGGCGCAGGGACAGACATCGAAGGGAAAAGGCTCAGAAACCAAGGAGAATGAAAGTCAGAAGCAAGTTCGCGAATGTCACAAACACAGGACAACTGAAATTTGCTGGAAGGTTCCTCGTACATTCCAAATCTTTCCTGTACTACAAACAGCTATACAAATCAAGATCTACATCGTTGGCCTTCGAACCAGACGGTGACTGAAATCATTGTGCAGCCAAGCGCGCTTGTCATGACGCGTCAGTCGCGTGATTACCCAGTGTGCATAGACCTGTGTCGAAGCACAAGCACGGAAGCATTTGGTATCAGCGCACGCATGGGAAATGTGGGAAACGTAAGTCAACGACACCATTGCTTAAACAGCTACTTTGGGCTTGCTCTTCTTAACGATGATGCCTAACGATTTCTTCTTGACCTCGACTTTGGGCTTCTTGGCTGCATGCACTGCTGCCGCTTTCGAGGCGATTAACGTTCGCGCCGAGTCTGGAAGCAAGCTATGCAGGGACGGCTCGATGTCATCAGCTTTGCGCTTGACAGTGATCGTCGGTGCGGGCGCTTCCTCCGTATTGTCTTGTTCGATCGGTAGCTTCGAGCTGCCAGCGACGGGTATCCTGGCGAAGACTTCCCGCACCGCTTTCTCGTCCTCCTCCTCAATCCGTTTCTTCTCCAGAACCTCTTCGTTCTCGAGTTCTTCGACGTCTATCCGAGCGAGAAGATCCACGGTGGACGTGTTCCCCATGCGCTCATTGCGTGCATTTCGTGCTCGGATATCCTGCAACGCATCGAGGATGTCCATTTCCCTCTTCGAATCGGTCGTTCGGTTCTCCAGCACTTTCATAGGGTTGTTCTCCTCCTCTTCAAGTTTGGCGAGACGGTCGATCTCCTCTCCTTCAGCCTCTTCTCTCCATGGCTCGAAATTCCTGGAGGCGCCGTGTTCTGCCGTATAGTCGGTGTTCTTGGGATCCGTTTTAAAAGTGATCTCCGCAGAGCAGAGAGTGCTGAAAATGAGAATCAGAATGGACCGCATTGTCCTGTGATAGCCTTACGCACCATTTGATATAGAAACGAAAGATCTTGATACCGTAGTAATCCTCCCCGTCCACTGTCTCCTTCCTTGCGTTGAACTTCTTCCCTTTGTAGATATACTCGCCGCATGTGTTGCATCGCCTAGGAGAAGATGAGCAGGTTTAATATCAATGAATGCCTGGATGTTTACATGGAGAAAGGTGCCATGAGACGAACGACTTGTTGAGAGTTCTTGGGCCCTCTTCGCCTGGGAATGAGGTCCGGGTCGAAGTCCGGCGGGAAATACTTGTTGAGGACTAGAGAACCCTGAGCATTTGTTGCGTATTGACATGGAAATCCGCACCTTTACGCTCAGCCATACTGTATCACCGGCTGGTGGGAGGTTTCAGTAAGTGGTTATAGGCAAGGATTACACTAGGCGGACATGTGACCGACATATTTGTCACCTGACTGAAAGCATACCATTCTCGGCCGCTTGATGTTCAAGTATCTGATTCTCTCATCATGGCTAGATTCCAGGAAGGATATTTCACAGTCGGTACTCATGAATCATGACTTGAATTTTCCTCTACTGAGCTGTTCAGAAGTGATCCTTGCCGCTCGCCGTTGCCGAGGTCCTCTGCGTTGCAACAACTTGAATCCTGACAACGATAATTTTGGATCTGGATGGGTTTGGATCTTTTAAATTCTCAAAAAAACCATATGTTTATGGCTTCCTAGAAATATCTCGTCAAAGTTGTATCGTGTTCATTCGACGCGACACATTCTGGCTGGTTCTGAGCTGATACGACATATCTGTAGTGGTCCGGATATCCAGACGCCGATAATTCGTCAGCTCATGAGTTATGAAATCTGGGCCTGTTGCTCACTTTCAATGCAGATGGGAGCCACATGATGCGTTCCGTCGCTGCCAGAGCGAGATCGTCGCCTTTTGGGATGAAGTCGGACGAGAGTTCTTGAACGCAGGTTGCACCAATTCCGACTTGTGGGATTTCGAACTGAGACCCAGAAAGGAATGGATAGGTAGATTTTCGTCTCGTCTGTCATATGCCAGCCCAGATCCTGACTGGCCTCTTGTACAGAGAAACAGCAGTCACTAACAAGCAGTCCACAACTTTAACTGTCAATACCCAACTAAAATCTGTATCTGAACATTGTAACGATTTCCGTCACGGTAGAGCATAAATACTTGAACTCATACAACTGAACGATCATGCACGTCTTCATTGGAATGAACACCTGCCAGACTAGTTGCCAGACTAGTTGTTTTGCTGCTTCCCGAGAGGAGCTACCGTAACCAGCTACGCACCGAAGCCTAAGACCCATCCCCGGTCAGACTCGCTAGAGCCGTTCCTGCGATGTCGTGTCGTGGAGGGCATCATGAACTGAGGTAACGGTGCAAGAACGGTATTTATCAGCGATACAGTCCTGAATGGGCGTTGGACACATAATCTTCTAGATACCACTAGTCGTCGAGAATCTTCGGTCAAGAGACTTCTTCGTCCTCGGCAAGTGCGTAACCGGCCCAGACCACCTCTGAGCAGCTTGAGCATCCGATCAGGTGCTGCCCCCTATCCATCTCTTCCGATGATATCCTATACGCGCCTCCGCATCGACAAGCATACACCCATCTGTCCAGATCGGCATCCTCCTCGAAATCTTCCAGTGACACGACCTGGGCAGGCCGCGGAACGGATTTGGAACCGGCTTTGGTCTCGTGGAGAGACGAATCGTGTTTCAGGCGAAGCTCGGGGTCAGCCAAAGTTTTGTAAGCTTTCTGAATGAGTCCGATCTCAGGGAGGTGGTCGCCTGCTTGCGGCCGGCGCTTGTCTGGATGCGATGCAAGAAGGGCCCGATGGTATGCACTTTTTATCTCGGAGCTGGTGGATCGGGCATCGACGTCCAGGACTGCATAGTAGTCGACTGGCTTTGCGAACTCCAGGACTGGAACCAGGCAGAAGACAGGGTGATATGATATTAGAAAGCAAGTCGATTTTCGGATCCGGAAGCCGTGACGGTCCCGATCAATCAGGAGGTGGGCTTGCTGGGGTTAGGGCTCCACGGTCATAGCGCCGAGATTGAGCTGCTCGGAAACCCAACAATCCATAGACTGGAGGATCGATTTTTGAAGGTCAAAAGGGCTTCACTCAATGCAGGCCGGAGTGGGTTCTCGCTGTTGGTTTCATACTTTAAAGTACCTTTGAAAATCAACTTCATAATGAGTCAGCGTGATCTTGCTGTACAGTTAACACACGTGATCCGTGTCTCGAAAAGGATATCCAAAACTACCTCAAGAGCCACCGACGGGCACGACACAGACGACAGACAATGGGATCGACTAGGTGCGTAGTCGCTGTGGTGGCTATTGGGCACATCCGAGTCTCCCGGGACAAGATGGGACAGGCCGCGTCAGCTTTCTTTGGAATCGCTAACGTTCTCGTGCAGACTATACACCAAGGGCCGTGTTCTCGGTCACAAGCGGGCAAAGCGCAACAGCAGCCCCAACACCTCTCTCCTGCAGATCGAGGGCGTGGCAAACAAGGAGGAGACGCAGTTCTACCTTGGAAAGCGGGTCGCCTATGTGTACAAGGCGAAGCGTGAAATTCAGGGCTCAAAAATCCGTGTCATCTGGGGGTCCGTTGGTGGTTTCTTCTATCGTCGACTGGATGCTCATGGTTATAGACGTGTGACGCGGCCACACGGTAACTCGGGTGTCGTCAAGTCTAAATTCCGCTCCAACCTCCCTCCTCGTGCATTCGGCGCCAGCGTCCGCATTGTGCGTGCTTCTTCTCCAGCTTCCATCCTGTTCTCACTCTGCGCAGATGCTCTACCCGTCGAACATTTGAGTCGATATGCCCTGTCCTTCGTATTGCAATATGACTCGCATGCCCTAAAATGTATACACTTATGCTTCAATGTGCGCTTGCGGCAGGCTGTTTCATTCCACTCTACTCTACACTTCAAGGATCTAGCGTGCCACCTTTGCTGTCGTCTTCAAACTTGAACTTGGCGACGGTGCTCAACTCGACCTGAATCTAAGATCAGAACTTTGCTTGGATGGTTCTCCGCCATTCCATACCCCATTGCAATCCCTACCGTCCACACAGTCTAACACGACATACCGCCGATAGTTGTTTAAGAACACTGGTTGAAGCTGCGCTCTTTGCAAGTCATGTACGACATCTTGCCTTGCAGTACTCGCAATGTCCTCAGTGGCTACTTCGCCATACAATCTGTGGAAGGCAGTAAGGCAGTGGTCACGAATGGCTGCCACGGTACGTGGTCTGGACAGCAAGTGGTCGTTGATCCATTGTTGTCCCTCGGCCTTATCATACGTGTTCCAGGCTACCTTGGGTGTGTTCATAAGGGCAATTTTGCCCATCTCGACCATGGCAAGCAGCTTGTCTTCAACGTCTCTGAATTGAACTGTCGTGAGTGTTACGTGGTGCGAGTGCCTCTTGAACGAACCCTGGAACGATTTCAGACTTTTCTCGCTCATGTAGCAGGACCAGGGCCATGCCCAGCGCCTCTGGCAGAACATAGCAGGCCCAGAGTGGATGAGAATACGTATCGCTGATGAGGCTGAGGATCCCCCAGGGATTGCGGGCGCAGGCTTCTCCTGTGACAGTGAATATCCCCCCTAATGATTTGTCAGATGGGCTCGAGGGCTGCTTGGTTCAAGTACCGAACGGATAAATCTCCCGAATTCCCCACTGGGCCATAGGAACGGTTTCATCGCTGCCATACAGGAAGAAGGACAGCGCTGAATGTCTGCGGAGCTTCGCTAGATTTGGCAAGTTGGTGGCGACAGTCGCGATCGCGGCGACGTGAACGAAGCAGATGTGCACCGACGTGTGATAGGTGCTGTGTAGAGTGGTGCAACTGTTCAATATTTCACGCATGTGTCGCGTGTCGAGCTCTCGATGGAACTGAGGCGGGCAGATCATCGCATCGCGTCCAAAGATGTGTTTGCTGACAGTCTGAGGGACTTTCAAGATCCTCAAGCCAAGATGAAGATCAGGCGTGGTGTGCATGGGCACAAGACTTTGCTGAGTGGGTCGAGATTGATCTGCTTTCTTCATGTTCACCGAGTGACAGCCGATGGCTCGTTTGAAGGGAAGCAGTCCCACGATGAGCTGATCGCCAGTCCCGAGCAGGCTTGAGTGTACTCCGAGACATGTGCTCAGAACTGTCGAGCGGGATGGAAAGACGCAAAGATATCCGACAACAAGTTCTCCGTCTAGAACAGCCGGCTCGAGCGCAGACTGTCACTGGTCAGAACGGACTGGAGAGAGCAAACTGAGCTGCCAACCTGTTGTTTCTTTATCATATATCTGCAAAATGCTTGGAAACCGGGGGACATAGGATCTTCGATACGCGCAAATTGAGTGGCAGGTTCACAGAGTGTCGATGTCAAGAGCAGAATGTCGTTCATATCATAAAAGGAGTTGAGGACAATGTCTTGCTTGTCCACCACAAAAGAGCCGATGACAAGAGAACGAGCAGGAGGAGGACTTGACTCCACGACCTTCGCATTCAGAGAAATCGAATCTTGTCCGACCAGAATACCTCCAGCCCAGTGCCAACTCCGTAAGCTGGGTGCTGATGCGACCATAGGAGCGGGAGAAACGCTGGCAGCGGTCAGTACATGCTAAAACGGAGCATTGGCGGTATACTTGAAATTCGTGTTTAGGAATTGGGAAGCAAGCTCTTCGTCACTTGGTGATAATTCTTCGTTTAGTACAGTGCTTGCAACTGGGCTTAAGCAGACAGTTCCAGAGATTCGGATTGTTATACTCACTCGTCGAGCAGTTCATCTTGATCTACTGATTGGACGATGTCCACTTCCATGTCGATCGTTCTCCTCCCAGTCATCGAAGGGACGATTTCGATCAACACGCTGCCGCGGTCAGGTGCCGGGCAAGAGAAAGTATCGTTGGTATCGGAAAGTAGGGTAACCGATACTGAGCTACCGGAGGACGAAGCCGGGAACTCTGGAATGAGGCTAGGCATCGGACGTGCTTCACTGTGCTCTGCTTGAGTTCCCACATCATCAGTCGCAGAGATCGGATGGGATTGCGCAGAAGTTTCCCGAGAAATCGCAGGCGCCACCACAGACCTTCCCAGCCGAGTTTTGGTGCTAAGAGCGCTGCCTACAGTGAGCTCGCACTCATAGTATTTGATCCGAGGTGTCGTAGAGTATGTTCGCTTAGGCAATGGAATGCGAGCCGAGGGAATGGCTGGCTCGTTTACAGCGATATCGCTCGTACTGGGAGTGTTTTCTTCAGCGATCGGGTCTGGAGTCTCCCGTGCCGCGATTTTGCTTTGAGATCTGGCCTTTGACTTCTCTAGCGCTTTTAATAGTCGTGCCTCTTCTTCGGCGGCATCGCGTTTGCGCTTGGCTCTGGCTTTTGAAAGTTGATCCCGAATCCAATAAGCCTGCGCGGAGATCTGGGCGTCGGCGGCGTCTGTGTAGAATAGCTCTCGGCCCACGTGCTTCCAGAACTTTCGGATGAGGACTGTGCATTCTTCGGAGAAATTCCCGATAGGTTCCCATCTAAAAAGTTCGTTTGAGATGTGGAACAACACCGGTGTGACGAATGAGACCCACGTGTTGTCGAGGTCGCTGTATCCTTGCCACTGGAGAAACGATCAGATGTGTTTGTTACTGAATACTCAGTATGGCTCTCTTATCTTGACCTTGACCAGGTATTCCTAGGTGCCGTAAGACATGAGCCGCATGGTCATAGAAGAGCCAAGACTCACCCAGGCATCAGATGTGTAGTCAATGCGCTGACCAGACACTCCCTTCCTGAACTTTGGAGGTGAGGAATCGGCATCCACTCTTCGCGCACCGACGACGAGCTCTGCGTTAGCTTATTGTTCAACAGATCTGAGCAAGGTAGCTGCGCGCGCGTCCGTACCTGCACTGTAGACATCGTCTGCATTCCAGTTGAACTGCGTTTTGCGTTTCGCCATTGCACAGAGGCGCCAGAGTGAGGAACCGGTCGGCTGAAGAGGGAGACGTCCACGAGTTCCCTCAGCTCCTCAAATGTATTCATAGACTTAGGGCCGCGATCAGGTCGGTCAGGGTTACCCTGGGAAGTGTGCGGAACCTCATCGATCATCGTGGGGACTGAAACAGAGCCCGCGTGGGCCAGAAATTTAAATGATTGAATCTTGATACCAGAGTCGTTGCTGTGCGGAGACCGAACTCCGGAGAACGGTTGCAGCTCGGCGGAGACATTGAGTTGTGGCGCCTGATCATGCCCAAACAACGTCATAACATTGAACTAATTGTCCCACCGGTCATTCTTTGCCTATTCTTTCTCAATCATGTCTGCGCTGGACGATGCGAAGGCACTCATCCAAGCTAACTCGCGGACGCTGGCGCCCGCTGCAGTATTCTCCCAAATCCTACTTATGAGTGCTGTTTCGGTGAGTTGAGACATTGTCAATCAAAGACATGCATACAACGAAGGCTTTGCGCAGGCGGGCACTATCCTTGCATTCAACGTTTTACGACCCAAGAACAAGGCAAGTTACTTGAGACAGCTTGAAACAACTGCCCTGACGCGGTGCAGATCATCTTTGAGCCCAAAGTCAAGTACCATGTTGGCGACTCCAAACGGCCACCGCGGATGGACGACTCAATCTGCGGCTGGGTGCCTCCACTCATCCACACGAAGGAGCCGGAACTGGTAGACAAAATCGGTCTCGACGCTGCTGCGTTCCTCCGATTCGGCCGTCTCATGCGGTGGCTCTTCACTGCGGTCGCTCTCCTCTCGTGCGGAGTGCTCATCCCCGTCAACGTCATTTACAACCTGAAGAACGTCAAAGCCAAGAATCGCAATATTTTGAGCATGATGACCATCCGAGACGTCTCTGGCAACTTGCTCTTCATCCATGTCGCGGTGACCTACCTCATCACCTTCATCATCATGTACATCGTGTACATGAACTGGGTGCAGATGCTGAGGCTACGGAGGGCTTATTTCCGCTCGCCGGAGTACCTTTCGGCTTTCTTCGCACGGACGCTCGCGATTACGCACGTTCCGAAGAATGCGCAAAGCGACGACGGGATCAAGCAAATTTTTGACTCGGTGCGGGTGCCTTATCCTACCACAAGGCGAGTGCCACATTGCATTACTGTCTATCGACCCACTCACGTCAATTAGTGTGCATATCGGACGAAAGGTGGGGAAACTACCCGAGCTGATACAGTACCACAACGACACTGTTCGCGAATTGGAAACGTATCTTGTGCAATACTTGCATGGCGGCAAGGTCGGGAAGAAACGTCCGACTATTCGTGTGGGAGGAAGTTGTGGGTTTGGAGGAGAGAAGAAAGATGCGATTCAATTTTATACGTGCGTGCCTCTCATGTTGATGGATCTTCTGGTTGAAATCTTTCTACCCCAGAGAGAAGCTGAAGCGTACGGAGGCGGCCATCGAGGATTACCGAGCTCACTTTCACGAACACAAGCCGCACAACTATGGGTTTGCGAGCATGGCTGCGGTGCCATATGCTCACGTGGTCGCCAAGTTTCTCCAGAACAAACATCCCAAGGGAACTGACATCTTCCTGGCCCCGAACCCCAAAGACATCATCTGGGAGAACTTGCACATGTCCAGCGCCGAAGCCGCTCGCAGGAAGATGATGGGCTTCATTTGGCTTGCCGTTGTCTGCTTCATCAACACTGTCCCTTTGTTCGTCATCTCCATTCTGGCTAATCTGGCATCTGTAAGTGTCACATGAAAGAGCCAAATTCACCAAGTTGACGACGCTTTCCAGTTGACCTCTTATGTTGGCTTCCTTGACACTTGGAACCAAAAGTCGAATTGGAGTTTCGTCGTCATTTCGGGTATTCTCCCTCCGGCTGTCTCTGGTCTTTTCGGATTTTTCCTGCCTATCATCATGCGTTCACTTGCCCAGGTGAATTCATTTTGTCGATTTTTGGCTCATCTTCTCACGCGTGATCTTCTCAGTACATGGGTGCAACGACCACGTCAAAGCTGGATCGTGATGTCGTCGCTCGTTACTTCGCCTTCCTGGTCATCAGTCAATTGGTCATCTTCACTTTGATCGGTGTCATCTTCCGTATGCCATCAAGTTTCTAATGTGTTCTGTCCTTTCTAACCTGTTTTCAGAGGCAGTTGAACAAGTTGTCATATCGGTTGGGAAAAAGAGTTTCTTGGACATTCTCAAGAACTTTAGCAGTAAGAAATCGCGCAATTGGTGACCGTATTACGCTCATGGTTTCAGCTCTCCCGGATACCATCAACAGTACCTACAGTACGTCGTCAACTTACTAATCCATAGTCTCAAAGCTGAAGTACCTTTGAGTCAACCAGAGCAGTTACTGGCTCACATTCTTCCCGTGGGTTGATCTCGGTCTTCCAACCCGATTGTCTGACTCTCTCTTAGGTTGAGGGGTTTTCTCGTTCTTTTCGATCTAGCTCAAGTGGTCAATGTCATCTGGATATACATTAAGACCCAGTAAGCCCCATCGCTCTGCTATGCCCAATCGATTCAACTTTTGTTCAGCTTGTTTGGCCGGACTCCTCGGGATATCCGAGAATGGACGCAGCCTCCTGAATTCCAATATGCAATCTACTAGTAAGTGATCTTTGCTTGTCAACATTCTGTCGCTCATTTCCCTCCTCAGCTCCAATCTTGTACGTGTTCTATCTGCACACTGACCTTCTTCCTCACTTGTCACAGCTCTTTATGGGAGCAGTCGGTCTTGTGTTTGCACCATTGGCTCCGCTTGTTGTCCTGGCGGCTGCAGCGGTTCTATGGATGAGCTCGTTTGTTCAGAAGTATCAGCTCATGTTTGTATATATCACAAGAGTGGAAACTGGCGGAGTATGTCGCATGTGTCCCTCCCGCCGATTGCTCATTTCTGATGATTCACAGCGACTATGGAACGTTGTCGTCAATCGCTTGCTGTTCGTGGTGGTACTCATGCAGCTTCTTATGACGCTGAGTACGTGAACATTTCTTCAACCGCATCAGCTCGACCGACGTGACTTTCCAGCGATCGGCCTCCAATTCGGCTTCCGCACGTCTTTCATGTGGGTTTCGACGTTGCCCCCAATCGTCATCATCGCTGGCTTCAAGATTTATCTCAGTCGGACGTTCACGTCCGCCTTCCGATGGTACATTCCCAGCGCGGAGGAGCTGGAAACTGCCAAGATCCATTCTGAACGCGCTGATGCTCGTGCTAACAAGCTGGAAAAACGATTCGGACATCCAGCGCTGCACTCTGATCTGTTCACGCCCATGCTGCACTCTAATATGATGGGGCTGCTGGGTCAGGTCTATTCCGGAAAAATTGCGCGTGATCACGCCAAGCTGGAGGAGTATGGCGGCCAAAAGATGGAGGCCCAACTCGTTGCAGGCATCAAGATTGCTGCCATCGACCAAGTGCGGTTCTTACATTCATCGAAATCCGATCGTACTTATCTTTCGCAGCGCGATCTCGAATTCGATCCCACCCTCTATCGTAAGAATCAAGTCGGAGACGACTGGGATGCCCAGTCAATCGCGTCAACGACCGTCTTTGGTGGCAGCAACGCCTCTCTTGGGCATGCGAAATCGCATTACTACGCCAGCGATGCCAAGTCGCAGCGCGTGCCAGGCTACAACAACTATCTAGCCAATGGACCGGTAACAACAGGGAGTGGCCCAGACATTGAGCTAGCGAGAATGGACTCTATGAACGAGCCCCTGCTGAGCCCCAACACGATGTACTTCAACAACCAGTCTCAGGCATCAGTTGCCTCGCCTCCTTCAATGTACCGAGAGCCAATGGATGCTACGAGCCAGGCGCCATTGTATCGACCCCAAGGCAACTTCTCCCAGCAGTCGTATGACAGCTACAGCCCAGACTCCCAGTACCAGCCTCAGCAACAACAATATCCGCCGCAGCAATTCCACCGGCAGGATTCGTCCTACTCGTTCCGGCCCGAATCACCTGGCCAGCAGCACCCTGGACGAATGTCGCCCAGTCCTAGCCGCTTTGCTGCGAGTCCTGCCCCGCAGCGTATGATGACACCAAATCCTCAGCAGCAATGGGGGCCGGATCCCCGGGCCGGCACTCCCAATCCAAATAACATGGCAGGGCGAGGGACTTCAAACTTCCGAGGCTAGAGTCGGACTATAGTTATAGCATATTCTACATCTGTATACCATCTATTGTAACTAACATCTCAGTGCTGCCATCGTGACCAGTCAGCCGCTCATCAGCATTGTCAAGGCGCGCACTACTTCACCGATGCCCTGGCGGACAAGCTCCTGGTCTGATTCCCGTATGCGATTCATATACCTGCCCTCAAATTTGTCGGGATGAAAGCGCAGGAAGGTTTCTCGCAATCGCTCCTTACGCATCTTCTGTTCTTGGTCCAGAGATGATAAGAGAAAGGTCTGAATCGCCTCCACAGTAAGCTTGTCCAATGGATTGTCGTCGGAGAGCTCAAGGCGTGAATTCACGGGCCAAGGGATGTCTTCAAACGTGAGTGCTTTCGCAGAGGACACCAATGTGTTCCATCGAAGCTCATACTCTTCTTGAGCACGGCGTGTCCGACGTCGCTCCCGTTCGAATTGGGCTCGTTGTCGTTCTGCTGCTTCAATTTTCTCTAGCCGATCAGATTCGGCTTTCATTGCTTTCTCGTGTGCGCACCGAGCGTCAATGGCAGCCTGCCGCTGCTGTTGTTCCGCCAGTTCCTGCGCGTGAGATTTCCTGTGCAGATTGGAGCATCGCAAGTGTAGCATGTCACTGCATCGCTCACCTGTACATCCCCGCTCGTATCCACTCTGCGTATTCCTCGTCGTCCATGAGATTCGGGTCCAGGGACGCGATATCATCGTCAATGGGGTGCGAGATGCGCGATCGAGAAGCTCCTGCCTGTCTCCATCGCCCAGGAACATGTGCATAGTCGTTCATGCGTGATTCAAGGGAGTCTAGTCGATCGTCGTCGTCGAAGGCCGAAGCCATCTTTTCGCGGAAACGTGCCTCTTCGACTTCGGCTCGTATCGCATCGTAGTCGGGCTTATGTCGAGAGTCTTCGGCGAAGGTGGAGGGACCTGGACCTGAATCGGGCTCTGTTGCAGGATGAGGTCCGTAGAGTTCACCCTCTGAATCGCTTGAGCCCCATTTGCATTGCGGTTTGTCAGTGGTCGCTGTGGAGCTTTGGCTGTTTTTCTTATGTTCGCGCCGTTCGCGCCTGAGCCGTTTACGGATCCTGTGCTCTGCTTCCTCTTGAGCTGTTCGTTTGAGATGGAGTTTGGGCATGGGTGAGGACGAAGAACGAGTCAAGCCAGTTGTGGGAGTCTGGTAAATGGCGATCTTCCTTTTCGAGCTGTTGCTTGATCCCTGCTTTCATTCATCACCGCGGCCATGGAAAATCATCCCTCTGTAAACGCGACGTAGTCTGAGATGAATGCACAACCTGACTCCTTCTAGTACGCTGCTCTCTCTGGAATCTTGCCCAAGTATCCACGAGCGGCTGGGTCCATATTCCAAGTCTACAACGATCTTACCCTGTGTACGAGATCTTAGTGTGAACCTCTGCGCTATCTCTCAACCAAAATTCAGCACAAAGATGGACAGATCTATCCATTGTCGAACTCAAGGGGGTGTCTCGTGCCGCCATAACTGGGAAAAGGCCAAACACTGTCCGTGAGCACCCTCCGCGTCCTTGGTCACACTTCGATCGCTCGTACTCCCAGGATGCCGTCTTGAATGTCGTACCATGTTCGCTGGCGGAGACGCTGTCGTTTGAATGGTTCTCTTCCCGCGCGTCTTCGGTCGCAGGGGTGTCTGATATCCCACAGGCTATCGACAGCTTTCGCTGAACTCAGCAATCCGTCTGAAATCTATTTGGGAATCACTTCGGACGATTCGTCCATCGTATACTATAAACTCACGAGCGGTCTCGCAAAACCATCCATCTGATTGTATCTCAAGATCTGGGGTTCACTGTTGTGGAATGCATAGCCTGGTGTGCATGTGTTCATATATCTCATGCAATGCAGTAAGTTGGTATCCAAAAGTAATCAAGAACTCTACAGACAACATGAGGCACAACAAGGTCGGACAGCAAGAATGAAAATATGGGTATCAAGACAGGGTGCACTGTTTACATTGCAAGCAGGCCGCCAAGAGCTACGAGGGAAGCCGTCACGAAGATGGGGACCTGAAGGTTGGTACCGCTGGATGGATGAGTGTTGGAACCAGAGGAGCCAGAGCTAGAATTTGAGCCAGAGCCGCCACTGCTGCTGTCGGTGGAAGTCGGTGCAGCCGATGCAACCGAGGAGGGATGAGAGCCGTTGAGCCGACGGGCATTTCGCTAAAGGTCATTCAGTGGTAGTCTCAAAACAAGGGACGCTCGACACACCACAAAAGCATCGTAAGGTTGCCAAGTCTTTGTCACGTTCCCGGCGTTGATAACACCGACGCCCCCAATGGCGCAAGTATTTTCGTCATAGAACCAAAGAGTCGAGTTCACGATGTCGGGATTCATGATGATAATATAGTTGGTGATGGCCGTGCCGTTGTTTGTAGGGCGAAGTCCAGTGTCGAATCCATTTATCGTGACATTTGTGATATGGGCCGGCACGCAGGGAGACGCAAAAGTCGACTGAGTAGCAGAGTGGTTGCCCTGGGTGACTGTTTCGAGCGATCAGACGTCGAAAGAAAAGAGACATCCATCATACAGTTGAAGAGAACGGTTTCACCCAGAGATGCGTTGACCACGTTCTACGACGGACGATAAGGTCACACCGCTCTGTATGGATAAGAAAGAGACAAACTGGAGTAAAGACAGCAGATCCGTCTGTCGCACTGTGGTTGTTGGAAACCGTAATAACATGCGTAATCTGAGCCGGGGAAAGCGAGGTGGACGATTGGGCGACCACGCCAGTGGTGAGGAGCAAGACGGCAGAGAGCAGAGAGACGAGTTGGAACATTGCTAAAGGAGCGGTGGTACAACGGACGTGCTAAGTGAGCGTGGAAGACAACAAGTACAGTTCTGCAGTGTGGGCATTTTTTCATGATTGGGCGATAGGACCTTAGAACTGACACGCGATTGACGTCACAGAAGCGGAAGCTTTACGCACCCGGTTGAAGGGGTGCACTGAAGAATTTTTCACGAGTCCCTGAGACGCATAGGGTCTCATCTCTGGTGTGCCGAACGTTTCGAATGTCCCGTTCAGAGATAAGCGGAAAGGATGAATTATCTGCCATCCATCGAAAGTCCAGATTGAGACACGCAACTGATGGCACGTGCTCTTGTGACACAGCGTGTTCGTTACATGTCCCAGGCGAGCCATTAAACCGTATTGACCCACCACTGTCGCGCAACACGTGACACATTTGGTCAGGTGTTTGATGACTCTCGCCTTCAATTTTCGTTGTCAAGTCCCACGTAAATGTACACCAGCCACTGTCTATGAATTGCATGTGTTGCTTCAAAGGAGACACCAGCGTTGATATTCTGGGACACTGGCTTGAAAATGTGTGTGTGATAGTAAACGGGACAAAGCTCAGGGATCTGAGCTTTCCGACTTGGAATAACTAGCCTGTGGGTGGGAGTGAGCGACGAATACCCGGGATCTTAGTAGTCCGAACAATGCATCATGTGAGTACTGGATACTGAAGAATACCTATGTGATGGGTAGAGTGTATATAACAGACGAGCACTTTTTGTGATCAAGGTCTACCCGACATGTGAGTAATCAAATTCTGACATTAATTGGCTACATCTATTGTACATTGGCCTTCAGTCCAAAATCAAGTGCATGGCCAGTGGCTGGTGTACATTTACGTGGGACTTGATGACGAAAATTGAAGGCGAGAGTCATCAAACACCTTTACAGTGCAGGACGGGACATGGGTACCTAGGCGAGTTCTACCAACGCTTCAATATTCCCGAGGACGTTGACTGCCCATGCGGAGAGCCAATCCAAACACGAGATCATGTCCTACGATGGTGCCCACTGTACAACGAACACCGACCCGTCATCCGCGCGACATCAGCTAACTTTTACGAAGAAATAATCCTTGGCACGAAAGAGGGCATCGTCGCTTTGGCCCAGTTCCTGAAAGATTCAGGAGCCTTCACCCGAAGCGGACGCCCATGGAAGGACTGCGACCTCCCCACACTCATCAACGAACCGGACCCAGAAATCTCGGAAGACGAAGAAGACGAGAACGGATAGTTCTTAACGACGTGGCCCCGACCGGCTATGGCCAAGCCCACCCCCTCATCCCTCCTCCATCCTATATGCACATGCATCATTACGACGCGCTGGAAACCCCCGCACCGACAACGCCACTCTCGGCCTCGCAAACCCAAAAGCTCTCACCCAAGGAGACCAACACCAACAGTAAACATCCTCATACTTGCGTTCACCTCCCCGCTGCCTTCGGGCACCGCGTCTTAGTACTTAGATACTTGCTGCGGAATACAAATGCAGAATCAAACAAACAATCATCAAACACCTGACCAAATGTGTCACGTGTTGCGCGACGGTGGTGGGTCAATACGGTTTAATAGGCGAGCCTGTTACCCTTTTGTCTCGTGCATCGTTTTCCAAACCTCAGGCTTATGTATGGGCGAAATCAAAGAAACACCTGGTACCCATGTTGTCTAAATCCACTCGTTGTCTTGACGATGGACGACATGGGTCCCTTGGTTCCAATACCACCCATGTCAATGACTCAATCAACATGCATCGTGTTCTCAAACTCAAGACAAAGGCTTCTATTGGCAATCCTCAAATGTATCTACGCGCGCGGAAAGCTCTCTTTGTAGCCCAATGACTCTTCGTGTGCTTGGTATATGATCTCAGAGAGGCGACTCGTCCTGTTTGCCTCACGCCCTCTTCACGACTCTCTACGAACTTTGACGACCGACCCGCCCGTCTGGCACGCAGACGAGATGCGTCTATTGCCGCGTAAATCCCCTGGTTCTGATTCACTGAGCTTATGACTGACTTGTCCACAGTTGCCCCTGCGCTGACGCTTAGCATCCTCGCGGTCAACGGCGCACCTGTTCCTTGTCGCAAAAATCTGAATTGGCATATCTGTTATGGTCAGCGCTGATAGGTAGGGCTCAGGCCTTCAGCCTGATGACTGGCTGATCTCCGTAGGAAAGGTTGAATCAGTCGTCATCAGACGTTGATCAGGGAATGGTCAGCAACGCATCAGGTGAGTATCGGACGTCAGTCAGGCGGGAATCAGCGGTTGATCAGAAAACTACCAGGCCCTGGTTTCAGCGGTGAAGACAAAAGGAGAACAGGCTTTCTTCCTTGCTCCATCTTCACTTTTTTACATTCACGTTTGGCACTGCATTTGAACAGGGTATCGCTTCACTTTCACTTGGATATTCAATTAATTTCATTAATTAATGTCACACTGTTATTCAGCCTTAATGATAATAATTTCACTCGATTTACTTCACAGTGGGAATCGAACGCGAGAACATGAACTACTAGACCACTACAGACCACTACACTATGTAGGCGCGTGTTGCACTGTGTGCTCCAGTGCTAAGTGTCGTCGGAGACTTAACACAGCCACTTGCATCATGATGACGCAAACCAGAACGACCCTTCCACTCGCAGCTCGCAGCGTACCAGCATCTTTCTACACAGGACTGTGAAGTTCAACATATCTCTCGACATCTTCCCAACAATATTGCCATTGGAACTTTGCGGTCTGCGCATCGCAACAAGCCGAGACCATATCCTCTGAGGTCCACCTTCGACGCTCAGCTGCAAGGACTCGGATACATTGGCAAGCGTCGCCATCAACGCAAACGAGCGGGCCGCCGGATGCATGTACAATGGGTATCACTCCAGCCGCCTGGCCCTGTGCGTCAGCGCTGCTGACCAAAGCGAAAGAGAAGAGAGAGAAGGCGACGTACCATGAACTCCATAACATTGATCCTGAAGTGTTCATCCAGCACGACCCAGCCAAGCGAGCACCTGCGAGTACGGTGCGTTCAGCACGAATTGCACATGGTTCTGTCCAGAATAGGCATCTGCCGATCATGACCGGCTGCACGCCCCGCGCAGCGTACTCCGGGCGGTTCTGCAGCAGTGAATGCAATGCGCGGAGCTGCATCGGAATCACGCGCTCCCTCCCCGCGAGCGGCAGCCGCGCCATCTCGCGCGTGTCGCATGAGGGGTACACGACGCGCGTGCGTACGGTCGCGGCGGGCCCGAACGGGGGTACGCGAGCACGATGTCGACGTGCCGATTCGTCCAGCCCGAGTTGACCAGCACGGCACTCACGCGGCGCAGCGTGAGCGCGTAAAGCAGCATGAACGCGTGATAGTACGCGCGCTTTGAAGAATCCGAGTGAACGTGTATTGAACACGAACAACGACCTCGTCGCCCTCTGAAGCGTCGACTTCCTGTTGAAGATCGCTCCAACCAATCTTGATTCTCACTGGGTTTTCGGTGCGCCATGGGACTACAGGGACAGTTGAGCTCTGATAGGCTGAAAAAATACAGAGAATGACGAGCTTTTCCGTAACTTCGATGTCCAACTCCGCTAATTCCTCGCCAACAAGTTTCCTGAGATGTACATGAGTGCGGAACTGTCTTTCAAGGCGAGTCCTTCGTCCACGATCGAGATTTGGGTAACTGATAGCAAAACTCAGGTCGAGAAATCCATTATCTGGTCGACACAGTTGATGCGGACATATTTTACGCTCTCTGAATGCGGTACAACATATATGTCATTGATCCGTAGCATTTCCCAAAGACATAGCCTTATTACAACTTATAATACCTGATCCCAAACTGACCAGAGGCTGACTCCCGTCTGAGCATACTTGACAAGATCTTACCGGCCTGACCACCGCCTGAGGATATGTGGTCAGGGTCTGACAACAAGCCGTCAGTTCAAATCAGCCGCATATCGGTCCGTCAGGACTGATCATAAATTAAACATTTTTGCGACACTGCCACTGAGCGCCCTGCAGTTGGCTCGCCTCGAAGGCTTGATCCCATTGAACCGAGGCCTCACATCGATGACTACATGCGTCGCACGTCGGCGGCCTCGCTTCCCCAAGAGACTTCCCCGCCTGCGTCCCCCCTCCAGCCACTAGCACCGAAGGATGACTTGGAATACACTGCCTCCAGACCAGAGGACGAATCTGTTCAGCCCAAGGAACGTGGATGCCGGTACTTTCTGTGTCTGTAAACACCTGTCAAAGGAGGCTCTATCTTCTCACGTCGTTACCTAAGGTGGGTACGATTGCATTCCAATTCTCCCATTCCGATCCGAAATATGCACTGCAGCTACTGCTTTCCAGCGACTGATTTCAAGACTAACTGGACCGGTGGCCTTGATTGTCTCACATGCTGTTCCACATGATCACTCCGTTCCTCTGCCACATCTGGCACAGGATGCCTCTGGACCATTTCTTGAATACACAATCCTCCGTTCCTTTTTTCGTTTCTTCTCGATCATCGCATAGACTCGTATTCTTTGCACTCAATACCAACCGCTACTGCTTGAACAGTCTCAAGTCTTGCCTGGCCGAGAGCTCTCTAGGACTGAGTGTGTTTTAGCGTGTTGATCGTCATCGTACACTCCATAGACTCAATGTCCAGCAAATAGATACCATTTGGCTAGAAACGGGGGGTTCATCAGACTAGAATCCGCCGCGGGTTGACAAACAAGCTGCACAAACAAGCTCTCAAACCTGACGCTCACACCATGTCTCTTATCAGTGACACAGAGTGCGCCAGTTCCAACCTTTTCCGAGCATCAGTCCCAATGAAATTCCGCTAGTTTCCTGATACACAACCTGCGTCTGTCCTATCTACGTAATGTCGAAGACCCGTATGGCGCGAGACTGATCACACTCGCCCCGTCGTACAATTCCAACTCGTATATCATCGCTGCGTCACTGAATGATATCGACCAATGGCCAGAACTCGCAATGCCGAGCAGCCCTCAGCTCAGTGACGACGAACGACCATCAGGCTTTCCTGGCGCTCGAGGACTCAAGTACACCAACACCATTATGGGTGGGCGGACAGGTGGGCTGGGGCTGAGGGTCAACGGGAAGCGTGTCTCGACATCGAAGAGGGTGTCGGGGACGGGGTTCACTCCACGGTCAAGCACGACTATGAGCGGAGAAGGGAGTGCACCGCGGAAATCACTTTCGGAACGGGAGGAAGGCTGGGTCAAGGCGGGTGATATCACCGGTGCTAATGCTGCCCCGGGGAATGGGTCGCCCGAGGTGAGAGTGCGGATCCAGGAGCCAAGCGTCAATGTGGCGGGGGAAGCGCCGGTGGCCAAGGTTGTTCAGTTTATACCGAAGTTCAAGGGCGCCGCAGAGATGGAGAGGAGACGGAAGGCGAGGATGGCTGCACGCAGAGGCGGAGGTCCTGGTGCCGCGGCCCCTGCGCGACCGTTGACGTTCGATTCATCCTCATCAGAAGAGGAAGAGGCATCTGAGGAGTCAGAAGATTCGGACTTTGGACCACCAAAGGCGATTGATGCACTTGACGATGGAGATGAATTCGATCCGTACGACCTGCTTCTCCGCTTACGGTGTATTACTGATTATAGGCAGTGACTTTGCCGCAGGGCGGACACCAGGCCTCGCATCCGACAGTGTCTCCGATGTCGTATCCGTCCTGTCTGCCACGACCAACTCCGTTTCTGTGTCATCGCTGCCATCTCAAGGCGGGTCAAGCTTAAATCACAGCATGCGCAACCGCGCAGCTCGTCTGAGTCCCGTTTCGGAGGGCCCAACGCCCGATCGCTCCGGCCCGTTCTTCGAAATGCTGACACCGGTCTCTGGGGCGGGATCACCGCAGCCTTCGAAGGCCAACGTGCCTACCCGCCCTCCAGCGCGAGCCCACGCAAACAGCAACAGTTCCGCATCCCTCAACACATCGGATATGATGTTTGCACGGAAGAAAGTCCTGCCTGTTCGTTCACCCAAGTCCGCATTGACAGCCATGCTTGTGGCTGCTGGGGAAAGCACGAATCCGTTTGCAGAACTGTATGCCTCAGTGTCAGGTCGTGGAGAAGGAGCGTCGACAAATGTTCAAGTGTATTTCCCATCGGCCAAGGCGCCCCGAGGGGAAGCCATGGATCTGAACGTGAGGCGGGACTCGACGGTGGAGGAGGTGATCGGTTTCGCATTGTGGACATATTGGGAGAAAGGGTGGCTTCCAAAACTCGACAAGGGTATCGAGAACGACGAGGAGAAGCTTGCGACACGACTTTCCGGTGTGGGCTGGATTATGCGTATCGCAGAAGAAGACGGAGAGGTCGACGATGATTTTCCTCGTGAGCTTGTTGTGGCTTGCTCGTTGCGGTGCTGACTGTGCAACAGCACCCGATCGAACTGGGAAGATTGCCAAGTTCAATGCGGATGCGTACGCCGTCTTGGATGCTACTCCAGCACAAGGTACCAGTTGATGCGTTATTCGCATCGGGATTGCGTTGAACCGTATCACAGTGCAGCAGAATCAGCTCATCGCCAGCCAAATCCAGCGGCATCCCTCGCGTGTGACGGCTACCAAGAAGGTATCAGACAAGCTGCCTGTTCAACAGCATCTCCCGGTGTCCAGCAGCGCGCTCCCAGGCAGCGGAATATTTGGATCAGCCCTGGGTGGCTCGCTGCCGTTCTCGACTTCACTTGGCCCAACATCGGGCCATGGTCCGCAGATCTTTTTACGAATCAAAGTTGAAGATACACGTGATACGGTGCACATTGGCACCACTATACCTGTTTCGGCCGGGTTGTACATGCAGGAAGTCCTCGAACGAGTCTGCCGCAAGACAAGGCTGGACAATCCCAGCGAATATGCTCTGTTGCTGGCGAATGATGATACAAGAATACTGATTCCGCTCGACCGGACCGTGGCTAGTTTGGGTGGAAAACGCGAGCTGGTCTTGATTCGCCGGACGTTGATCGACGATAGTGTCGTGAAGGGGACAGGCAAGACTACTGATCCAAACGGTATGGGATTTCCACTCGCTTGTTCTGGTATTGAATTGGTCTCCCAGCTTCTATTCTGAAACGCATGTCGGACACACCCGAAGTCAAGTACTCGGTCCCTTCTGCGCTTGATTTCAGCAATGTCTACAAGCAATTCACCATCTATCGAAAGATGCCCATGCTCGTCGCAAAGCAAGAACGTACTCTCGCTTTTGATGGATTGTACATCCATGTCTGTGTTTCGACGCGTCTCCCGTCTCTCGCTGACTTTTGTTGCAGATCCTGCCCACCGCCAATAAGGCAACGAAAGCCGTCTTTGACAGCGGCAAGCATGTCTCGTACCACATTCGCAGCATCGCAGATTGTCAACAATCGACCAAGAGCTCAGCCATCTTCAAGTTGGTCTTGGGCAGATCAGGTGGCAAGAAGCGATACGATTACGAAGCAGAGAGTCCCAAGCATGCCAGTAAGCCTCTGACGTGCTGCTCCTGATGGTGCTTGATCATCTGAATCCACCTGTTTCAGGCGAAATTGTGGCCCAGATATGGCAGCTCAAGAACTCCATGGATCGTTCAGGGACTCTGAAGGCTTCGAGACGGAGTCGGCATGTGACATGAAGTCTGTATTATATGCTACAGACTTGTATTTCTAGTTGTATACTCATTGGAAATGACTGGGTCTGAAACATGACAGGTTGTGATGGTGACATCGTCTGTATGGATCCAACGACACTGTTGATGGGTTTATCTCTGTTCTTTGTAATGCTTACTGGGTTTGTAAAATCCGACTCACGCTATTTAGAGATTTCGGACAGCCTGAATGTTCTGCGCCTCTGCAGTACTTTTGCCATGTAGAGCGCAAATCAGTAGGGTGGAGTTTGTTACGCGCTGGGAACCAGGGAAGGTCCCGGCCTGAGGATTCAGGGAGGATCGCAACCAGGCACATGTTTTAGCTCATGCATATCAGTTACGGCCAAGATCGTGAATTCAGGATTGTCCTCGTTTGATGCGCAGATCTGCAGGGAGATACATGCACCAGAAACAGCAGGGAGAGAAACAGCTTGGAAGAGAAGGGACGCGACGCAAGAGAACGTTGAACGTTCGTTCATGCCCGGAGACGGTGGAGAGAATTCCCATGTTCGCCGGAGATGTCGCACGTAGAGTGGACAGTGAAGCCTATAAAAGGCATGAATCAATTATTCGCTTGTGATTGATTGCGGACCGTGCGGCGTTCTCACGCTGTCAAAGCCCATTCCGCGCATCTTGATTGAATTCATCACGTACTGCTACAAAAGTCGAACATGCCGAGTCGAGAACCTCATTGTTTCCCTCTCCTCCTCTTCCTCTTCCCTTCTCTCGGGCATTTTTCCGACCCATTTTTCTCTGCCAGCCAGAGCACCTCCAGTCTTTTCTCCCAACACCGCTCAACATCCTGATGTTGCTCTCCACTCTCTTCTCCACGCTCCTTGCCGCCGGCGCGGTTTCTGCGGCTCCGCTCGCGGCTCGGGATGTATCTCTGAACGCCGCGGCGGTTGCCCAATCCCAGGTTCGGGACACCACTGCGACACGCGCGCTCTCTGCCACCACGATCACCGTGCGCATCCCTCTGTTCCTCGCGCGTACGGTTTCTTATCGACGCGTCTTTAGACCTCTGACGGCAGATGTCTCTCCGTTGACCCTTTCTCGGGCGACTTCCGCGAGAACTTGACCCCGATCAGCGCGGTCAAGTGCGACGGTAGCGCGAACCAAACCTGGGATGTTATCACCTCTGGTGTGCACAACAATGTCAAGGGCCAGGCCCTCATCGTCAGCGCACTGGTGAGTCGTGAACTACTATATCGATTGTACGAGATCTTGACTACCTGATGTCAGACCCAAGCCTGCTTGAATTTTGACAATCGCCGCCAGCCGGGCAACCAAGTCCTGCTGTTCTCGTGCGGCGGTCGTGCCGACGGAAGCGGACAAGTCCAGTCGGCTCAGCTGTACGCGTTCAACGGTGCCACTGGACCTCAGGCTCTCGTCCCGCAGAGCAGCAACGGCAAAACCTGCTTGACGATCAACTCGGCGAATCATCTGGACCAGGTTGACTGCAATGGTGCTTCCTCTGCAACTGGGCTTGAGGTGCGCTCCTCCGCTATGTTGTTATTGTCTGCGACTGATTGTTTTCTCAGCTTTTCACTTTCGGCGGATCTGGTGCGGCCGCGGCTGCTGCCACTACTGCCGCCGCCGCCGCCGCGACGACTGCTGCTGCTCTTGCGACAACCTCTGACGCTGCTGCCGCAACCTGCGCTGGAGGAAAAACCACTGTGACCGTCACTGTTACTGTTACCCAGTCTGCGGCAGCTGTGTCCACCGCTGCAGTTATAACGGCAGCTGCGACCACGGCAGCCCCGACCAACGTCGCCGTGGTCCAGACCACTGCTGCCGCCACTGCTGCTTCTGGCCCGATAGCCGTTTCTGGCGCTGGCGGTGTGCTCAACCCGACTGCTGTTGCCGAGTCCCACCCGCGGGATACCACTGCTGTGCGCGCGGCGTCCGGTGTTCCGATCAAGGTGCGTTATTCCTCGTGGGGTGCGCTGTTTGCGATGCTCATGGCTTGCTCAGGATTCGGCGGGCAAGTGTCTCACCGTCAACCCTCAGGCTGGTGACTTCCGCGAGAACCTGATCCCTATCCAACTCGCCGCTTGTGATGGAAGTGCTGGCCAGCAGTGGGACTTTATCACTCAGGGCATCCACAACAACCAGGCAAACTCGGCTCTGATCGTCAGCACCCTGACCAACGGGTGCCTCAACTTTGACGACCGACGTGCGCCGGGCGACCAGGTCATTATCTTCTCTTGCGGAGGACGGGCTGACGGCTGTGAGTGTTGTTGACCGTGCGAGGTGTCTTACGTGCTAATGCTATACACGACATGCAGCTGGCAAGGTCACCAACTCACAGCTGTTCCCCTTCACGTCGTCGAGCTTGTCTGCGCCTTACGTCCTCGCTCCCGAGAACGGCAACAACAAGGTGTGCTTCGTTGACAACAACGGCCGACTCGGAAACACGGCTTGTGATGCGACCAAGGCGGCTGCCAATCAACTCTTCACCATCGGCTCGGGCGCTGCTGCTGCTGCTGCCGGAACGACCGTCGCTGCTGCCACGACTGCTGCTGCCGCCGTGACCACTACCGCTGCCGCTGTGACCAGCATTGCTGCCGCCGCAGTCACGACCGCGGCACCGGCGACTACGACTGTCGCTGCGACCGCCACTGGCCCCATCAGCGTTTCTCGTGCGGGATTGGCGCTGAACCCCACGGCCGTTGCCGAGTCGCAAGCCAGGGACAACACCGCCACCCGAGCTGCCACTGGTGTTCAGATCAAGGACTCGACTGGAAAATGTCTGGCAGTGAACCCTCTTGCCGGGGATTTCCGGGAGAATTTGATCCCCGTGGACGTCGTTGCCTGTGACGGCAGTGCGGGCCAGAAGTGGGACTTTATCACCAAGGGTGTCCACAACGATCAGGCCAACTCGGCTCTGATCGTGAGCTCGCTGACCCAGGGATGCCTCAACTTCGATGACCGCCGTGCTGCAGGAGACCAGGTCTTGCTCTTCTCCTGCGGCGGTCGCGCGGATGGTGGTATGTATTCACTGTATTTTTGTGTTTGTTGCCGAAGCTGACCGGACGTTTCCAGCCGGCAAAGTGACCAACTCCCAACTGTTCCCCTTCACATCGACGAGCCTGAGCGCCCCGTACGCGCTGGCCCCCGAGAACGGAAACAACCAAGTGTGCTTTGTGAACAACAACGGTGTGCTCGACAACGTCAGCTGCAACGCCGCCAGCGCCAGCGGGAACCAGCTGTTCACGATCGTGCCTTGAAAAAACTGACATATTCTTACGACCGACCGAGCACGCCGAGCGTGCTGCGGCTTCACGCATCAAGCAAGACTGATATGTATTTTTATCTCTATCTTGGATGTATCGTTCGGTGCTTGCACTGCTAGGCTACGATGCAATGAAATTGAATACCCGTTTTTGTGTACAACATATACTAGTGATGGGGCCGGAGGATCCGAGCTGCTGTGTCGAGCTATTGAACTTGACAGAAGGACCGCTTACTGTTCCAGCTGCGATCGATGTTCAACTGGCTGCTTTTGCGAAAGGAGAATCATGACGGCCATCGAATACCGGCTCGAGTACCGGCTTTTGACCCAGTCAGCTAAAGAGCTCTTGGCCTCGAGGGATGCGCCAACAATTTCGCTCGTACGGCCGAACGCAAGTGGGATATGGAAAACTCCAAAACCCAGTGGTCCAATTCGATTTGGACACATGCCCTCGTCCTGCCAGCCAAGCTCGCTCAAAGACGCATCGGACTGTTTCAAGAACGCAGATCGCTTTGTCTTCATATGAGTTATTTACTAGGCATTTATGCATCTTCACTTTTTCCACAAACGGTCCAAGCGCGTACTACGACCGGCATTCGGCTTTTGAGAGCCGGCATCAGATGATCGCGGGGTATTGTTAACCGGACCCCGGACACGGACCTTGAGTTGTTGAACCACCATGTCCTTACTTTCGTCCTCGCTGAAAAGAAGCTGTCGTTCTGTCCGACTCGCTCGATGGGCTTCGTCTACCAGTCGGTTCGCTTTCACCTATTGCAGGCGCCCGCTCATCCCTGCTTTTCCCAGTCTCTCCCAAGCCTAACCGGGATGCGAACTGGAACTACCAGGTACGGTGCTCTGTCTGTCCGACGCATTTCTGTATCCCCATTCGGCACTCAGGATCCCCTCAACCTTGAATCCCTCCTCACGGAAGAGGAGATCGCGATTCGGTACGCCCCCTCGCTTCGTACCGCGCAAGGCCACCTCTGACCGACACGACAGAGACACCGCGCGAGCATATTGTCAAGAGAATCTTCTTCCCAAGGTTTTGGACGGATGGAGAAACGAAGGTAAGCGTCTCTCTCTCTCTCTATCACCGCGCTCCGCCCCCTCATCCAGCTGCGCAGAGTTCAACCATTCGGTCCTTCCGGAGATGGGCAAGCTCGGGCTCCTGGGTGCGTGCATCTCACAGATGTCTGCAGCGACTGTGATGCCGAACGGTCGAGACAGGTCCCACGATCGAGGGCTACGGATGCGCCGGCGTGAGCAACGTCGCATACGGGCTGATCCAGCGCGAGATCGAGCGGGTTGACTCGGGCTACCGCTCGACCGCCTCGGTGCAGTCGTCGCTCGTGATGCACCCGATCCACGCGTTCGGCACCGACGCGCAGAAGGACAAGTACCTCCCGCCGTTGGCCGCCGGGGAGCTCATCGGTGCTTTTGTTCGCGTCTGCCCGTGGTTCGAGACACACACGACTGACCTGACGCTCGCCAGGGTCTCACCGAGCCGAACCATGGGTCTGATCCCGCCAACATGGAGACGACCGCGGAGGAAACGGATGGGGGATACGTCCTGAACGGCGCGAAAACGTGGATCTCGAACGCACCTGTTGCGTGAGTGCGACGTGGGTGTCGTGATGCGTGGTATGCTGACGACTGCGCAGAGACGTGTTCATCATCTGGGCCAAGTGCAAGTGGGATGGGAAGATCCGTGGATTCATCCTCGAGAAGGGCCTCGACGGACTGAGTGCGCCGGCGATCAAGAACAAAATTGCCCTCAGAGCCTCGCTGACTGGGAGCATCTTCATGGACTCGGTGCGTGTCTCGCACGACGCGCTGCTGCCGAAATCGCTGGGGCTGGCCTCTCCCTTCTCCTGCCTCAACTCAGCGCGGTTCGGCATCTCGTGGGGCGTGATGGGCTCGCTCGAAGATTGCATTGACCGTGCGCTCGCCTACGCGCTGGAACGCCACCAGTTTGGGCGCCCGCTGGCTTCTTTCCAGCTGGTCCAAAAGAAGCTGGCTGATGCCCAGACGGAAGCCGCGCTTGGTCTGCTCGCCAGTCTGCAAGTCGGCCGCCTAAAGGATGCGGGCAAGCTGTCTTCGAACATGATCAGCATCGTCAAGCGGAATAACTGCGGGAAGGCCCTCCAGCATGCTCGCATTCTGCTTGATATTTTGGGCGGAAATGCTGCTGCCGACGAGTGAGCGAGCTATCGTAACAGTGACGTTACCCTTTCTGAACTCTTCGCGCGCCAGGTATCACATTGGTCGTCACGCAGCTAATCTGCAGGTCACCAACACTTACGAGGGTGCGTCATTCTTTGCACAATCTGCTTTTTTTTTGTTCAACGTTGTCCCAGGTACACACGTGAGTTTTGGTTGTCGATGTAGACGTCATCGCTCTAACATTGCCTTAGGATATCCACGGTCTCATTCTCGGAAGAGCGATGACAGGAATCCAGGCCTTCTCGAACTGATTGTGTACTACTTGCTACCACTAAACATCAGCATTTCGCAGCGTTGGATCAATATATTCGAGTCCGAGGATATCAAAGATTTCGCGTTCGCTGCTCGGCTTGTATTGCTTGCTGTCTCTCCTCCGAAAACTAGCGCCGGTTAGAGATTTCCCGCTCACAGAAGAGGACCACGACGAACATGCCAGAACTGTCGAACTTGAAACCGCTGCACGGAACGAGTCAGCTCTAGCTGGAACCTAAACGGTTCGAATCGCTTGCCGTTCTTTCGCCCAGAGACGAAGGTCTCTTTCGAACATCTTTGAGCCGGTCCTATGTGTGAGCAAGAGGTCAGTGCGAGCTGGGAACACAGAGATGAAACTGGCCAGCCGGCGACTGCGGTCCAGTAACTGGCAGGGGCCGCGAAGATGAGGTCCATGCGTCTGTGGATCTGGCGGCAGCCGTCTCTCGAGGGAAGAAGACCGACAGTCATGACTTTCTCCAGATCATCCCACTGGGATGTTCGCAGGGCATCGGGTGCGTGGAAGCTGGAAACATCTGCCTGATGCATCAGATGCGAAAGACGACGCACTCCAGGCCTTACGCAAGACGTGGGTGACGATGCCTGGGGTAATCGCTCGTGACTGAGCTAGTTCTCGGTGTCTGTCACTTACCTCGTTCATACAGAAGCTTCACTATCGCATCACCGAGTCCGTGTGTTCGGGATGAACCTATGCGGGGATGCGTGACAACGATGTCGATGTCGTTGCTCTGTGGTTTTCCCCTTCTATACCTGGAGTTGCGTTGGGTTCCCAGACACCGATGGGCGGGAAGCAGCAGACCTACCCGCCCACGATAGTGCTTGAGCACCCCGGAAGCAGACGCTGCAGTTCTTCGGCCACGATGGAGTGCAACTGCTCCACTTCTTCTCTTGGTATCTTTTCGCTCAAGTCTTCCCGCAAACTCAAGGCCTTCTTGATGGTCAGAACTGGAGCAGTGGAGGGAGAGGAAGAGCTTTCGGCGCGATCATCGGCGAAATGGGTGTCGAGGTCGGCGATCGTCCGCAGGTTGTGCTCGTCGTAGAGCCTCCGAGCTGTGGGTGGGCCAATGCCGTACACTTGCGTGAAAAGGGACAAAGTCCGAAACTGCTCCGATTCTGCGATGGCTTCTACAACGTTATCAGTGCTGCGCACGAACAGAAGGCGCCGAACACACGGCTCTCGCTGATGTCCCCTTCGACTATATACTCCTTGATCTGTCCGGATGTGATTGGGATCGATATACGCGGCTCGGGAACCGCGCACCTTCGATAACATCTTCCCACCTATCCAAGGCAACTTGGAAACTTCGTCGAGCCGAGCGCTTGTGATTGGATCCGGAAATGCTGCGAGACTTGGATACCATGGATATGAATGGGACTGATGCACCGACCAACCTTTGATGACCTGGGCGTGTGTTCTCAGCATTCAATCGACTCGGGAAGTGTGAGAATCGCACTGAGATAGCACGTTCATAACTCAGAGTGCTGGTCTCGTTGCTATCCAACTCCCGGGAGCGTTGTATCACCCCCAGCTGCTGCGCCAATCTTTGGTTGGGGCACTCGAGCGGGCAATATCTCAAGCAGGCATATCGGCTGGAATAATTCACGCGCTCCACTGGCTCACTTCTCGGCGAGATGCTCAGAAATTCGCCTTCGCTGGGTGCAAGCGGGCAGTGCCGCTCAGTGCTTCCTCGCAGATCTTTTAGCGCGAAGTAGGATCCACAGGGTCGGGCAGTTCTCTCCGCAGCGCAATCGCGTAGCCAGGCAGGTTTCACGACGGCTTTCTCGCTCTTCAACAGACAATCAGATCAAACATCGTGGATGGAATAGCATACAGCCAAGACCCATTCCAGATGTCGTTCCAGTCGCTGTCGCATATGCACATTGGTGATAACCACATCAGCTTCTTCGGGATGGGGACAGAGAACCAACTCCGGTTGGGCTTGGTACCGATGCTCGTTGTATTGATCGACGAGGGACATCAGGTCCAGGATCTCTTCAGTGGAGAGCTTTGCGCGAATTATGTAGACCTTGATGTACATGGTCGCTGGACAGAAGGCTGGTAACTAGTTCCCCCGCGTCAGAGCGGACGTCAGTCCTGCTAGTGCAGGGAAAACACCATTGAGGCGGTGCAGAAGCCTTTTGCGGCGCCAGATGACCCAATTTCGATCGGCGAGATCCGGACATCCCAAATGACCCAAGGGCCGCAAGTATGTGGGCTCATGTGGGAGTGTGGCGTTTATACTCAATTGACTTCAACTCCAGAGCCTGCGCCTTGAAAGCCTGGAAATATCACAGAGAACAAGCCTGATCAACGCCTGTGCGAGCTCTGGACTCTTCGCAAACGAATCATGAGTCAGGGTTCCCCGGCAAAAGGAGATCACGCCGAAGGATGACCGTCCGCGTGATTGAAATCCTCCGCACCACTCTTTTGCTTCCAAACCCTACCCTTCCTCTCTCGCCTTGCACCATCCATGGCCGCCCCACCCCGCCTGGCGAGAGAGTTCACCAATCCTCCGAATTACGAGTTCCCGAAACACAGACTATCCCAGACACTCCGCGATGCTACTAAAACACCGCTCGTTCTCGTCGCTTGCGGATCCTTCAGCCCTGTAACCTATCTCCACCTGCGGATGTTCGAAATGGCCAAGGACTACGTCCGGCAGAACACCGACTTCGAAATCCTGGGTGGCTACCTCAGCCCTGTCAGCGACATGTACAAGAAGCCCGGGCTTCTGAGCGCTACCCATCGGTGAGTATGCGAAAACCTTCCCACCGTCGTCCATCCCCCTTGTCCGCGTCTCTGGCGATGCCCACTGCCCCTGCGATACGTTTCAACCCGGGACGGATGATCCGAAGCAGGACACCGATCGGCTAGATTCTGTCATTGTCATGCGTGCCCGCTCTATCGGCGGCGAGGCTGACGTCCCGTTGCAGAGTGAACATGTGCACGCTCGCGGCGGAGGGCACGTCGCCCTGGCTCATGGTCGATCCCTGGGAGGCATTCCAGGACTACCAACGGACCGCGGTCGTCCTCGACCACTTTGACTACCATCTCAACACGGTGCTGGGAGGCGCCAGGACCGTGGATGGTGAACAGCGCAACATCCGTGTGATGCTTCTGGCCGGCTCGGACTTGATCAGCACCATGAGCGAGCCCGGTGTGTGGAGCTATTCGGATGTGAGCGCTCTTATCTGCAGCTGCCCAATCCATCCGTTTCTGATGCGACCTTCCCAGCTTGATCATATCCTCGGGCGGTATGGCACTTTCATTGTAGAAAGAGCGGGGACTGGCATCGACCAGGCCACGGATGAACTGGCACGATGGAGGAACAACATCCATCTCATCTCTCAGCTGATCCAGAATGATGTGTCGAGCACCAAGGTGCGATGATCTGCAGACCTGCCGTATTGATGGGATAGCTGAGCGGAGTATTCAGGTTCGACTGTTCATTCGCCGCGGACTTTCCGTGCGGTATCTTCTGCCCGCGAACGTGGTAGATTACATCGAGGAGCACGGACTCTATCTGGAAGAAACCGCTGCTTCCCCGAACGCATCTAGCTCTTCGTCGGACAAGGAAGCGATCGGCGCAGGGCCCAAGAAGGAGTAGCGAGCGTCGAAGGGGACGAATAGAGGGGCCAGGCGATGATCTGCGTACCAACCCGAACGCCGCTGGACAACAAGAACAGCCAATGCCAAGTGTATCAAGAGCCAACATCTTACGAATGTACCATTATAAGCCGATGCTAGATATGGGCAGTATTTACTGGTGTAAGAGTGCGTCGGGCATCTAGTTATAGTTATTCTATCCTGTGTCGCTGACCGGGCCCATACTCTCGCCGAGCACGGAAATTGCGGTGCTGCCGAACAGCAATTATATAAGGCCTCAAGACGCGCACTAGCTGCCTTTTCTCTAATGGCGACCACTGAGTGCGACTGTCTGACCCCGCTGCTGGGGATTCCTCAGCACGAGAAACTGATGTGGGTCCATCAAAGCGTCCCCTCCAAATTCTCCATTGACATGAACGCACACAGCCGCCGTATTGATTGGCGACTGCTCCCTATTCTTGGTGTACTCTATGCTCTGTCGCTGATAGACAGAACGAACATTTCGATCGCACGCGTGGTCGGACTGGACGACGACCTCGGGCTGACTATCGGCAGTCGATTCAGCATCGTCGTTGGCGTATACTTTGTGCCTTACACGCTGCTGTAACGATATCCCTGGCTCGCCGCAACGATCTCGCTGAAGCTCACATCTACGTGTAGGCAACTGCCCAGTAATCTCCTCTTGCGCAAGGTTGGGCCTCGAAAGCTACTGAGCTTCTTCGTCATCTCCTGGGGCGCAGTGCAGGTCAGTCTCTGCCACCAATCATACATATCTGCATCACTTGCATCCTGGGGCGTTCGGGAAGCTCACGACGCCGATCAGCTGGCGATGGGATTTGTGCACGAGTGGAAAGCACTGGCGTTCTTGCGCGCGCTCCTCGGTGCGCTGGAAGTATGTCGCCCGTGTCTGCGGAGAGGGCGATCTTGCTGAGTTGTCTGGTGCGCAGGCGGGATTCTTTCCTTCCATGGTGTATCTTATTAGCACCTGGTGGGACTCGTGTTCGATTCGCACCTTACATGCACGCTTATCTCAGGCAGGTACACCCGCCATCAGGTCCAAACCCGGTATGTATCATGCCGCAGCTTGTCCGCGCCCTTCTGCGTCGACCGACCTTGAGCGACAGACTGGCGGTGTTCTACGTTATTGCCAGTCTCCTTGGCAGCCTCAGCACTTTTTTTGCTTACGGCCTGAGCAAGCTTGATGGGACACTGGGTGTCTCTGGGTGGGCCTGGATCTTCGTGAGCTTACTTGTGCATCCCCTTCCACGCGTTCCGGCCCCTCAATTAAGCGTGCAGATCATCGAAGGGGGGCTGACGATGGCATTCGGGCTGCTGGCCTGGGTCAGTTTGCCCGGCTTCCCGCACGAGAAGAATGGGTTTCTCTCCCCCGAGGAGACTGCCTACGTCCTGGACACTCTGGAACGCGACAGAGGAGACACGATCCCCGATGTTCTTACGTGGAAGAAGTTCGTCGACGCTTTCAATTGGCTCACTCTCGCGTACTCGCTGATGTTCCTCTGTTCGACCCTCTCGGCATATGCTAACGGGCACGAGATCTTTATGGCATGCACTCCAGATTGGCTGAAGCTTTCCAGGTTCTTCGCTACTTTGATAATGAGAGGCCTTGGGTGGAGCGTCTCTTCGTCTTTGTTTTTGGTAAGTGGCATAGTCACCCGCTGCTATGTCTGACCGTTTCACAGATGGCTCCGATTACCCTGTTTTCGGTACGCCAATCCATCTGTGCGTTCGCAAAGCTGACTTGTGTGCGCGAACCAGGCTATCAGCAGCATTTCGATCTCGTATATGTCAGACAAAACCCGCTCAAGAGCCCCTTTCATCGCTGGACAGTGTCTCATGACAATCTGTGGCTGGATCTTGACAGGGTTTTCGCCGTCCAATGCTTGGCGATGCGGCGGTGAGTGACATCTGAGTGGGTGCTATCGAGGCTGTTTTCATCAGTTTACAGGTCTGTTTTTGAGCAGCGCCGGCTCCTCTGGAACTATTCTTGGGATCCTTGCCTATGTACGTCCAAGACTTTGTTCGATTGGAAGGTTTGCATTCAGATCAATGGACCAGTCATCCAACAACATCGTGTCACACTCAAAGCGAGCCATTGTCTCAAGCGTCATTGTCTCCGCTGGGGGAATCGGCGGCTTTCTGGCCTCGTTTATATTTAGTGAGCAATCTGCGCCGGGCTACATTCCCGGCATCATCCTCACTATCCTCTCCCAAATCGCCCTCTTGATCATACTGGCTTCGACCAGCCTCCACTTCCATTCTCAAAACAAAGGGGCCCTCGGTAGCGATATGCTCCTGCAGGGCCAGCCAGGGTTCCTGTACACTCTTTGATATGAGATCTCGGTTGATGCAGAGTGAGTTTGACGTTACCTGGGGAAACTGTCACACTATATATATACCAGTCAAGCGCTTCCCATGCAAAGAGTAGTCACAACGTCGCAAAGAACCATTCAGCAGAGTCATCCGTCCTGGTCCAGGGCATTTCCATTCGACTTGTCGGATGTGCAAGGTGGATAAAGAAAACCTAAAGACCGAATATAGCGGTTCGGACACATTAGACTGCAGTCACTGGCGTAGAAGCATGTACTGGAACTGGATACTAGAACCGGCTCTGACACACTAGAGTTCAGGTCAACGATGCGGAAAATCCTTAGACTGCAATCGCGTAAAACCTCCGATTGAGATGCACCGTGCGGAAGTATATAATTGAGACCTGCTGAGAGAGAGACAGAGAGATGAAATAGTTCCGGATCGATCGCGCGGAAGCAGAAGAATGGAGAGCAGTGGGTGATGTGCAGTGGAGACGATCGTGGCCAGTGGGACTCCAGCGAAGAGAAAGGCGGGTACTTTGTCAGGGGTCGCGGTGCCGAGGACTCCCCGTGCCGCTGAAGCTTGGACGCAAGCCTGACCTGGACACGACTACACATCCCCGAAGATAGGCCTGCGATCCGTGAGGCTAAAGAGGCAGCAATGAGACGAATCGCGGAACCCTGGGCCTGGAGTCAAGTGGCTATGTCATTCGATGGAAGATCTCGGAGCGTTCTCGGTCGTTGTCTCCAGTCCAAGGTTATCGGACTTGTTCTCCGTCGCTCGTCATTGTATAAGCAGTCTTATTCAGTTCCGAGCGCGTCCATGTAGAGCGAGCGTGGGTGATATATGGGGATGCGACGCGAGCAACAGACGATCAGTTGATGAGAAGGCCGGGAAGCTGCCATTTAACGCCGAAGCAAACTTTGACGGGCATCATCCAGATTCTAAACCGCATTCACTTGGTTCCCTTCGTTTTTTCTCTCTCTGCCATATAAAAGTCGGTTCTACGATGGCCGCCTTACCCATGTCCCATCTCATTTGCCCCGACGCGCCGCTCCTCTCCCCTACCGAGTATCACTTCGACATGGACGCCCTCAACTTCCCTTACTACACCCTTTCCCCCTCGCCTCCGACGTCGGACGGCAGCGACTCTCCCCCTCCCCTGGCCCCACATAGCATGTTGAAGTTGCCGATGGTGGACAACTTGAACTGTGTGCCCACCCATCAGCTCTTTGACTACGCTCAGGGCTCACCGTCTCCATCCGAGGCATCGGGTTCTCCGCACCAGCCACCACGCCTGTCTATCTCCATCAACTCTTCCGCATGTAAGCGCAGCAGCGCGTCGCCACCCCCACAATCGAGGAAACGCACGGTCGGAGAACGCATCCATTCGAAGGACTTTAAACCCCCGGATGTTACGGGTCTCAGCAAGCGCGAGGCTCGTCTCGTAAAAAACCGGGCTGCTGCATTCCTGAGCAGGCAGCGCAAGCGTGAGGAGTTTGAGCTTATGGAAGTGTACGTCAATCCTTTTGCCTTATGTACTCCTTTCATTATACTAAGAGTTTCCTCGGTAGCCGCGTTGCTGAACTCGAGCAGGAAAACGCACGGCTTCTGGCCCTAGCGAGTGGGTCTGATGGAGCGCGACAGAGGGAGGAGTCGGGCGAGGGGCTGGTCTCTGAGGTTGAGCAACTCCGCGCCCAGCTTTTGGCAGCCGAAAAACGCGAGCGGGAATTGAATGCCGAGCTCAGCGCGCAGTCTGCCTCTCACGAGGCACCGACGACCGTGAAGACTGAGCCTCCAGAGGCGCCGCTATCACTGACCCTGTCCCCGTCGCCGCGTCTCCCGTCCAGAACGGCGGCGAGTCTTGGATTGATGGTAAGCATCTCCTGTTTCCAAACACCGAGCGCTGATATCCATTCTCAAGCAGGTTCTGTTATGTGCACTTCCGTCCCTGCTTTCTATATCTGGTTCCTCTTCCAACTCGGCACCTTCTTCCCTGTCCCTGCCGTCCTCGACTTCACTCGATTTCAACAGCGCTAATTCGTTCTTTGACGGATGGCCGAGCAGTGCGGGAACGCCGGGCGCGGGCATGGATGTTGACATGAACTTCGGGAGCGACAAACGGTTCAGTCTGGGTGGGCTTTCCCCAGGGTCTACGATCACACGGAAACTGGAATTTGTTGATGCGGGATTGGGGGAACTGGACATCTCCTTCGACGCCTCTCCGTCTGACGACGGCAAAATTCGCGTGCGCATACATCCGCCGTCTTCGACATCTTCTCTTTCGCGAGCGCCCTCGCCGGGACTGGTGCAGAAGCCGGATTCGGCAACACAGGATGTCTGGCTTGGTGGAGAGCCGCCTGCCTCGGCGGACTCATACCTGGGCCTAGGTCTGGGCCTCGGCTCCAGTGATCCGTTCTTGGGATTCAACGGAGGCACGGCTGGGTCGTCCTCGTCATCCCCATTCATGTACAGCTCCCTCGACGATGTCGAGTACAGCGATGGGACGGGGTCTGAATATTCATTCCCCGATAGCAGCAGTCCCGGATCGCGTCGCCGGGTTCGGATCGCGCTCAAGAGCATGCCTGAAGAAGGTGGAGACGGCGGTGAATGGGAGGTGCAGTTCTGCTGAGGCCTGTTGGGTGATCTTATTTTCTTTTTTCTTTTTGCCCTTTGCTCTGATTGCTTTGCCCACTCCATTGTATGAACACCATCCTGCCTTCGCTCGTTTACATTCTAAAAGTAGCCAGCGTCCTCGCTCATATTCCGTCTCATGCTTACCTTTACTTTTTTTGACCTGGGTCGTCGGATCTGGGATCTACAAGTGTATTACGAACAGACGGCGCCTAGCGTAATTTAGGCTATACCCTCTCAATATATTTATTCGGAACTATTCATAGACCTGCAATGTATCCCATCAATTCACAACTTTGTTCTCCACCCGCTTGATTTCCTTTCCTGGCCAGTATCAACGCATGGTTGGTGCCATGCCATGCACTGTCTCACCTTCCGTCCATCTGTGTTTCATCATTTTCTGGACACGCCAGTGGCCGATCTCCGAGATTCTGATATCAAGGGGCGGCGAAAACATCACTTTGGGGTCTGCTAGGTATCTCTGTTTCACCAGCAACAGTCGGCAGATGATCTTTCTGCCCGGGATTTGGACGGCCAAACAGTCTGCCCTGGCTGCGAGGATGATGGTTACCGGAGACTCGTGCGCATTCGAGAGCGCCTCGCCAGATAAGCAAGTAATGAATTTGCGGGGCACCGGGTGACCCACGAGTGTCATAATCGAGATCATGACCGGTGGCAGTGTCTGTGTTGTGTCTTGCTTTTACTGCCACGCGAAACGCCGTCACGCGTCCACTCGCGTTTCTACTTGTCCCTTCGAACACAGGCCTCCAGTGTGGCCCGCCATCTGGTCATTCACAAGGACCGATATCAAAGATTGGGCCAAGACATGTGGTCCTTGATCAGGTACTATTGAACCTTCTCGGCGCTATTCCTGTCTCTCATCTACCCCGATTTGTGCTCTCCTCTCCTCAGCGTCCTCACGTGAACTCCACTCTGCGAATTCCACGCAAAATTTCTGCGGAACTTACATGCACTATGTGGAATATTGGGCTTGTTGTGAGTTCCCTGCCAACTTCATTTCAACGCTCTTTTCCAACGGATGACAATCTTGTATCTCATTTTTCTGGACGAAAGGCTTCGTTTCAAACCGAGCGCTTTTGAATGAATCAGCCGCATTATTCATATTGTGGAATTTATCTTCTCTCTGACCTACCTTCACAAGTGATCGATGTGGGTTGTGAGCTAACCGAATCGCTCTCCAGAATCAGACACAATGAAGATAATCATGGCCGGATCATATCGATGGTTTAGCTCGCGAGGATAATAGGCCTCTGGTCTGGAAGCGTTGGCGTCTTGTGATCGCGTGCTTGCGGGGTGTGTGAGGCGTGTATCGAGGCGTATATATACCGCAGTCTCGCTAGAGTAGTCTCACTCCACAATCCTCATGAATCAGGTATGCAGCACCACATATTCTCCTGTCGAATCTCTGCTCATTCCGCTGCTCCTCACCCAGCCTCATTCTGCGATGGAAATGGATCTTTGCGACTTGTTACTCGCAATGAAGTTGGAGCAATCACGTAAATCGGTACGTCTCCGACGAGTCGTCCTTTCCGGTTCACTTGACGTTAACATGGGACAGGAAAACGTCATTCGGGAAGAATGCCTCATTCCTGCCGCTCATGACGAAGACTCAACCATGCTCGAGGCACATCCTAGTCCTGTTAGTCAATCTCGCCTCGTTCCAAACAACCGGCTTCTGACTCCCGCTGTATTAGTGTTCCAACTCATCCAGGTCAAACTCGCCCTTAGAAGAACAGCCTACTCACGGCTGCGCATTCCTTCAAGCCATCCAAAACCAAGTCAACGATTTCCCAACAACGGGCGGCGAATACATCGAAACCATCTTTACCCATCGACAAATTTCGTTCGCCTTTCCTGCAGCTCACAGATCTTGTGCGCAAGCGTTCCTCAATTTGTCTGCGTTATTGCAAGGCCGTTCATGGAGAGCGGATCGCGAATCGGACTCGGAGGCAGTGACTGCCTTTAAATACGAAGCGCAGTTTATGATCTCTGTAATGGCGTGAAACCCGAGGATACCAGTAATATGACCATGTATAGATTGTTACAGTACTAACACGACTCGAGCTGTCCGGTCCAGGATCACAGCCACCCAAATTAGGTTGCCTCTTGCTGCTCCTACTTTCATCGTGCACTTGGGGGTTCTTGCTCCCTCATGGAACACCACAATACCCCGCCCTCAAGACGAGAAGTGCGCTATGGTACGCTGGTGTGACTCCCTAAGTGTCTCCAACATCGACCGCAGAAGAAAGCAACGCATCCCCACAGCCAGTCCTCGGCCGAACACCGAATATGACTGAGGATGGGAGTGGTACCAGCGAACTAAAGCGGCTGCCCAAACCTCTGGTATCACCGCCTCGACCTCCCCGTTCGTTGACCGCAATGCAGACGATCCACCGAAGCTCACTCTCAGCAGCCGCCCAACTTGCCCAGGATCAGGCCGACGACAAAGCGCGGAAGAAAGCAGCGAAGGATATCACTCAGTCATGGATGGATCGCCTACAACTCATCAGTGTTATCGTACGTCCCGAACCTGTTCTCGCCCACTTCCTCTTCCGAGCAGAGAATGCACAGACAACGTTCTTCGCGTCCACCGAGGCGGGAATGCTGCAAGTGATCACCGATGGCACGACTGTGGCGGGGCAAGTGGCGAATTCCGCGTTCCTGGCAGCGCTGGTGCTCCATAGCTGGGCAGGTATGTGCATGTGCATGATACATCCCGAGCCGCGGCTGTGCGCTGACAGGGGGTAGCGATCATATCCTTCCTGGGCGCTTTCTTCTTGGTGCGTTTCAACCTGAAGGAAGCAAAAGAGGAAGAACTGGAGGTTGGATTTGCGCCCGGACCTGATGGCTACGACCATCCAATCTCCAGCCAGCAGTCCTCGGTCGATCATCTCAAGCTCCAGCCAGTGTGGACAACTAATCCGCATGTGGAGCAAGTCAGCCGCTTCAAGAACTTGAAACCACCAACCCATCTGCTGGGACGCTGTCACAGCCTGTGTATGCTGTTCACATTCGCGGGCTTCGGGCTTGATTTACTCGGCATCCTGGCTTTCGCGTGGGGTCAAAATCCCGTCTCGGTCGGAGTAGTAACTTCAATTTCGAGTTTGGTCTGTTTCTTGGGTGGAGCATGGGTCTTCATATAGTTTGCGTTGTAGCCCGTCCTTGTATCCGAGCGGACGACTATTGTATACATATACTGTAGGCTGCTGATCAACTAAAAATTGGACGCGTCCAACACGTGATCGTTACATGCTGTCTTCCCGCCACCCTTTTCAGGCATTCCTCCGACGCTCGCAATGCCCGCGGAGGACACTGCGCTGGACCGCGACGGCTCAGAAGGAGCGCCCTTCTTCCATACCCAAGCCGCAGAGTAAAGCTGTAGCTGAGTGGGCTGCCGACAAGGAGCTCGAACCCTCCGTCGCACGATGGGCCTCTACTGCGCGGAAGCCCCCAGACCGAGCCATCCCCGTCCTCAAAGTACTGGACAGACCTCTTGGGGTTCGCACGCGACCAACACTTGTGAAGCAGTCGAGGGTGGAACGGTTCAGAGATATCTGGCTTCGCGAGGATACGATTCTGGATGAACGGAAACACCTGTACGTTGCGCCGGAATCCACAGCGCTCACACCGGAAACTCAGGACGGGATGTAGAATCGGAGAGCTCAATCGAGGGTACTACGTCGACCACGCTAGGCTCATACATGCAGGCCATATGGGCAAAACATGGCTTGCGCCGCCGGGGCTGATCCTGGAAGACGTGCGTCGTTTCGAACCCTGGTGGCACTTACTTACTTCCGGGCTAGAAAGCCCTGTATCTTCCCAACTTCAAGGGGAAAGATCTGGACAAAGGCGAGGTGAAGCACACGACGATCATGTGCTATGGCAAGATCACCCTGCTCGCTATCGAGTCGACGGAGCTTTCTGTCGTGCGTTTCACACGCAAAACCGCTCTAACGGGCTCTCATATTTCTGTAGCTCCAAACGCGAAGCTTCGTTGAATCCGTCCATCCCATGTTCGAATCCAACCCCTTGTATCAGCGTGTGCACATCAACGTCCAAGAAAACATTCTTAAAGCGCTCGTCGTCAATCTCTTTCTACATAACCTCAGAAAAAAGGTGCCTGAAGAATTGTACGGAAACTGTATGCTTTCTTCGCAGAATCTGGAGTATTTGCGAGGTCCGATGGCGTTGGACAACAAACTGGTCGGCTACGTGTATCTCATCGACGAGAATCTCAAGATTCGGTGGGCCGCGGGGGGAGATGCAACGATGTCAGAATTGAAAGCTTTGGAGACTTGCACGGCTGTTCTCTTGAACAGGTTAGCAGAGAAGCAGAAGAAACAACCTGCATCACCATCACCCTAGATTACAACAAAATTACAATATATAATGAACAACATCGAGGGGAGAGAAGACAGCGTTAGGTGGACTTCCGTCTCTTGCGAAGGGGTCGAGGTTCCATTGTTTTTTCGACTGAACTCTCTTCATCTTCACAATTGGATGAGCGCCGTTTCTTGATCGCAGCAGCGGCCTTCTCGATCTTGGCCTTGGCTTTGTCTTCCCTCTTTTGGAGTGATTCGGGCTCGAGAACATGGCAAAGCTCCACACGGCATCCCGCAGTGATCAGAACGTCGGACCAGAGCTGCCGAGACATGAGAATTGAAGTAGAGATAAAATTGCATACTACCTTCTGATTCTCTTGTAATGTGTCTCCTGGGCCTTTGACCTCCACGAACATACACTCCTTCTCTTCAGCATTCCACACGATGAGATCAGGAACACCACTGCTCCGGCCGCCGTAGTCTTCGCAGAAGAGCTTGCAGATGAGCGCTAAGACCTCACCACCGAGACACTGCGAACATGACTCAGGGCGAATCACGAAGGACCCGAGGCACACACCTCAACGATTTCAACCAGATCTTCCCGACTGCACATTTCCCAACCGACTCCCACGCAGCATGTCTTATTTTCTCGATGCCGGATGTCCACCTCCTCGAGGATGCTACGAGCCTTGCCGTTCCTGATGTCATCCAACCGGAGATCGATTAGCTGCTGACGGGCATGGTAAAATGAGTCCTCTGCGATGTCCAACGGGCCCATCTGCCATGGGGTTTCGAAAGCCCCGGGAACGGGAGCGAAGAGAACATCCCAGAAGAGAAGCCCAAAGACAGTGGTCAAAACTTGAGTCTCTGAGTGAAAGCTGCACAGTAATCAAAATGAGGCGTTCCGAGGGTCTGTTACAGACACACCCCTTGTAGCCCCGGAGTTCATAATCCTCCAGTGCATATGTTTCAACGTTGACGACTCCGTCTCTGCCCTGCCAGAGAGACTTTCCAGTCCAAGACGGTCGCTGTTTCGTGAGTTTTTCGCCCCCAGATGACCCCTGCTGTTCCCTGGCGAGGTACTTGACGATTTTGTTAGGTTGCTTGTTTTCCTTGAGGAGCTCAGTTTCAGGCTCCCCCCAGAATCGTATAGCTGTCACGTAGATTTCTGTGGGTTTGTTGAGAGCCGCAGGATCGTATTGGGTCTTGAGCTCTGCTGGAATTTTCAGCGACTTTTCGAGCCGATCAATACGCCGAATAAGCGGTGGCCGACACACTGAAAGTGATGTTGATGAGTGGGTAGTCTACGTGTACCGATGGACTCACCGATGGCTGTATCCTTATCGGCCAGACCCAGGATCACGCCTTGTCTCGCTTCCTTGAGGACATCGAGGTTGAGAGTTTTATCAAAGTTCTTGTGGAGATAGGTCATCTGAACCAGGGCCCTGCGATCATACCATCGACCCCGGCTCCCTCGGCGCCAGAACGTTTGGCTCAACAACAGATCCAGCATATCTTTCTCGACGCCAAATTCCTTGAGAGTAGCGAGCGCTTCCAGACATTTGCGAAGACATCGCGTGTAGACGAAACCTGCCTTCAGATGAGCGAGAGAAGTCGGGAAAACACACGCGCTTACCGGGTTCAAAGCGCTCTAGCCCTGGCCGCCGAGCACTAGTTCTCGTGTCCTCAGCGATGACCAGCGCTTTCCATTTGTCGATGACGTGGGAATCAAGGATAGCCTTGACCTGCCTCGCTTTATTCGTGACAACGGCATCGTCGTCTTCGTCGTCTTCATCTGCGTCTAACAAACCGACACCCCCTGCTCTTGCAGGTGCTGTGACGCTTCGCACAAAGTTCAGCCCCGGAGTCACCAGTCGCTTGATGTCCACTGCCACGGTCCGTGATCGACCGAATTGAGCTTCAGGCCGCAAAAGTTCTTCGATGATTGCCTCGAGACGGATTGCATCTTCGTATTCCAGGTAATCTTCCCGAGTTGCCCAAATGTCAGTGTGTCGCTTGTGCTCGTACTCGGCATATGTCCTCTTCTTGAATCCAGCAAAGAGAGCGGGTTGAAACAGAGACTCTGGAAACTCGGTACTGGCGTGCGATCATGAGCCAAGCGTAGAGCACAAAATCCATCCACGCACCTCCGGAACCAGATGACATGCAAGCGTAGCAACAGGGTGTGTATGTAAGGATTGAGCTGCACAGCTTTGCCTACACGAATCCCTCGTAAGGGTCAATCGAAAAGGCGAAACTGCGCACCAACCTATCTTCTTCAACATCAACTCTCTGAGGCGCGTAGTCTGCAGTCGGTTTGCGAAAGGCAATGTACTTTGTCGCAGCTTCGTGTTTGAAGATTTGGACTTTGACGATCCAGCATTGGACTTGAATGCTAACACCGATTGAGATGAAGCATGGCTGTTGAGGGCAAATATCATATGATCTTTCTGCAGTCCACGTCAATCAGCGGCTGAGCACAGGAACTAGTATGAAACGTACCTTCATCTGAGCATGTTTGATCCCAAGTGAATTACACAAATCCTTCAGCTCATCCACGTTGAGCAGCCGCAATCCATCGCCGGTAGACATATCACTCTCGTCCTGACAGAAGTAGTCCAGACAGACATCCTCCTCTCGTCCAAAGGCCCCACCGCGCATCGCAGTAGTCGATGGTCCCGCCACAGGTTTCGTATCCTCGTCTTCGTCTGAGTCGAGCGTCAAGTCGATGACATTGGGTTCACTAGGCTTGCCGGAGCGCAAGGGTTTACACAACTGCTCAATGGCGTTCTTCGCGCCATTGGGCCCAATCTCACTGACATACTTCCTGAGGTCTGAGAGTCTGAACCATCGGTCTTGCGTACGGAAGAGCAAGCGTATGAGGACGAATCGTGCATTGTCTTCGAGAATAGTGTCAGTTCACGGCAACCAATGGGTAGACGGATAATAGTGGGATCACGCACATTCAAGCCCTGCAACTGTATCCAAGAAGCCCCACTCCTCCTTGGAAAACAGAGCTGATTCTTTGCTGTCCCTTATGTTGTTGATAGCGCGCTCGATGACTTGAACATACAAGGAAGGCCGTGAGGATCCTGCTAGGCCGGTTTTGTCTTCATCGCATATTTCGGGAACATCTTCTATCTCAACCTCATCGACACCGTAAATCAATGCGTCCGCGATGTTTCGTAGTCGCTCCATGCAAGCTATTGGGACTGAGTGATTCGCGCAAGTTTGAGTGTCACAAGTTGCGTGACGAGCGCGTGATCGCGGCTGTGATCAAGTCACGATTCCGAATATCAGTGTGCTGAGGCTTCCGGAACGATGCATAAACACCGGCTCATGTACTCCCTGAGTCTCTTCCCATCCAACTGGGATTATTCCGCTGATTTATCTGTCTGCTATGAGATGGCGTTGAAGTTGAATTGCGGAAAGCGGCTGAACTGAGCAAGTCAGAGAAAGATCTACCAAACAAGTACAAGCCCTACGCGAATTGTGATCGGAAGTGCACCTTACCTCTCGGTCTCTCTCCGAATTTTTGTTCTCTCTGCCCATCAATCCGCCGTCATGAGCGGCCAATTTCCCGGTCAAGTTCCCTATGCATTGGGAAAAGAGCCCGTTCCCCCAGGCTTCACTGCCGAAGACATGGACAACATGCGTCAGCAGCGCCGGATGGAACTGTTCATGAACGAGGCCATGCTGTCCTGTCCCGCGAAGACCGTGCTGGCTGGTGTTGCGGGTACGTACCTTGGCTGCGTGTTCCCCGCGTCATGGACCATTTCCCAGAGCTCAATAAACAGGTGTCGGCTTCGGTGCCATTTTCACGCTGATGACGGCTTCCATGAGCTACGAGGACCCGTTGCTGAGGCAAAACGCGGGTACGGCGCAGAGGGCGAGGGATATTCTCCGGGATACAGGGAAGAGTATGTGGTCCAGTGGGAAGAGCTTCGGGAAAATTGGGGCTCTTTTCGCGAGTATCGAATGTGTCATTGAATCAGTAAGTTGGGCCCTGATTCTGTCCGCGCCGATGCTCACTTTTTCCGATTCAGTACAGAGCTAAAACGGACATCTACAACTCTGTCGGCGCTGGGTTTCTTTCAGGTGGTATCCTTGCACGATCATCCGGGCCGAAAGCTGCATTTGGCGGTGGAATCGCATTTGCCGCTTTCTCAGCCGCTATTGATATGTTTCTACGACGAGAACCTGCAGAGTGAGTCCTTGCCAACGTTCAAAAGTCCATTATCTTATTGTGCTATAGCGAGGATTAAGCAAGCCATTTTACCCTATAATAACCAGTTGTCTACCCCATCTCCGCTGTACCGCTAATCAAAAGTTCAAAAACAGTCTATAATGCACTTCAAGCGTAGGCTGGGGGAGCTTCGCCTGCCTCGCTTTCCAGCCCAGATACGAGCCGCTCGAAAAGCGTATTCTGAGCGAGAAGAGATTGCCTTGCGTGGGCCCGATCTCCATGCGAACTGGAAGAATCGGTCGAGTGGACACGTCGGAGATTCGTGCGCCTCTCTTTACACGGACATGGTGGCAACTCGTCGGCGGGGTCTTCGAACGAGGACGAATACTGAGGCAGCGACATCCATTCCGGGTTGCATCGACACTGCAGGCAAAACGTCAGCACTCAAGGCCCAATAGACAAGACGCTAACAAACCGAAAGGATGTGCACTGGGGTCTGGACAACGATGTCAAACAACTTCGGGTTGCCTGTTTTCGGATCTAGGGCGATCTCGGAATCCCCACGTTCGACTCGGAACATGAACTTGAGCATATGGGTGACACAGATATTGGCGCTTTTGTTCTTGTTCGTGAAGTGGACTGATGCACAGGATGCCGGCAATGACAGGTCGCGGTTGAATTGCCATGGGCCAGGCCCCATCCAGGACGAAGCCAACTCGGACAAATCTTCTTCCGCGTCCATCATTGCGACCAGCGGCGAGTGCTCCAAGGCATCACCAGAGTTGGAAGACAGGGGCAGAATAGGTCCACCATCGTTGTTTTTGACGAGGAGCAGTACGAAACGAGCCGGTGGATCAGTCCGTATGATCTTCTTCACCTGTGACTGGTACTCGACCTTTTCTATTGACGGTCGGTACACAGAAAGGTGAGCAGGGTCAAGTACGTGCCTTCCAACATGATAGTGATTCGATGGATTTTAATCTTGTCCAGAGGCATAAAGTTCAACGAAATGGGGATTTTGCCTAGACAACACGTCAACTATGTCCTTCGTTTCAGCAGCTGAACTCCGGCTCACCTCCGACTGGAAAACTTCGCCCATTGATTGAAACGACATATTGCATTTGCTGTTCCCAGAATCTTTCGACAACGACAGTTTCCGTGTCTTCGGTCTCGTCTTCGACTGGTGCAGCTATCACGAGGACTTCACGTGCTGCTTGCAACCTGGTCGTGAAAGCGCCCGGACGATGCACATTGGCCTTCAAGCGCCATGTGACATTCCCATAGTCGCATTGGATGGTGGGTGGCGCCGTTGAAGGGATAGTGAAGGATATCGGAAAAGAATATGTCCCTGTATGCTCGATCATTTGCACGGATCCCACCGAAAGGGTCCACCGACTCACCTTTCTTGAATTCTTTCCAGCTTTCGCCATGATCTTTGTCCTTTGGCTCTTCCTTGACGGGCAGGATCGCGTCTCGAGTGGGTTCCCAGCGCTCGAGCTTTTCGCGCGGCCGCCCGCGCCGGTTAGACTCCTCGCGCTCTTTCGAAACATGCGTCCGGGGCGATCTCGACCGCACGGCTTCCTTTAGAACATTCGACACCGACGCTAGACTGAAACGCGATCGCCTCCCCCGACGGTCTACTGGGCTTGAGCTACCGTTTGTGGTTGCCCCGTCCTCGTCAGCTTCAGCGAGGGTGTCTATACTTGGCCGCCGCGACAAGGAACGGTCGGCGTCGAAGAATGAAGATATCGTGCCTGGAGATCTATCGCCTCCTCGAGCTGTGGAGAGAACGAGTCAGTTTCTGCCCAAGATTCGGCCGAAGGCTGGCGCACATCGAGACGGCGTCAAGCTCGCATTCAGAGTATTGCGAAAGTCTTCAAGCGCATGGGCAGGATCTTCCTCGAGCCTCGAACGGCTTGTGGATGGGGTCGGACGAGCGTGGGTGTTGCCATTGGAACGTGGTGGTGTTGCCGGTGAGTAGGCAGGAACGTGCTCGAAAGAGGTGTTCAGATGGAAGTAAGACGAGTCGACACTGAATTGACGAGGGGCTGGAGTGGGCAGGGGGAAGTCCTCGGGTGTTGGGGTTGCGTCCCTCGCCGACTGGGCTTGTGGAAACTCGTCACTATGCCAAGTATCAAGCCCAGGCCCAACTGAAACAGTGCGCCTTGACGCTGGACCAGCGCGGAAGAATTGAATCGACTGCGTGAACAGTTTGTGGTCTTCTTGGATGTCGACATGTCTTGCGCCGACCCCTTGTTATCGTCTTCAGCGGGATTTCTGTTAGCCATGATACTAGAGATGTCACACCTTCTGGCCATGAAGTCGACGATCGAGCTTGCAATTGGATGTCTATGCTCTTGATCTTGGTGGGTTTGACTGTATACCTTGAGACCATCAGTTTCTTGCAAGACGCGCCCAGAATTCCATGTCCGAACCTAGAGAGAGCGTCAAGAGGCCCCTAAGCACAGAGGTCGGGGTTTGCGCTGCAGCGTGCGCAGGGTTCCGACGGCGGCGCGCATTGTTTTCATCTGTGCGGAGAAACACAGCACTCTCTGTGAGTCGAATAGATAGAGAGTTCTTGGGCATGAGTGGAAGAAACAAGAGAGATAGAGAGTATCCACCGAGTCACCGACGCACGGTCCGGATCCCGACACATGTATTTTCCGGCAGCGTGTGTCAAACGAGCACAGCATCGATCTAGCACGTCAAAGCATTTTTCTTCCGACGCTTCCAGCCCTCTCTGGCCTTTTCCCATGCCCTCTGCTTCAAGAAAGCGGCAGACGATCGGGTTCGTAATCGGAACGCCTTCGCTACTCTGATGTCTCTGTTCTCGTACACCATAGTCATCTCTTCTCGCACTCCGGCGTCGGGTTTGCCGTGTTCTTCTGACGCCTCCTGAGGTTCGCATGGTAAGCGGGATAGATCAAGATAGCTGATCAAGATCCGACAAGCCCGACGGGCGACGGTAGCCCGGTGGGATATCGGACTCATGTGTGCATGTGCTCTCTCTACCTACGTCGTCATCATCCTTCAATTGGCTTCTAGTGACCGCTCAATCTGCTAGGACGTGTGAAATCGCTATCCTTCCTGGTCCAGTAGCTGAGACAGCGATGCGCCGCACTCTGGACTGCACTCTCTCCCTGCACCATGACCACCCGATATTTCACGAACGTGGGGCACCCCAATCTTGAGGCATCTGCTCCGTCCTCCAATGCTACATTCACCCTCGCTTACCGCACGTACGGAACTCCTGATTCCCGAGCCATTTTCATTCCCACATGCTACGGTGGCAAATTGGACGACACTCTGACATTCCTATATGTTCCTACCGACGACAAGCCCGCTGCAGCGCTCAAGGACCACTTCGTGGTCGTCTGCGGGTTGCTCGGCGGGGGCGAGTCCAGCTCCCCATCCAATGCACCAGAGGCGATGAGCGGAGCGCGATTCCCCCACGTAACGTACGAGGATAACATCCGTCTGCAGTACCAGCTCTGCCAGGCCCTGGGGATCACCCAGCTGACCGCATACATCGGGTTCAGCATGGGTGGCCAGCAGGCGTACTACATGGGGGCAATGTATCCGGACTTCGTCGAACGCATCGTGGTGTTGGCCGGCTCGGCTCGCACGAGCTGGCACAACTACTGCTTCCTCGAGGGCCCCAAAGCCGCTCTTGTGAACTCCGTCGACTTTCACGACGGCCAATATCAGAGTCCGGCCACCCGTGGGACGCGTGCATTCGCGCGGGTGTACTCGGCCTGGGCCCTCTCGCAAGCTTGGTTCCGCGAAAAGTGCTGGGAAACCCTCGGTTATCGCGATCTGGAAGAGTACCTGCGTGTCGACTGGGAGGGCGGACTGGGTGTTTGGGACGCTAATGATCTGCTCTGCATACTGCGCACGTGGCAAAACGGGGACATCTCCAAACTCGGCCCGGAAGCAGACCGTGGAAACCTATCCCAGGCTCTTGCCCGAATCAAAGCGAAGGCGTTGGTCATGCCGTCCCGAACTGACACTTATTTCCCTCCTGAAGATTCTGTCGCCGAAGTGAAGGATCTGGAACACGGAGAACTGCAGGTCATCGAGAGCATCTGGGGCCATATGGCAGGTGGCGGAGGAGGTACCAAAGAAGACGAAAAGTTCATTGTAGCTCACGTCCAGCGATTCCTCAGTTAGTTTTCAAGTATGTAAGCCAAATTTCTGAATGTACATGTATACTTGCGGCTAGATAACGGTGGACTCGTCCGCATTGAGGATAAGAGTAGTAAAGAAGCGAACCATCTCAAATAGAGACTCTGCCAGAACAGCTGTGCACAGTAGTCAGTCGGGCGGCTAGGGTCGTTCACAAGTAGACGGACCTTCATTTACAGTATGCGCTCCACCAAGGATCTCCCGTTTGCCCATGGCATTGTTGTGGTTGTATCGGAAGATGCTGTGTGAAAGGTTCCAGTAGTAACGGGTGTCCGTGTTTCCAGTGCTCATGCCCGGGGCAACGATGATGGCGTTGGGGTCATCCAGACCGCGGTGCGCGTTGAAAGTGGCTTTGATCGATCCAGAGAGGATCTGGTATGCCTCAGAACCCGGTCCGCTCAGAGGAGATCGGGGCGCCGGCTCCAGCGCAGTTCCATGGGCGTCTTTCAACGTCAAGGTTCCGTAGGCAGGAGCATTGGCTGCCGAGATAAGCTTGCCGAATGCAGTGTAGGTCAAGTTAAACTCTTCAGCAAGGCCCTGTAAGAGAGCGGTGTCGTGTGCCATGGTCTCGCCCACAGAGCTGTAGTTGTTTCAGGAACGATCCGAATTGACTACAAGTAAAACAGCCAACCTGGACGTCGAGATCCGGTGGTTTACAAGCGCCACAGCCTGTTCTGGAAGCGCGTTGCTCTTGACACCACCTAGAGACAAGTCAGACTCGGAACACAAACGAGTCTATTCGCTTACCGTGGATGATATCCACAGCTTGAGTCGTTCCAATCAGCGCACGCTGGACCGGCTGCGCGAGAACGATCGCTTCCACTTCTTTGAGGGCACGGTCGGAATGCCGCGAGCGCCGAACCAGTTTCTTGAAGTCCTCGGTATAGCTTGGGGAGTACTCAGTCATGCATTGCAGAGTCTGGTATGGCACAGAGTCGCGATCCTGAGTCGGCGTGAGTATTCAAGTATAAAGAAGGTGGAAGCGGAGCAGACCAAGGTGGCAGGGTACGGGTTCTCCTCATATTTTACGATCAGCGCAGCAAGCATACCGATGGTCTACAGGGAGAATATTAAGATCAAGTCCGTTCCATCCCGATGGTCTTACGGTGTGAACAGGCGGAATGGAAGAGTGACCCCCCGGAGAGTTGAGCTCCAGCTGAACATCTAGGTAGCCCTTCTCAGCAACAGCAGGCATAGCAAAGACACCCTGTTCAGCGTCGCCGCCGAATCCTCCTGCGATGCCCTGCGTCAGCTAGGCAGACAGAACAAGCACTGTGCGCTTACCCCCTTCGTCGACGACGAAAGCAAACGGCAGATCCTTTCCGTAGATTTTCTCCATCGCTTCACCGAGAGCGCCGGCTCCCTGTCGTCCAGACGCCTCTTCGTCGAAGCCAAAGGCGATGACGATGGTGCGCGCTGGTTTGAAACCCTGTGCGATCATGGTCTCGATCGTGGCCCTGCGGAATTGATATGGACGCTTTCGCTAAGAATGGGGCAGACCTACATAATTGAGATCAGACCGCTCTTGTCGTCTGAGCTGCCGCGACCCCAGATGTATTTGCCTGGGTTTTTTTAGTTTGGAGCCCTCGGACACCAAAGTCTCCGCACCATCGTAGTGTCCAGAGAAGGGTGGGTGAGTCCAGTCTGTCTCCAGATCAGTCCCTGCGTGAGTTCCGTGAACCTAGAGTGAGCCCACCATCGTATGTAAGCGGCTCGACGGGAACGACGTCTGAGAGAGAAAGGTTCAGTCAACAGCTAGCAACTTTCAAGCTATCGTACCCTGGTGGGCAGCGAACAAGATAGGTTTAAGCGAAGAATCCGAGCCAGCCCACTGGTACAACAGGCCGTAGGTGTTGACCTTCGTTAGCGCCAAGGTTTCGTGTCTGAGCGCAATCTAGATCCAATTCCGTCCCGAAGAAGACGTTATACTCACACAAGTGGGAAAGCGGACAGCAGATAGTCGTGAAATGGCCCAAAGACCTCCCATCGCGGGTCTTGGCCAGGCGGAGGCATACCATCATACACCTCCGTCCTACAAGCCCACAGTCAGAGTCTATTCCGAGTGAACCGAGAGGGAGCGCACGGGACTTGGACGGCCTCCGACAGCCAAGTGATGATCTTGGACTGGAACGCGTCGGTCGCGAGCAGGTCCCCGACGGCGTCCAGCAAAGGCGCGCCGCGCTTCGGGGTGACCACGCCAGCCTGTGCGCAGCTGGCCTCGTAGCGGTGCAGCCCCAGGCTCTCTCCTGCGACCACGGAAACACGCGAGGTGATCTTGTCCGCGTGCGAGAAGAACGAGAACGCGACACACGCGAGGGTGACCGCGACGAGGAGCGCGCTGCGGCGGCGGGAGCCCGAGCTGGGCGCGGGGGCCGTGCCGGTGGGCAGGGGAAGTGCGGATTTCTCGCTCGCCATGGTATGGGACGAAAGCAAATATGCGGCGCTAGCTGCTTGGAGTCGTGTGAATATAGCGGCTGACTATAGTTTTGCCGCCTTCGCCGCCGCCCATCGATCGACTTCGATACCGCACTGATCCGTGGTGGCCTATCTTATCGTCCCCGAATCTCTTATCATCATTCTCCCCATTTCATGTAGGTTACAGAACATGATGATTCATACAGGGTGAACGAACTAGATTTCAGTCGACTCGTCCGCATTGAGGATGAGCGTGGTAAAGAAATGGATCATCTCAAGCAAACTTTCCGTGCGGATGACTGCAGCAAGATTAATTTCTCTTGCCTTGTGTAAGTACTCAATTCCTTACCTTCGTTAACCGTGTGAGATCCCGACGGAAGCTGATCGCCCATAAGGTTCTTATGATTGTAGCGGAAAATATTGCGCGAGAGGTCGTGGTAATAACGGCTACCGGTGTTCTCGGTGTGGAGGCCAGGAGAAACGATGACTGCGTTGGGATCATCGAGTCCACGGTAACCGTTGAAAGCAGCTTTGATACTGCCAGAGAGGATCTGATATGCCTCAGAACCGCGCCCACTGATGGGGGATCTCGGCGCCGGTTCCAGTTCACCTCCTTCAACAGCTTCAAGTCTCAAAGTACCGCGGTCAGACCCGGGGGCCGCAATGATCTGTCGGCCGAAAGCAGTGAAGTTCAAGTTGAACTCGTGGGCGATGCTGTGCAAGAGCGCTGTGTCACGTGCCATGGTTTCAGCAACAGAGCTGTCGGTGTTCAGATCGTTTCGCAAGCTAACTGTACAGGATACTGACCTTGAGGTCGAAATCCGATGATTGACCAATGCAACCGCCTGCTCAGGAAGTGAGTTGCTCTTCACACCACCTGACACTAGATGAGAACACGACTAGGAAGATCCGCAGCTCTTACCCTGGATGATGTCCACAGCTTGGGTCGTGCCGATCAAGTGCCGCCACGTCTCATCCTTGAAGATGATGTCTTCCACTTGCGCTAGTGCATAGTCGGAATATTGCGACATATCGATAAATTGCTTCAATTTCCAGGGAATGGTCGGAGAATACTTGGCGCGGCACTGGAGCATTTGGTAGGGAACCGAGTCACGATCCTGTACGCAAAACGTGAGAGGGACATCCACAATAGAGATAGGCTATGGTACCAAGTTGAGCGAGAATGGGTTATCCTCATACTTGACGATGACCGAACCAAGCATGCCAATGGTCTACACGTCAGAGGTCAATGACAGTTTCGACGATGTGGGCATTGCGTACGGTGTGAGCCGGTGGACGAGAGGAATGTCCGCCGGGAGACCTGACTTCGACTTCAAGATCGAGATAGCCCTTCTCGGCCACAGCAGGCAATGCAAAAATGCCATCTCTGCTGTTGCCACTGAAACCCCCACCCTCCTCGAGCACAAACGCAAACGGCGTATCGTAGCCATAAAACTCCTCCAGTTCAGCCGCAAGGGCTCTAGATCCTTGAGCTCCAGACAATTCTTCGTCGAAACCGAGCGATAGAACAATCGTCCTCGCAGGCTCGAAACCATTCTCTATCATGGTTTCAAGAGTGGTCCTGCGATGTCTTTAAGCCGAATCACAAGCCGAAGAGAGCTTACTGATACGTACATCACGGCGGTGAGACGGCTCTTGTCGTCAGCGGCCCCTCGACCGTACATATATTCACCTACAACTAATCAGTTCCCCCGCACCCGACCGTCCATGCATTGGTGACCATACCGACTTCATCCGCTTGGAACGGTTCGTGGTTGCCTTGCTTGTCAAGGCTTCTCCACCCTCATAATTGGCTCGATTTCGTCGGACCCGGCTTCCCCCGCTGTTCCGTTCCTCTCCGTGTTTTTCCTGTCGGTCTCGAGTTCGACCCGTCGTAGTTGCCCGTATCAAAGAAAAAATTAGAATTAATTTTGATATCAAATAGCAAGGCAGAATGTCGGCGGAGCCGACGCTTTCTAGTTCCAATCTATGCATGAAAATTGGTCGTAATAAAGTGACTGCAAACCACCCTCATAATTGGCTCGATTTCGTCGGACCCGGCTTCCCCCGCTGTTCCGTTCCTCTCCGTGTTTTTCCTGTCGGTCTCGAGTTCGACCCGTCGTAGTTGCCCGTATCAAAGAAAAAATTAGAATTAATTTTGATATCAAATAGCAAGGCAGAATGTCGGCGGAGCCGACGCTTTCTAGTTCCAATCTATGCATGAAAATTGGTCGTAATAAAGTGACTGCAAACTAGTCACACACCACTGAGTGTCTCACTCTCGACCGGGACCACATCTTCGCGCCAAATTTTCATTCGAGAATAAAATCCGCGGCAACAGTGCTTACCCTGATGCGCCGTGAGCAGAATGGGAGCAAGTTCTTCATTCGACCCCTCCCATGTATACAGCCGAGCATATCTGTTAACAGTTCGCACGTCCAGTCTATCATGCCTGCGAAACCTCAGTGGAAGTGAAAGTCTTTCTATCAGGTGACGCGCACTCACATGAGGGGATAAGTGACATCAAGATAGTCTTGGAGGTCCTGGAACACGTCCCATCGACGATCACCATCGAGCATAGTCATATCGTCTTCGACTACGGTCCTGGAGGCCATGGCATCAGGAGGACTGGTGACATCTCCGAGTGAAGCGAACTGACGGGATCCGAATCGCTCCCGCGAGCCGGTCTATGACATTCGATTGGAAGTTTTCGCTCATGAGCAGGTCAGAGATAGTTTCCAAAAGCTCCGCATCACGCTTGGGCGAGAGCACATCCGCTTGGTGGCAGCCGGTCTGAGGTCTGGCGCTGAGCTTGAATGTCTTTGCGCTCGCTTTACGGACGTATTTGCTGAACAGGCCAGAGTGTGAGACGACCAGCAGCGCGAGACAAGACAGAGTGACGATGCTGAGCATCGCGTTTCTGACGCGACGGTTCTTCGGCTTCGGCTTCGGCGCTGGGATCGGGGCCATGGGCAGAGGGAGTGAGTTTTTCTCGTCGGCCATGGTGGTTTCGAATAAATCGCGTCCACCATGGTCAGTGCCATATATGCGGCCGTGGCCAGAGCGGCGAATGGTTAGGTTGCGGAGTTCTGGAGGTAGGGTCCAGCGCTTATGTCAACGCCCGATCGACGGAGGCTAATGCGAGTTCGGTGCCGGGGAGAAGACAACAGCGTAGATTAGATTAGATCGGACCAATTCATCAGTCTTGTCCCAAATCGGAATCTCCATTCGCTAGTCGTTTCGCCAGCCAACTGACTGTTTCTTGCCCACTCGCCTCGTCCTATCTGTTCTTTTCTCACTCGCGCTTGGGCTGATTCGGGTTTTTGAGGCCAGCGGGTTTGGTTCCCCCTGCTGCCAGGGTTGCTCGGTCACCGCATGTCCCGCCCAATCGTGAATGACGAGACGATTTTCAAGCAGCCGACCAGGCTCCAACCTTCCTCGCACGCACCGCACACATCATTATGCAACTCGGCTTCGAAATTTCCTATGAGATCTTCCTGTCTCCGTCTACTGTCACTAAACCCTCTCAACCCCAGCGAATCCCTAGCTGATTTGTCTGACGGGCTCGCATCCGAAAATCAAAGGTCCCTCGTATAGCCTCTGGGCCGCAAAGCGCTGAGGCATCACAGTCTTTTAATGGGCCATCGAGATCGCTTGATGGACCATCAAGCTCACAGAGGGGGCTTATTTCCACTCGAAGGCCTGTACAAGCAGACACTTCCATCTGGTTTGATAATGTACCTGAGTAAGCTGCTATTACAAGCTTATATGTGGAAATGGGGGATTAGCAGCGGCAAACCAGCCAGAAAGCATTTTTGCATAAGTGGTGCGAGCTGTGCTGCGCCTGTGCAGTCAAGATTTTACTCGTTTACATATCGTCCATATTATTTTTACGCAAGTAGTTGACTAATACACGGTACACAAACAGACACAAACTAGATTTCAGTTGACTCGTCTGCGTTGAGGATGAGCGTAGTAAAGAATTGAATCATCTCCAGCAAACTATCCGCACGGATGACTATGATGACATTAGTTTCTGCGGCCTTGTGTGAGCACCCAGCCAGCGAGTTGCTTGCCTTCATTAACCGCGTGAGCTCCCGATGGACGCTGGTTGCCAACAGAATTCTTGTGATTGTAGCGGAAGATGTTGCGCGAAAGGTTGCGGTAGTAATGGCTGCCGGTGTTCTCGGTGTTGAGGCCGGGAGAAACGACGACTGCGTTGGGGTTGTTGAGACCATGATAATCGTTGAAAGCAGCCTTGATAGTGCCCGAAAGAATCTGGTATGCTTCGGAACCGCGTCCCCTGACAGGGGATCGGGGTGCCGGTTCCAACGCTTTGCTGTAAGCAGTTTTGAGTGTCAGAGTACCTTGGGCAGGCATAGTGGCTGTAGAGATCTGCCTGCCAAAAGCATTGAAGTTCAAGTTGAACTTTCTAGCGACACTTTGCAAGAGGGCTGTGTCGCGGGCCATGGTTTCAGCAACAGAGCTGATGCAGTTCAGACAGTTTTGGGAATCAAATGTAGAAGGCACAGACCTTGAGGTCGAGATGCGGTGATTGACTAATGCGGCGGATTGCCCGGGAAGCGAATTGCTCTTCACACCACCTGACACCAGGTGAGCGAACAACTTCAGATGATCCACAGCTCTTACCCTGAATAATGTCCACAGCTTGAGTTGTGCCAATGAGTTGTCGATACGACTCGTCCTCGGAGACAATTTCTTCCAGTTGAGCCAGTGCGTAGTCAGAATATTGCGAGAGATCGATGAGCTGCTTCAGTTTCCTAGACATGGTGGGAGAATACTGAGCACGGCAGTGGAGCATTTCGTAGGGAACGGAATCGCGATCCTACGTCCAGAGGTTAGAAAGCATGTTCGCAACAAAAACACCGGCCAGACCAGGTTGAGCGAGGACGGATTATCTTCGTACTTGACGATCGCCGAGGCGAGCATCCCGATAGTCTAGACGTTAGCATTCAATGGAAAAACTCGCGATGACTTGGAAATGGCGCACGGTGTGCGAGGGTGGACGAGAGGAATGGCCGCCAGGAGAGGTGACTTCGATTTGGACATCGAGATAGCCCTTCTCAGCGACACCAGGCGATGCGAAAATACCGTCTCTGGCATTCCCGCTGAATCCTCCACCCTCATCGATCACAAACGCAAATGGCCTATCCTTGCCGAATATGTTCTCCATTTCCGCCGCAAGGGCCCCGGATCCCAGAGCTCCAGACGATTGTTCGTCGAAACCGAACGATAGCACGATCGTCCGCGCGGGCCGGAAACCATTTTCAATCAGCGTTTCCATAGTGGTCCTGCAAGGTCTTGAAACGTGATCACAACAGGAGAGGGCTGGCTGATGCGTACATGATGGCGGTGAGACGGCTCTTGTCTTCGGAGGCCCCGCGGCCCCAAATGTATTCACCTGCGCTTGTTGAGCTCCCTCGCCATGACGTCTAGGTAATAGTCGCTATACCGTCATAGTACGCGTCAAACGGACAGTGCTCCCAATCTATGCGTGAAAATCAGCCGTATTCTGGCGACTGTACCAACTGTCACGCACCGTCCATTGTCTCTTCCTCGACCGGGACCACATCTCCATGCAAAGTTTCGATCCGAGACATCGGGCCCAGACAATTGCACTCACCTTGATGCGCCGTGAGAAGGATGGGAGCCAGCGATTCGTCCGAACCCTGCATTGTGTAAATCAGTCCGAAGTTGTTGACCTTTTTCATGTCCAGAGTCTCATGGCTGCCATGCTTTGATCAGTCGAAAGTCTTCCTGTTCAGCAATGCTCACTCACACATTGGCATAACTGGAATAAAGATGTTCGTGGAGATCCACGAAAGCCTCCCAACGCTTGTCGCTATCAACCTCAGTCATGTCGTCGTAAATCACGGTCCTAGAAGCATTCCGTTAGAGGTCGCATCCCATTTCCAAGTGAGGCAAACGAACGGAATCCGGATCGCTGCCATATGCCGATCGATCGCCTTCTGCTTGAACTCGTCCGTCGCAAGAAGGTCCGAAATGGCCTCCAAAAGCTCGGCGTCACGCCGCGGCGAGAGCACATCCGCCTGGTGGCAGCTGATACGAGAGCCGGCGCTGAGCTTCATCATGGCCTGTGCGCTCGCATCGTGGATGTATCTGTTAAACAGGCCAGAGCGCGAGACGACCAGCCACGCGATACACGATAAAGTAACGACGGCGAGCAGCGCGTTTCGGACGCGACGGCTCTTCGGCTTCGGCGCTGAGATCGGCGTGATGGGCATGGGGAGTGAGTTTTTCTCGTCAGCCATGGTGTTTTCGAGTGTCTCGCGTCCTACATGACCAGTGCTATATATGCTGTGGATTAGAGCGGCGGACGGCTAGATTGTGGAGTGTGGAAGCAGGGTCCAGTGCTTATGTCAAATTCCGATTGACGAGGGCCGATGCGAGGCCGCGAGCTCGGCTCCGGGTTCAGCCGTCAAGGACTCAAGGCACAGGAGAAGACAACGCAGTGCTGATAAGATTCGATAATCTGATTTCCTCAGCCTTGCCCCGCTTGGGATTGCTGTCGCTGCTCGCCAGTCCTCCGGCGATGCCTCAATCACGATCATCTTGCATGCCTTCCCTGCCCGTTTTGCCACTCGGGCGATTTTTTCTCGCCTAACCACGTCGTCAATGTTTTCGCTTACCCTGAAGTCATTTGGAGCTTTCAGGCTACCTCGTTTGTGGAGCCTTTCTGCACGATTTTGGTTCTTCTTGCTGCCAGGGCTGTTCTGTTCCGGCACGTTTCACTCCAATCGTGCACTATGAGATAATTTGACATCAGTTGGCCGGACTCCAACCTGATTCTCCGCATGTACCGCACACAACTCAACTTCGTAATTTTCTATCAGATCTTCCTCCCCATCCACCGTCACTAACCCCTCTCAACCCCAGCCAATCCCTAGCTGACTTGTCTGTCTGGCTCCCGAGCGCACATCGGAGAGCTCGTCTATCGTTCCGGCGCTTCTATGCAGGAACTGGTCAGATGACAGTGGATTCATCCGCATTCAGGATGAGCGTCGCGTAGAAGCGGATCATCTCAAACAGGCCATCAGCCAGAAGGGCTGCAAGCGCCATGAGCACAGTCCAAGTGGAGTACGAAAGGACCAGAACCTTCATTGACGGTGTGAGCCCCAGTCAGGCGGTCCCTTCCCATCGAGTTCCGGTGGTTGTATCGGAAGATGTTTCGAGACAAGTTCCAGTAGTGGCGGGTGTCCGTGTTGCCGGTGCTGTGCGCAGGAGCGACAGTGATGGCGGATGGATCGTCTAAATTCCGATGGGCGTTGAAGACCGCTTTGATGGTCCCAGAGAGAAGCTCATATGCTTCAGAGCCAGGCCCCGCAAAACGCGTAACCGGCGCCGGCTCCAAGGCCGTTCCGTGAGCATCCGTGACAGTCAAGGCCCCATATGCTGGGGCACCCGGAACCGAGATCAGCGTGCCGAACGCAGTATAGGTCAGATTGAACTTTTCAGCCAAGTCTTGCAGGAGAGCCGTGTCATACGCCATGGTTTCGGCGACAGAGCTGTACAACCAATGTCAGATCTCAAATGTGTGCTGGAAAATTGATGAAAAGAGACCTTTCGGTCGAGATGCGGTGATTGATAATCGCAATAGCTTGCTCAGGAAGTGCGTTGCTTTTTACACCCCCGTGCATGATATCCACGGCCGCAGTCGTTCCAACCAGAGCACGGTATGTCTTGTCACGGAAAATAATGCTTTCAAGTTTGTGGAGCGCATCGTCCGAATGTATGGACCGCTTGATGGCCTGTTTCAGATCCTTGGGAATGTTTCGCGTGTGCTCTCCGCGACATTGAAGAGTTTGGTATGTCACTGAGTCACGAGACTTGTGCTGTCATGAGAATGGGCTCCGGGACTGGTCGAAAACTTTGCGCACCAAGTGCAACGGGAACGGTTTGTCCTCGTATTTAACAACAAGTGCGGCCAGCATGCCGATTGTCTGAAGTTCTGCATGAGATCAGATATCAAGAGGGAGTGCCGGCACATGCCGTATGTTCGGGAGGAACGGACGAATGCCCCCCGGGAGACGTCAACTCGAGTTGGACATTGATGAAGCCTTTCTCGGCAATAGCCGGGGTGGCGAAAACACCTTGAACCAAATCGCCGTCGAATCCGCCCCCCTCGTCGATCACGAACGCAAACGGATGGTGGCTGCCGTATAGCTCCTCTATCGCCGGGCCAAGGGTGCCTGCACCGCGGAAACCGAAAGCCTCCTCGTCGAAGCCGAATGCGAGGACAACAGTTCGCGAAGGGCTGAACCCTTGCTCGAGCAACAATTCTATAGCACCCCTGGCAGGCGATGAGAATTGAGTGGATGTCAGATAGCTGGTCTCACAAGACTGAAATCAGGCCGCTCTTGTCGTCGGCACTCCCACGACCCCAAATGAACTCGCCTAGATCCGCGGCCTGTCAAGTCTGAAACAAAGTGCACAAGATCCCCGCACCATCATAGTAGCCGGAGAACGGCGGATGCTTCCAGTCTGTTGAGCTATCAACTCGTGAGTGGTTGTAAAGATGGACAGACACGGACCCTTCCAGGTCAGAGGTTCTACAGGAACCACATCTGGAATGAATCATTGAGAATGTCAGCACAGACGACGTAGGAGAGCAAGAGACCTTGGTGGGCAGTGACCAGGATCGGTTTGAGGCTCGAGTCTGAGCCATTCCACTGATACAACAGTCCGTACGTATTGACCTTGGTCAACGAAAGTTTGTCATGTCTACAGAACTGTCAGGTACAGTCAAAGAAACATCCGACTCGCGACTTACACCCGAGGGAAAGTGAAGGCGAGGTAGTCATGGAAAGTCGAAAACACATCCCATCGTGGATCCTGGCCAACGGGTGGCATATCATCGTACATCTCGGTACTGACACACACATGAAGATTCATAGTCCGCGGGAACTTGGATGCACATACGGGATCTGAACCGCCTTCGAAAGCCATTCTATAGCCTGCGTCTGGAAACCTTCCGTCGCGAGAACGTCGCTGAGCGCCTGCGATACACGAGAATGCCGCTGCGGAATGAGGAGGTCCGCTTGCGGACACATAATGGGTGCGGCCCGATACAAATCAAACGCGTTCGCGATAGTTGTTGCATAGTGTCTTGCGGTGAATCCGATGCATGAGCAGAGTGCGAGAGTGAGCAAGAGGGTGCGGTAGATACTCTGTCGCGGATGGAGAACAACTTGAGGCGCCTGAGGGAAAGGGAGCCGAGTTTTCTCGTCAACCAGGCCGACTTGCATAGTCCTAAAGTGCTACTAGTAGACGCGGGTAGCAGCGGCCGATAAGCCCCGCTGGAGTAAACATCCTCGGCTCGCGCGGCGGAGTGTCAGATTTCAAACTCCGAGGTGCTTCTCGTGACAGCCCCTAAGTGAATTCTAGCCCTCTAGGTACCAGGAGGTGGCTCTGAATACTTGGAGGAGACGCGTCTAAAGATACAATAAGTTTTGGTCTTCTCTCATCCCATAGTCTCCAGACTCTCCACGCACTTGCCGCAATCTCCACACGCCGAAGTCATGTCCAGCCTCCCCTCTTTAGCTAACGTCAAGCTCGACCACGATGGCGAAAGCCTCTGGCCTAACATACTCAGCGCAGAACAAGCCGCTCTGAGGGCAGCTCCGACGAAGCCTCGCGCAGAGTGCAACGACCCGCTCATTGGCATTCGCGTTCTGGGATTCTTGTTGCAGGATCTTTGGCAACATGACCAGCACTCCTTTGGCCTTATTCCGTACAAAAGACTCGTCAAAGAGATCGCCTCCTGCCTGTCAATCTCCGGTCAGATCATCCCCGGTCAGAGCGAGGAAGAGGCTGAAGCGCAGTATGTGAAACTCCAGAACCTGGGATTGCATTATCGTAATCACCTCATCCGCGTTTGTAAGTCATATATTCTTCCATCACTTGGTGGTAATTGGACTCTCTTCCAGTTTGTTCAAATGGCAGTCCGATCCCCGAATGCTCCGATCCCCCTTCTCCTCCATCTCTGGACGTCGTTCGCGACAGGATATTGGGCGGGATGAAGACCCCAACAACAGCGGGCGGTGCGCGTCAGATTGTAAGCCCGAGGCCGCCATAACAAGTTCTATCCAACTTCTTCCAGGGATTCCTGCGGGATGGATATTGCTGTATGCTGACCGGGCATTACGATCTCGTTTCCGCCCTTCGTTACCCTGAGGTAAAGGATCGTGCTGCCGCTGACGGTGTGATCAAAACAGTTACGCATTGTGCCGATATCTTTTCCGAGGCCGCGCAGGATGGCGAGCAGAAGGTGCCTATGTATGCGTTCCCGTGCAATGCTGGTGCTGATATATTTTCAAGGCCAACTACGGAGCCAGCGTGTCAGCAGTTCTCCGAATGTTTGGGCTTGACAATGCGGCTGAGAACCTTGTGGGCCTCAACGTTCATAAGCCTTTCAACGCCATCACGATGCGGGGCGATCTACACACTCTTTACGACCTCCTGAATTTTTCGCTCGAAGAAGTTAAAGGGGAGGTGAGCGATGATCAGTGCATTTTCCATGCAGATTATTGATATATCCGCATTAGAAAGACAAGTACGAGATCGTTTCTATCAGAAACGAGGTATTTGGGATGGGGATACCTATTCCCCAGTTCGTCACCTTCCGGGTCGATCCCGCCGTGATAGCAACCTGCGAAATGAAGCAAATCGATCCCCCTGCGCTGCCTTCACCCTCTCTCCTCGCCATACGCGCTGCCTTTTCGCGTGTTGCGCACATGTCGGGGGCCGCTGAGCAGGTCGACCAAATTCTGCGTGATCTGGAGGATACGCCTGTGATGGCAGAGGACGGCGGCAGTGCTCATCTTCTCGAGTCGCGCCTGCTGCAGTTGTCGTGTGCTGTTTCTATTGAGGCCTAGCAGCCCCAGGAGGTCCCTCTTCTCATTTCCATCGCGTCTACGACTGCATAGAATGATTATCGAAACAATCTTCGTCGCAGAATTTTGAAGAACCTAGCAACAATGCTTCAGACGATGGAATAGGATCATGGACGTCGCTGGCCTGGAGCGGGGCTCAGCCTGGCCTTTGATCGTGCTATGGTTCGAAGTGCACAACGACTCGCTGGCTCAGTTCCTCCGACGGTGGTTTTTGGAATCACACCTCGAATGACGGATGACGTCCGTAACCGTGTTTGTGTGAATGCCCGGAAACGAATGCGTCAGATGGCACCATGTCGAGATCAGCACTCCACCCGCGAGAAGAGACAGCCCCGTGTCGCGAAGAACGAGCAACAACTCAAGAGCAAGCCCTCCTCCCGCAGAATTTCCGGCAACGACATTATGTGCAAGACTCAAGGGCCTATGCGGCGGCGGTCGAATCATATCCACTTCTTTCGAGATCTACGGGATCGAGAACGCGACGATCGCCGTGAACTCACTCACAACTTTGCGCGTCGCTTGGCCTGCCCCAAGTTCTTCGCCGTCATCCACTGCGCATCTATCGCTCTCAGCACACGCGTCGAGACAAACGGGATGCTGGAGTTGGTCGGGATACACCCAGGGACAAACCGGGCCCGCCACCAGTTGCCGCCGCCAACTTCACGGCGTGCGACCTCTTCGCTTCCCAGAGCGGTCATTACATGTCGGGCAGCGTTGTCGCATTCGCAGTATGTCATGAGGATGACGAGTCTGACCACATCGTCCCGTGGCGGCGGCGGGGTGCCTGTATCACCGAATGCTTCATGCAGCGCACAGCTCGGGTGAACATCTGATGGTCCGCAAGCCGAAGGAGACCGCACCGGGGACCTCTTCGACAGTGTGGCTGACTTTGATTGGACACTTGATGGCGGAGCCTGATACAAAATCAAACCCACTCTCGATGGCTGTTCCATGATGTCTTGCGGTGAATGCAATGCAGGAGAAGAGTGCGAGAGTGACTAAGAGGACGCGATAGCTGCTCTGTCGCGGATGGGTAGCGAATGTCTGCGTTTGAAGGGAAGGTCAATCAGGACGATTTGTACAGTCCTGAAGCTTCAATGGTGGACGCAGCAGCAACAGTCGATGAGCCCGGCTGGGGAGCAACTCGGCGTTCCATGGATAACTTGCCGGCAGCGCGAACCATTAATTAAGCGCGTGACGTCATTAGCTTTTTACCACGGGATCTAATCGATATCAACCTTCAATGCCGGTTCTGTTATCAGAGGTCACAAGATCCACTACAGGGCACGGGAAGTCTCTGAGACCCTGGATCTATTTGCATACATCATCGCCGTCAGCTCAATGGGCGTATATACGCACACGGACCAAGCAAAAGTGGCACTGCGTGTGTCTAATAATATGACATGTCCTCGTACCGGCACGGTCAGGTGCTGTCAGGTGACAGGCCCCGAGACATCCTCAAAATAAACTTGTCTCCTCCGTCTCCGTAGCATTCGCAGCGACCAGGAGTTGACACGAGTTTCGGGCGAGATGAAAACGACATAAAGCGACCGAGAGCAACTCGCTCCCGCGGTTCCGAACGTGGGCTGATGCACCAACAACTGCATTGACTCCATCTCTGCGACGACTTTACTCGCACGAGAGGTTATTCAAGTCCAGAATCATGATGAAAGGTCAGGCCTGTCAGAATGTACTTACCATAACTGGCCTTGCATTCGAGGAGCGATATTTAAACGCAAGGGTCTTGTGATGAGTTCCGTGAACGTCCAGCCGCCCAGCCCGAAATGAAAACACCCGCTGCCGGCTTTCTCTTCCTGTGTGCGAGCGGTCTCGCTACCGCCACCCCTGATTTCTTGGGCCAGGCCGAGCAGCAACTCCTCACAGACCGTTTATTCCAGACGAATCTCCGAGGCCCGCGATGGAGTCCGTCCCGTCCTTTGTCCATTTTCTGGGTGATGCTCATCTGAATAGCTGGAAATGACAACCAGAATACCTTGACTGCACTGGTGGCCAATTCGATGATCATTGCGGGGCTCGAGGTCGACACTCTGAACTACACCATCTATCAGTAAGTCAGCCAGATGACGATGACCACGAATGGATGTACTCAAGACAATCTAGATGGGATGCCCAATGGTGGTCTCTGAGCTTCACGCTCAAGAACGGGACCAAATTGGGAATCCCCACCACCGGATACTGGCCGTACTCGGGAAACAGCGGACTGAGGGGCATCACCGCACCCGTCATGGACGCCGGGACCTTTGGAATGTTCCCAAACATGGATGCCGACCCGAGCACACTCAACTTGACGAGGTTTCCCCCGAGCGGCGCGATCATCTTCTTTGACAACCCGAGCCCGACGCACAATTATTCGGAACCTGGCTATCAGTTGCTCGGGTACGTCGAATTTGTGGCACTCAGAAGCGCCAGGTGCCAACACGCTGCAGGACATCACGGGATATTGGGGCCGCTGCGATTCCAGAGGTGAGCTGTGCCGATCCGATAACACGAGAAGGGATTTACCTGGGACTCCACAGCTAGGAAACCTGACTAACCCCCATTGGCAATCGGCGAAGACACTCAACTGGACTGCCCTCCGCGAGATGGGTGTCGTCGGGGCGATCTCGTCCTGGGTCCACACGTCAGACGAGGATGCGGCTTTGCAGTTCCTTCCGGACGACGGTGCGCCCGGAGCTACGGAGCTTTTTGACGTGCCGGCGCTCTACGTCGGAAATTCCACGGGCGAGATGATTCGCGGCTTGCTCCGGGACGATCAAGTCCTCACCGCAGATCTCGTGCTCTATGCGCCGAGTACCTTCTCCCCAACTCAGACGGTGATCGGCCATCTCAACGGCACCGCGAACACGAATGCAACAATCATTCTCTACACGCACAGTCAGTTAGGGAATTACACACGGGTAGACTGACTGACACTCCCCCCTAGGCGACGGACCGTCGATCATCGAAGAAAACGGACCGATCCTGTTGTTGACCATGGCCGAGTATTTCGCCACATTGAAGCCGCAATTGAATCTGAATCTTGAGTAAGTCCCCGAAAGAGACCGAAATAGGCGTGGCCTGACGCTCACAGCTTCGTGGTCACGACTGGACACATGTCCGGGCATCACCTCAACGAATCGCTCTGGATGGCAGAACGGCCCGATCTTCTCGCCAACGCGGTCTATGCTGTGTCTTGCGAGCATTTCGGCGCCTTGGAGTGGAAGGATCAGATGGTGGACGGAGAACCCGTCTATCAAGCGACAGGAAATTTGGAGCCCATGTGGACGATGGCGTGAGCCTTGAGCCGTTCTTCGTCGAGGCGCGCCTGACACATGTTAGGAATGCCTCCCATGCGAGTGACTTTTTACACCAATCGTACCTCGACGCGTTCGATGGCACACCGGATTCTTTGCGCATGGCGATGGTTTCTCCCGGCCGACTGAACGGAAGCAGATCGATGTGGTACGGCGTCGGAGGGAGTGGGACGCTGGGGCGTTCGAACATCCCGACCATAGGGTAAGCGGTTGGACACAACTAGAAAAGATCAGTAAGATCATACTGTACTTCCAGGATCATTCCTCAGCCCGACTACTTGTGGGCGGCAATGGTGGATGGAGGTTGGAGCAAGTTGGATATCCCGACAGTCGTGGCCCAAATCAATGTGATCATTGAGCTCATACAGACGTTAGACAGCAATTGGGCCCAGGATCACCCGGAAAGTATCTAGTCTTCACGAGAAAGTACATAGAGGATAGAGCGCACAGGAAGATCGAAAAGGACAAAATACAATTCAATGATCCGAAGTCGAACTCAATGATTGGCATGTCGCTGCACAGCATATTTCTCTTCGACGGTCAGGCCTTTTGATTCCAGTACGGCTGTGACCGATATCATCATCATCTTTCCTCGGGGTATTGCCAGTGTTCATTCATGTGCTTAGTGGTATTGAAACAACCAGGCATGGTCTACAGAGGGAAAGTCCTCGGGAATACAATATTTCACTGACCATGGTCGCCAATGGTAGTGTTTTTCGGCATCCCGACGGATCGTGAACAGAGAACGTTGCAGCCCAACAAGTTCGAGGTGCTCTAGATCAGCAGCGAGCTCGTCGGGATGAATGGGCACTGGATCCTCACCGCAAGAGAAAAGATGCACGAAAGTAAGTCGAGGGCATCGTTGCAATTTGCAGAGCTGCAGTCTGATCAGAAGATGGGCCGGGGACGGTATCAGGGACTCACGATCGGGGTCCACATCTTGAGATGCAGATCTCCTCGCCAGGGCAAAACGAGTTGCAGAGCGGTCAGTTTGAGCGATAGCCCGCTGGCGAGGAGCTCTGCACATTGCCCATCGAAAGTTTCCAAGCATCCTACATGGAATCCGAGGACCTGCAATCCTCTCATTTTTGATATTGTGGCGAAAACGCCCAGTGCCAACGACACTCGGATGTCCGGCAGGCGAAGGTATAATCGGCGCAATGACTGGCGGCTCTCGAGAAAGTCCGATATGTACGGAAGATTGAGCGTCGTGGAGTCAGGATCCCAGGACTCACAGGATAACCGAAAGGAAGTGAGAGACGGCAGGGCAGAGGCATCCCGAGGGATCACCTCGAAGGCCTGCGGTTCCATGTAGCCCACCAACGACAGCGAAGTTAATGCGACGGCGTGCCGGAAGACGAGTTCCAGTCCGACAAGTTCTCCGTAGCCCTGGGGCACACAGATGTCCAAAGTCGTGAGCATGTGACAGACTCGAACTGAGAGCAAGGGCAGATGGTCAGGCAGAAGGGTGACTTCCCCGATATTTGGCGACCCGTTCACGATCTCCATCGCGTCTTCAGCTCGCCCAAATCCATAATTCCACTCTGAGAAGATTCCGTCTACTTGCTGATCCTGAACGTAACCGAAGGGAATGGCTGGCTGAAAGTTGCGTAGGTTGGATAGTTCGCCGAACAGGCTCGATGATGGTGTACTGCGAATGGACTGAGCTGCCTTTCTGCGAGATGAAGCGGAAACTTACAATTGAATGCGTAACCTCTCGAGTTTTTCAGGTAATGCAGATACAATGGCCGACACGTCAGGGCAATCACCGAAGTAGTGGAAAGATTGCAGATGAGGCATTGCACGGAGAGCTTGAGCCACAGTTCCTGGCAGAAGCATCAGTGACAGCGCAGCACAAGAGAATTCCACACACTTTGTTCGAAGATGGCAGGTCCATCCGTAAACGCATGGACACTCATTGTCCGAACCACACTCGCAAAAAGGGGGTCGGTGATGATACAGTGCAGGATATCCCAGGACTCGTTGAAGCGGTGGTCAGATACATCCTCAACGTATCGCTCGCTCTCAGTATTCAACATCAAGAGGCCAGGCTCGCCATGGACCAGGAAGATCTTGACTGTTGAGAAAACGGAGCGAAGGGCAATCTCATGGAACAGCCGAGATACTCCGAGTAACGTAGGCCGATGATGTTGGGGCACGTTTTGAATTATCATGTCCCATATTTCCACTGGCAGCAGGCTCATCGGAAGAGGGAGAGCACTCGAGGAACGAGCACGCAGTGCCAGGGAGCGAGTAGACAGTAAGTAGTATGATGTGATCAATTGTCGGTCAATATCCAATGGCGGTGCTGCTATCGCCCATTGTGTGTCGTCTGACGACACGTACAATCGAGCTCCATAATAAAACGCACTTTCTCCATGCATCTGACTGCGACAGACCTCGCCAACTACAACCATCTGAACTGCGACCTGTTCCTGCATAATGCCTACCATCGACGTCTCAGCTTGAAGATCAACAACGCGTCCAGCGGGTCGGAGCTCTCCAAAGCCCAGTTTGCGCGAGGGCTGGAATGGGAGCAATCGTGTCTTTTTCCCTACTTGGATCGGAGCAATCAACTTCTCACTATCCCAGGTCCAATAGATGGCAGCTCACTCAGCGCGAACATCGAAGCAGACGACCGCGATCACTTTTACATCGCTGGAGTGTCGTTTTGGCCCCCGTCGCAATTGGAGGAGCGATTTCGTGAAGGCGGCTTTGATCCTGTCAAGTTCGGACTGGCCAAACCTGATCTGCTCGAGATAACTCGAACACCGACTGGCGTTACCTGGAAAGTCATTGACGCGAAGGCCGCCAAGACCGTCAAGGTGACCCTCAGTCGCTCGCCGCGAATCAGACCTGACGCGTAGCAGACTTCGCATCATGTGCAAATCTATTTCTACTCTCTCTGTCTGTCATATATCCTCCCCGAACCGTTTTTCAAGAGAGATGGCAGCGCCGCAGTTTGGCTTCCACCTGCCGATGGATTCACTCCATCCACTATCCCCTCGCTCGAAGACATCAGATCCATCCAGATAGACTTGCTAGCCCCGTCTTTGGATGAACTTTTATTCCGTCGATTGCCCAAGATCCTGGGCTTGCCGAAGGCCAGTGTCCGCTGGCATCTCAATCCTCTGTGCCGCGATTGCGCCTTTGAATCAGAGTGCGCCGGGAAGGCTACGGAAGGACAAGAGATAGGCTGTGTGCCCAACATCTCTCTAGCCGAGGCCGAAGTCATTCGCTCGCTCCTTGGCATATCTCGAGCGGCACGGGCCAGTGGACCGCGCGTGTCTGACATTGAGGACCTGCATGACCTGTTTCAGGATGAAGGCAAGCTCCGTGATTTGGTTCGCGGTTTCCCTAGCACAATAAAGCGAGCAAAACGGATTCTGTCGGTGACAAACGGTCAAAGTCCTTTGGTTGAAGCGGCAAGAAAGAAGGCGGTGCAGGTCATTGGATGAAAACGCGCTGTTTTGGACGATCGCTGACCTCCACGTAGATCATTCCGCGGAGGAATTTTACCTGTCCAAGGAGAGAGGACATTGCTATCATCGTTTCCCTGATTCAAGATCCTTCGATGTCAAACAGCGACATAGCTGTGTTTGGCATATCTGTGTTCTCGGTCATCCCTACTTTCCAACCGCAACCTATCTTTGGTGATGGTTCACAACTAGTTCCGCAGCTGGCCTCGCTGATCACACGAATCGATGCTCTCGCCACCTCCGTTCCGTTTCCGCCCCTGTCGCAATTCTATGTATTCTCTGCTGTGGAACACAAGGCATTGCAGACCCATCTCATTCAAAGGGCGCTCTCGATGCCACGCGATGTGCTACTGGACGACTTGCGGATGTGCATTGGCGCACTGGCCGAGGGCGCATCCCTTCTTCAGACGACTTTCCAGCCGCTCATACTATCTGGGGCGTTGCTCTCTTTCATGCACAAGGGGCAGTTTAAAGTCGCGGGGCTGCGGATGCTCTTGCAGCGGATGGGTCTCTCGACAGCGGGCTCGGCTGAAGAGCTCCGACAGCGCATCCAGGCTGAGATACATGCCCGAAGCGGTGAGGGAGAGGATGACAAGCGCACAGAGCTGGGCCAGCTCCCTCGGGTTGTTGTGCTGAAGCGCGAGATTGAGAGCCTGCTGGCCCTCCCGATCCCTGGCTCATGGGATCTGCCGCAATGCGCATCGGCCTTGCTCCCGCCGCACGCGCCAGACCGGCAATGTCCCGACGAGGAGGAGGTATACCAAACATACCGAAGGGATGGACGCAGCGAGGCCTTGGACGAAAAGCTGGAGCAGCGCAATTCCACTATCTACGCTGTGTTGCAGACTATGCGGAGCAGGGTCACTTCCTCGAAGCTCCTGGTCAACGACGCACGTGTCCTGACGCACGACTTTCTCGATATCTGCGAGGACGACACGTTGCGCAAACTGTTCTTCATGCAACAGGTGTGTGTGTGCACGTGCTTGTGTTGTGTACAGGCGCATATAATGCCCGCCAGTTCGAAGTGCTAGCCAAACTGCTCGAGCTGTGGAGGTCACGAATCGACGGATGCCCCGATGCCCCTCTTCTGGAATACAGAGAGACGGTCCGAGGAAGCCAAGGTGCCGAGCATGAATTCATCCTCGTCTCAGGCGCTGTCGAGATGTCCAGCGGAGACAAGGCGTTCTATGATCGCCTTCTGACCGCAGATGAGTCGAGCCCCGATGAGGTCCCGGTCGCTGCGTTTTTCGACGATCTCGGTGTCTGCGGTCTTGTTTTTCCACTGACGAGATACACGCGCGCCAAGTGGGACTCCCAGAATTCTATTGTGCGGCGGAATCTGTTGGTGGCCGATATCCGCGACATAAGCGTGGACGCGCGTCGGACGAGGGTGACCCTCAAGACTTGGGGAGAACCTGCGGCTCTCAAACTTGTCCCTGGCTGTCATTACCGGCTCTCTCAACGCCTCGTCGATTTCAACACCCACAAGATCCTCACGACGTTGCTGGATCTTGATTTGCGCGTTGCCTCGCGGCCAGACAAGGTCCCTTTTCTGCAGATCATCACCGATACCAAGGAGATGGGCTCAATCATACCTGGAGAACAATACAGGAAGGTCGAGAACAACATTCAGTCGATGTTTCGACAACTGAAAGATCTCGGTGGCACGGAGGCTGCTGCCCTGGTTCTCAAATCATCGCAGCATCGCGCTGTGCAACGGATTCTCTGCAACAGATGTCAGCACCTTCTTCCATCGTTAATTTACTCTTGCTAATCATTTGACAGTATCTGTGATCTGGGGACCGCCAGTCAGTCACGTGGTTCGAATGTCACCTCGTCCTTGCAAGCTGATGTCATTCCAGGGAACGGGGAAAACGTACACCATAGCCTTGGCCCTATTGAGGTTACTTCAAGTGCAATATGAGTGTGGGGAACGCGAGGGTCAAGTCATATTTGTGACTGCAATGACCCATGCGGCAATCAACGCAGTCCTGGCCAAGCTGTACCACCTCAAGACCTGCTACAAGTCAATTGACGCGCTCGATATCAAGTGGCTGGGACTGATCCAAATTGAGCACGTACTCAACGGTCACGATCATTCCTTCTCGAAGAAGACGGGAATGAGGATATTCGCAGGAACCGTGTGGCAGGTGTGTCGTCCGTGCGAGACTGAAAAGCAAGCTACCGACGCAACTGCTCAGCTGTACAACTTGTCCAAGCGCCACTCATTTGAAGTGGATGTATGTGTCATAGACGAGGCTGGCCAATTGGCTCTGAGCGCTGCGGCTCTCGTTCTGAAGAACTTGAGCGCGGAGGGCCGGGTGATCTTGGCAGGTGATTCAGAGCAACTGGCCCCAATTCTGGCTGCAGAGTATTCCCAGCTCAGCACGCGCCCGCTGTTTGGATCCATCTTGGATTGCCTCATGCATCTCTCGAAGAGAGTTCCCGTGCAAGATACCGAAGTGATGTCATCCCAGGGTACCATCGTCCAACTGACTGAAAACTTCCGGTCAGTCCAGTGTCGTTCAAGTCCTCTGACGTTGACATCGGCCGTAGACTCAATCCTGATCTTGGGGAGTTCGTATCCACCATCTACTCACGAGCGTTCACGCCCCAGAAGATACAAGCAAAGCAACTGGGGGCTCAGCTGCAGTCCATCGAGCGCACACATCCGCATGACCAGATCTCCGCAGACATCCGTCAATTTCTGCTCGGGCTGTCGGCAGTGATGCTGCGCAAGCCGCAGCCCGATCTCCAGCGGCCCGTGGTCGCCGCCAGCAGACCAGCAGACGCTCCCGGAAGCCATATTCCCATCTCGCTCGCGCTCATCCGTTTGCAGACGGAGAGTGCGAGATCGGAGGGTGTGAATTATGAGGCGCATGTGAAAGGAGAAGCAGATCTTGCCGCGGCGCTTATCAGATCGATCCAGAAGTGCTGCCCGGGCGAGGACATATTCGTAGCAACGCCACACCGGATACAGCGGCAGGCGGTACGAGCAGCCTTGCAAGACGAAGAATTGAATGATGCCATGGATAGGCTCGCGTTGGCGAATCCGGGAGGTGGTGGTCAGGTCATCGTCGATACCGTCGAACGACTCCAAGGCCAGTCCTTTCCCAGAGGTTTACTCGAAGCTGAAGACTATGCAGGTTCTGAGGCAGCATTCGTGATATGTCTGTTTTCTCTCCCACCATCAGCCAGCAGCGACCTGCCGTTTCTCCTGGAGAGACGGCGGTTGAATGTCGCCATCAGTCGGGCGAAAACGCTCTGCATTCTGGTGAGCTCGGCGACGGTGTTGCGGCCGTCGGCGCACGTTCTGGCGGACGAGCAGACCGCCAAGGGGTTTGCCTTTTTGAGGTGAGATCTCAAGCACTACGTCTGCGTTCAACGACGATGCGATCTTATCCATAGGGCGTTCGAGGACAGAGCGTGGTCGACAGTGATGAAAATGAATGTAGATCAGTATTAATGCTTACCCATAGCAATCTGAATTTCTTGCTTGATTGTAATCCGATGGCCGCTGTGATCATATCACGGCGTCCCAGCTTTTAACATCGACTGATTCTCTTTATCCAACAGCCATTTCGTCACAGCAACTGCGTACAAGCAAGTCATGTACTCAAACAGCTGTTTAGATGCAGAACCGGAACACAATCCGGCCTGAAATGAGCTCTCAAATGATGTGCGGTCCCACAGTCGTATTCACACATGACGCAAAGCTGATTAAGAGGATTGCACCATCGGTGGTCAGCTTTATAATGGGAGGCCCTCGAGGGTGCCAAACATTCTATCACCCCACATACGATGCCCTCTGTCGACCAGAACATCCATCCCACGGCTACTGGAGCTGCTGCAGCCACAGTGCAGAAACACCAAGACCCGCAGGAGCTTGTGTTCTACGCCGGATGGGTACAGGCGCCCTCTTCTCGAGTCCCCGGCCTTACTGAGATTTCATCAGTTCTGTCCATTTGTGCAAAGGACGTGGATCACCCTGGAAGAGAAGGGTGTACCGTATCAATATAAGGAGGTCAATCCGTACAAGAAGGAGAAGCATTTCTTGGGTCAGCACTGCTATCGTCCAACACGATTTTCGCTAACCGCAAGCAGCTATCAACCCAAAGGGCCTCGTTCCTGCGTTCGAGTTCGAAGGGAAGGCGCTGTACGAGTCGCTCGTGATGTGTGAATTCGTCGAGGATCAATACCCAAACCACAAACCGAGCATACTTCCAGGGGACGCGTACCAGAAAGCACACGCCCGCCTTTGGGTACGAACGAGCCGCTCTCCTCCCCGTCCACGAGCGAAGACTGTTGACGCAAACGCTGCAGATCGACTTCATCGGGAAATCATTCACGCCCGGGTTCATGCGGCTGATGATGGCGCAAGGAGCGGAGAAGCAGGACAGCGCGCGAAGCGAACTGTACGACGTCCTGCGCAAGCTCTCCGCCCAGGTCAAGGGCCCGTATTTCCTGGGAGAGGAGTTCAGCCTGGTGGACATCGCGATCGTTCCCTGGATCACGCGTGACTATCTGCTCGCCGAACATCGCGGATACAAGCGCGACGATGTCAGTGAGCAATGGAAGGCTTACGCCGCCCATGTCGAGCAAAGGCAGAGCGTCATCAATACCAAGAGTGTGCGTCGCTTGCTGATGGCTGCTACGCCGGACAAGTTGATGCTCACGTTCCGCTGCAGGAAAAAGAGAAGTATGCTGACATCTACGGCCGATACCTCAGAGACGAGGCACAGAGCGAGGCCGCCAAAGCAATTCGCGAGGGCCGGGCTATACCCTGAGTTGTGTAACGTTGTAACAGTAATGAATCGTTATATTTTTGTGCAAAGACCAGCTGCGACCTTTAAAGCGATAGCGAACAAGTTGGATAGCCTCAGGTGGTCTGAACTATCTGGTGTAACCGTGTCTGCGATCTATGCATACTTCGGTGGGTGATTCGACAGAGGTCCGATCTGAGTCATGGCAATTCCACTAGCTGTAAGCGTTGCTATAACACCTATCTCTAGGCCATATGAAGCGCTGCTTGTTTTCTGTTTATAGAAAGAATATAGTGCAAACCCCTATTGCATGCAGTCGATCTTATCTTATCGTTTCAAAGTCGGAGACAATTATGCTGAGAATCGTATCCGTTAAATGGAATGTGCATTGTACGGAACGATCTTACTTCAAACTGAGTTTCTGTAAACTACAATCAACAGTATTAGAGCTAGAATGACCTAAGCGCAATTTCCACATCGGATTTGTCTCGTACGTTGCACTGCTGGAATCGAAACGACGAGTCGTCCACCGGCACTGTTCCATCTTATCTGCCCAGACAGCCGCATTTTCAGCATCACCGAGGCAAAGATAACATTCCATCAGCGTCTTCAGCGCATCGTAGTAAGCCTCGTCTGCTTCGAAACCTTCCGAATCGATGCGCTCCAGTTGCTCACGACATTGCACGATCAACCAGTCGTCAGTAAGAGTGTGATCAGCGGCCCATGATCGCACATCAGGCGCAAAGCCAGCAATCTTCTTGCGCCGCTTGTCAGAGACTTTTGCATTCAGACACGCTGAGCAACGGCAGGTGAACTGATAGGGCTTGAGAGCCCTGTTGCGATGGCCCGCAGGCATCTGGATGTTGGTATATGCGAATGTGAGCTCTTCGCCCTGGGGAATATCGCGCACAGCATACAGTCGGAACGATAGCGAAGCGGGATGGAACACAGGCTGGGTGTTGGGTCGACAGCTGAGCCCAGTCAGCTTTGCCAACTGGACAGGAAGCGACGCACCTATGATTCATGCGGGAAATCTCCTTGCACACTGCGCTGTAGATGCCCATCGCACTCCGAACACCAGGCCGCAGATTCTCGGCAGCAATGCCGTTCGTCCGCATGATTCCAGCTATAGGGCCCGAACCGTCTTCCTTGTGAGTGTTTGTGAGGGCCCAAAATGCCGCCTTTGCTTCGGGGAGGAGCCGGTTCACTGCGATGGCACACATCTGCTCGTGCTCGTCCATCGCCAATTGCATCGCTTGCTTTTGGGTGAAGTTCGGGGGTACAGGCGTTGGCATGCCCCGGGGGAGGATGGCGAGAGGTCTTTCACTCATGATCAGTTCTCCCGCCCCGATGAGCCGCGTGCTGAACATTCCAAGTCCTTTGTCCCCAGCAGGCCCGACACGATGGGCGGCCTCCGAAGGCTGCTGCATCTCATGCGGAAAGCCGGCGATGCTCAACAACACTTCCTTACTTCCAGAAAAGAACAGGCATTCCGTCAGATGACGCTCGTCGATGGTGTCCCCGGTCTGGGGCATGGTCGTGCATGTCATGGAATCGGGATTGGGATCGCTTCCGGAGAGGGGGTCTTTCTCGGTGATCTTCAAAGTGCTCCCATAGCCCTCGGGGACGACTTGGAAGCGACAGTGAAATCAGGTCGCGCCTTGTTAATGGGGTGGAGAAAGCGCGTACCGATTTTCTTCTGCTTACCATACGGTGCTGGCCGGAGCTCTTCAGTGCCTCTTTCGGTCACAGAGAAAGCAGGACGACCGTTTGCGCCAGAGTTCACGCCGTTCATAGTGAGCGTGAAAGGACAACCAGGAGGGAACTTGTGGACAGCAGAAGGCGTCTATTAGGCCATTGATATGCCATACATGGACAACAGATATTTACTTACCTCGTTCTCGAATGATTCATCTTGCTAGTCAGACACGAGGTGCTGGAGCGGGCGATTCGAATCCAACAGGATTCTCTGAAACATCCGATGCGAGTTGGAAGTTGCTGTCAAGCGTAAGCGGATGTACATATGACGTCACGCGCCATGCATGTTCAGAGCCATCCAAAATGCACCTGACGAGCGGGCAAATTTAAAAGGCAAATACAGCAGTACAGACTGACTATCATTTTTCAGAAATGGACTTCTTCAACTGTTGCATCATATAATCGGGCAATTCTCTTGTGCGCAGGCGCCACATTCTGTGATTCTGAAATGCAGGGCTACTGGGAACGAGAAGGTCACGGAGATTGCAGCCCACTTCCTTTTCCGGTTGCCAGCGGCATTTGATCAACTTGCGAGCCCACAAGCTCGCGTTCTCCGCATCACCCAAGCAGATGTACGACTCCATGAGCTTGAGCAGTGTCTTGTGGTAGCATCGTTCCCACATTTTCTCCAAGCGCAGTAGTTCCAGGTTCTGCTTGCACTGGTTGATGAGCCAGTCGTCTGGGAGATGGCGGTTGAATACAGCCCAAGGCAGAACGGAAGGCTCGAAGGCAGCAATGCTTTTGCGACGAGCATCAGACACGACTGCATTTGAGCATGCCTCGCACGTGCATTGGAACTTGTATGGCTCGAGCGCCTTGCTGCGCTCAGCGGCGGATGGGCGAATGTCGATGTACTGCCAGGTGATCTCATCTCCGGCTGCGATGTCGCAAAGGGCAAACACTCTGTACGAAAGCGAAGGCGCATGGAAGACAGGATACGAGTTCGGCGTGCAGCTGCAATGTTTGTTCCAGTTGTAGCTCAGAAGGCCGATGGACCGATGCATGTGCACGCACCTGTGGTTGATACGAGACACGTGATCGCACACCGCCATGTATGTGTGCCCAGGAGGCAATCCACCAATCGAAATCGCATTGGAGAGCATGATCCCGGCTATGGCATCCGTTCTACCATCATCCTTGTGGCAGTTATGGAGTGCCCAAAAGGCCGCCTTGTTCTCGGGCAACATCCGGTTGACGGCGTCCGACAACGGACCTTCGTTCCTGTTTATCGACACTTCACAGCAATCTGAATCCAAGATGCCCTGCGCAGGCACAATGATCAGGGGGCGTTCACTCATGATCACGTCCCCCATCGCGATGAAGCGCGTGCTGACCATCGCCAGACCCTTCCCCTCGATCCGGGTGATGCGATAGGCAGGGAGAAGAGGCTGATCCATGGGGTATGGAAAGCCGCGCAGGTTGTCCAGCATGTCGAGGGTCTCTGGGAACAACAGACATTCACACACGTCCCCGCCACTCTCTGGCAAGGCCGCCGTTATGAGCAGTTGGTTCATCGAGTCTTCGGATGGAGAGCTGGGGGTCAAAACAGTTTCTATGGGAGACGATTTGTTCAATTCATGTGGCTGGAAGCTGGATTTGATACACCGTATCATACACGCACCAGCTGTCTCTTCTTGGCCCTTCGACAAGACTCGTTTCTTGGTAGCGGCCGGAGCCTTCTTCCCTTTCGTTTGGGGGAGAAACCCGCGTCTCATCGTAGCAGCTTGGGAGGTCGATATCTTCGACGCAAAGAAGCAGACCAGTGGGATTTAGATGATTTTATGTAATCCAGTGCTTTGTTCTTCTACGTGATGTTAGAGGCATCGAGGCCCATTGCCTTTGCTTGGAATTGGATCATGTCTACAAGAGAGAGCGGCATGTGTAGCGATCCTTGGGGCGCCTTATGAGGCAAACCATTGGACCTGAATGCCTTGAGGCTGGATGTCTGAACCAAGAGCCGAACAAATAGCGTTGTCGAAAAGAGGAGCCCGCGCGGGACCCAATCCACCCGGCGAGGACGACAGGAACACGACCTGGTGCTGCACTTGGGCTTTTACAGGACACGCAACGCGCCTGCGCTCGATGAACCCCATAGGGGTTAGAACAATGGCACTGCCCACGGCACGAGAGCCCCGCCAAGTGGCATTTTGCGGAACGGAGGCGTTCTTGAGACACCAGGCGCTGAGTGTCAGCACCTCGAGGCGTAGTGCTTGCATTTGCTAGTCGACCGCCGGATTGCCGTTTACATAAATCTTGTCGAAAATGGGTTTACTCGAGTATGATGCTTCCCTCGGAAAATTTGAAGACCACGTGACTTTGACAGTCAAACGCTTACAATCCTCGAATCCGCGATGTTAGCTTCCTTATCCCTAACCATGACCACCCTTAAGCTTTACGTGGCTGATTCCTCTGATCCAATGGCAGAGGCTGTCGCGGTCAAGATTCAAACCGGGGATGACATAACTGATTTGAAGAAACTCATTCTGGCGCAGTGGGGTCCTCGCGGTCTGGGTCTGGCAGCAGTGGATATTCGATTATGGAAGGTTCGTTGTTGCCGTATCTAAGGTTCCTTATGACGTGACACCGCCCAACAGCCCAAGCGAAAAATCCCCCTGGTTCACTGCACGAGAGTGTTGGAAGAATATCGTCTCAATCTTGGCGTTATTGCCACTGCATTGTTTGTGACTGACGATGTCAATTTGCTCGGCCCAAGGGCTAGCCCGAACAACGAAATCAACGTTATTGTAGAGATCATGCCACCCTGGCAGCTACCCATTGGCCCGCCTCTAGACGAGCCCGATGAAGAGCGAGATACGATAGGGGCTATGAACAGCCGTGGGTGAACTTACCATTCATAGTATCTTCACTAACGATCCATCCGTCCAGGGTCTCGGAACCTATTCAAGAACGCGATAGGCGCAAAGTCGCCATCTCAGTCGGCCAAATCGTCCAACTATCGAGCATTCCAACGCGGCGACTATCCGATATACGACGGACGCTATCATCCTGACCATGACATTTCCACTATGGCTCCCCCTATCCATCTTTACAATCCCGCATTTGCCCACTTCATGGACGATGTCGCAAATTCAGCGCTGGAAGTGCCTAATAAAGTCGTGCTCGCCACAGCGGACCTCATGCGCAAGGCATCAGCAATATACGAAGACGAAAACACTCGACGAAGCAAGATTCGCCCCGCCCTAAAAAATGCTATTTCGTATGGAATTACGCAACTCGTCAGTGACGATCGCACAACACCAAATAGTGGCGTTCTGTGGACGATGTGCGGGACAGACGGATCCCTCGGTGATACTGTCGCGCTCTTGATTGAGGAGGAGAACTCCGAGCTTGGGGAGGGCGGCTGCGACGCTTCTATCCAAGCGTCATTTTCAATGCTGAGATATTGGGCACAACGCAACGCAAGTCTCTTTTTACCTCTCTGGCCCGTTCATCGAACCCCCTGGTCTAGAATGATGCTGTTCGTGAGCGATGCTGTTGCCCTACCTTCTTGATTGCCTTAGCTGGTCCCTGGCTGGCTGTACTGGGTGCCGTAATAACCGACAAGTGCATTGTGCAGCGTCTCACCGACTTCATCTGGTTGGGCAACGGAGCCGTTCTGAATGACAGCAGGCAGTGTCTCCGAGTCGCCCGTATTCTTCACTCACTGACGCGCTCTCTGGGACATCTGCATCGATATTACGCCGCATTAACACCCTCCAACAACCCCGAACCGTCCAGATTCTTCCCATCGCCGACTACTTTCCTTTATTGCGGCGCACCGGTCCATTTCGATTATCTCGAGGCTCTAGAACGCGACTCAGTGTGCGTCACATTTCGGTGTTGTACCCACGAGGATCTGCCACGTTCGGTCGTCGTCAAGTTTGCTCAGACGTACTGCCCTGAGGCCCATGAACTCTTGGCCAAGAAAGGTCTGGCCCCGCAGTTGCTTTACTGTGGGCCGGTCGATCCCTCACAGGACGCTCCCTCATACCAACCACTCAAGATGATCGTCATGGAGTATATCGATGGGAAGACCGTTGCGCAGCTGCAGGGCAGAGTACCTCCTGAAGATTGCCAACAGCAGCTGACGCACATGCTGTCCCTTTTGCACAATGACGGGTATGTCTTCGGCGACCTCCGGTGGCCTAACGTTATGGTGGTGGGGAAGGACGTCAAACTCATCGATTTCGATTGGGCGGGGAAGGAGGGAGATGCAACATACCCCATTCACCTTGCTAACAACATTGTTTGGCCGCCAGGCGCAACGGCGATGGGGAAGATCGAGAAGGAACATGACATCCACATGTTAAAGAGTATGATTGATTCGTGTACCCAGCTGACTGGGTAATTAGCTAGTGTAGTATCGTATCCATAGGGCCAATAGACGCTTCAAGGCGCATCGACGTTGTTGTTTAGATCGTATACACAGAGGAGCAGAGTCCCCAGCAATTCTCGGCACTGTTGAGACAAACCATCGGATCTAGCAAGTTGATTCCTCCAGGAAGTGTGGTGGAAAAACAGAAGGTTTGCTTCATGTGCATATGACGTCACGCGTTTGGTACGGCGAGGCATCGTTGGAATCGATTTCAACTATCCGAACTTAGCGCGTTGAGCTTGAAAAATCGTTGGATACTCGTTGTGAGTGAGTACGTTCTACATACCACGGCAGGGCTGGCACCAATTTAGCGGCAAGTAGCCGTGCGAACTCGGTCCGGATATAGATGATTGACAGCTGATCTTACTGAGAGACCCATCTTCAGCTCCTACTACCATTCACGATGGCTCTCATCGAGGTTAGTTGCTCACATCCCATAACCCTGACTTTCGAATCGAATCGGCTCCAGATTATCGCGAACGATCGTCTCGGGCGCAAAGGTAAGGGACTTGCTTGGCGTGACGCACTCTGCTGAAGTCTGGATTGTGTGCACAGTGCGCGTCAAGTGCAGTCCCGACGACACGGTCGGAGATCTGAAGAAGCTCATCGCTGCCCAAACTGGAACTGACCACACGAAGATTCAGCTCAAGAAATGGTGAGTGTAAACTGTTACTACTTCTCGTTGGCTCGTAAACGTGTGTGCAGGTACACCATCTACAAGGATCATATCACGCTTTCAGACTACGAAATTCATGACGGGATGAGTCTGGAGATGTATTAGGAGTCTCCGGTCTTTCTCTCCATGGACATCGGGCACACTGAACTGTATTTCTCGCTACAAATGTGAATCTGCTACATTACTAGATTTGGTTATGACATGACATTGAGTACGCGGTGGTCTCATTAGGGTATCGTGAGTGTCTCGAGTGACTAGACAAGGGCGACCGCAGCTCCCAAAGTGATGGCCAGGCCGAAAAGCGAAGCTGTCACTGCGGATGCCTCACTGGTCGACTGTGAACTCGGGGTAGGCTGCAAAAGATGTCAATGAGGGCGAGCTACATCCTTGCAGATTGTAGCTTACAGGATTTATCAGCCCGATGTTGTTCTTGTAAGCGATGACCGGTTGCAAGATCGGGTCAATGGGTGCGGGGATTGCCATGGCTGAAGCGCCGGTCAATTGGTTGCGTCAAGGGATCAAGGATCACGGACCAAACGCAAGCAAAGCAGAGACCACGAAAACAGGACCGAAGAGCATAAGTATTGTTGAGTGAAAGTGAGAGAGCGTGAGTAGGTTGATGCGTCAAGCGGAAAGGGAAGGTGAGATCGCAGTCTGATCGTTCCCAGACGGTGGAGCGGTTGCTTATAAACAGGCAGAGAACAAGGACTTTCGTCGTGGGCGGCCCAGCCATGGAAGTGCAGACAAGGAAACCACCGCATATAGGACAAGGCCAGTCACGTGTGCGCTTCGTGTCCTTGTTCAGAAAACGGACTGCCTTGTCTTGAACGACAGCACCCGTAAGCCTGTTGGCGTATTAGCTGATTCTCATCCATGTGAAAACGAGAGGAGTAAATTCAGAAGAATAGATTTCGTCAGGACGCTTGTGCGTTCAGGGCTTGACTTCTATTTTGTTCATCACGATGAAAAACGGTGCGCAACTCACATTAGAGCCAACCATCTCCGTCTATTCCTTCTAGAGCCTACGATGCGGGCTGGAACCGCGCGTAATATCGCTTGGTATACGCTTCGACGATCTCTTGTGTAGACTCCGGCAGATCTTCGACAAAATGTCCGGGGGAGCCTGCGTACAACGAGAGGGCGGGGATGACAGTGTTCGGGGGCACGATGGTGTTGTCTGCGACGCGTGCACAATCCTTGATAATGGTAAATTTCCCAATGACACAGTTTTTCCCGATCTCGACGTGGTTTCCGATGGTCGCGGCTTCGACAACGGACCCGGCACCAATGTGCACGTGGTCGCCAATTTTCATGGGATAGTAGTTGAAGTTTCCCCGGTAGGTCTTGTAGGGTGGACGCATGACGCATGCCTCCCCTACGAGACAGTAGCGACCCAGAGATATGACCACAGCGTGACCGGTGCCCGTACGGCGAAGGTCCCCACGGATGATAGCGCCGCTGGAAATGATGGTTTTCCCGCCGAGGATGATGTTTTGGGGGCCCGCGATGGTCGCTCGCCGAGAGACCTTGTTCCCTGTGTCCTGACAGAGAAGTGAGCATAGAGCAGAAGACCCCGGCAGTGGCGCTCACAGTCTCGATATACTCTGTCTTTGAGTAGTAAACGGGAGGTTCCATTCAAAACGAATCCACTGGTGCGGGTTGGGTATAACACAGATGCGATGTGAATTTGAGCTGTGTCCCTCTGTGCCGTAATATTTGGACTGATTCTGATTTGCAAATTTGGGCAAATTGCTACTGCATTCAAGAATGACACCGAAAATCGGCATTAAAATGAGGGATTTGTAAGGACAATTCGTTTCTGAGTGGCCCACGAGTATTCTGCCTATGGGAAGAAGCGTAGATTTCCCGTACTCAAGTACCTGTAGATAAAAGAATATGGGTGCCCGTATCCGCAACATCAGCTCGGATCAAAACCCGCGGATGCTCACCCGCGGGTGATCCGGGTGTGACCCAATCCGTGGCCGTCGTTTATAGTAAGTCATTCGCGCTGGCCTTCAACGCGTCAAATGTCTCTACGACACCTGCACTTGCACCTGCGCGGCTGCCACGCTCGTCCAGCTCTCACTCGATCATCGTTCTCTGCAACTCGCGCATTCTCTCACAGACCTTTAGCCGAAGAGCAAACCTCTGGCAATGACTGCGTCGCCGTGTCCCCTACAAACATCGTTTACCGCGGCCCCCTCACCCCCACCTTCAAACGACTGAAAATGTTCTCGCTGTCGTCGCTGGGTCTCAGCTTCTCCATGACTCCCTTCATGTTTATCGTAGAATCCAACCTCCCGATGTCCGCCAGGGCTGTTCTCGCGTTCACGGCCATATCCACTACGAGTATTAGCACCGGGCTGCTTGCCTGGGCATCTTCGCCCTACGTCACCTCTGCTCTGCTCTCCAAGTTGCCCACTACGGGCGCGGTGCAGGAGATGGAGGTCAAAACATTAACCCTCTGGTTCAAGCCGCGAACAACTCGAGTACGCGCGCCACCCTCTGCTTGAATCACTGTTTCAAACCCTCGGATCACAGATCTTCGACCCCACGTTCTTGGTTGGGACCAACCGTCCGTTCGCGAACTTGGAGCTCGCACAGCTCGTGTTTCTGCCTCCCGCGCTTCGTAATACGACACCTGGCCAGGAGGAGACCGTCGCAGAGACCACTGACGAGAAAGGCGAAGTCATCGGTCGATGGGTCGTCAAATGGGCCGAGGGAGGCGAGGGGAGTTGCCATGAAGTCGGCAAAGTGATCAGGCGAGCCGTTTCTCCCTCCATGTCATGTCTAGCAGGAGCTCAGATTTACAGGCATTTCAATGTTCACAAGGAGCTTCTGCCACCACTGGTACTGGTCGACGCGCCTGCGGATGGCGTGGCGACCAAGTCGTAGTCCTGCACGAGGGGAAGTTGATTTATGTATCTATGTGCTAATTATCACCGCTCTTAATGCGACTTTCTGCAAGCAATTCTCTGAGCCTGTCAAGAACCGTTCATTTGCAGTGTGACTGGGTGGAAAGTGAGGCTCGGGCTGCCCTTGGCTTCCGCTTTTCAAATCTTGGCCTTCGAATGAATAACGCAGTGTATGGGAGAGCAGGCTTCGAAAGGAAACGACGACGGACGCCCGAGATATCAGTCGGAGAGCGAGAAGAAAGGAAAAGCTTGCCTGCATTGATTCTGAGACTGGAAGTGGTTATGATCACTGTCGGCCTGCCCTGCGTGAAAGGGTGAAATACACAATCCAGTGCAAACCGTGTGTAGCGTTACTTCACGGCGGAGATCAGGACCCACGGATGGAACTATGAATATAGGGGCTCCGTTACTTACCAGTAGTGACGCCTTCCTCTTCCCATTTACTCTCGCACGCTTGGCCTGAAATGAAATGCAGGCTTCGTTACAAATGAAGCACGACGATTCTGACATGGAAGCACTTGGCAATTGCATTCCTCTGCGTCGTGCCGTACACTGCTGCACTCATGCGACCGAGCGTGGACGTTGACAAGTCTACGGTGCAGGATCACGAACTTCTGAGTGCGGCTTCACCAGCGGAAGGGGTGCCCGATGGTGCTCCCAATTTCTCCTCGAATGGCCTGCCCTTTGCCGAACATCCCCGTCCCATCCCTGGGCTCATTCCGCTGCCCTACGGTAGACGAGACAGAGTGAAACTCCCGGAGGATCTCTCGGTCTCCTCTTCTGAATTACTTATTGCCAGCGCGAGTCCTATGGCATACACGACTCTTCCGTGTGATGCTGGCCAGGGGCAGACAGAGTGTCTGTTCTACGCCGGAACAAAAGAGCTCTTCACGGATATCCCTGGGTTTCCCCTTCCCCAACCGCAGCCTATGCAGCCAGACCCAGCTTATCGAATTGCGCCTGCGCCTAGCAAGGGACTGGGCCTTTTCAGCACTCGAGCGCTGAAGCAAGGGGAGCTGATCCTCAGCGAACGTCCGCTCATGATCGTTCCCCCCGGCATACGGTTGAGTCTTCCCGAGAGCCTAAGTCGAGAGCAGAGGATACAATACTCTCTGGACGAGCGCGAGCGTGTGCTCAGTGGCTGTGTTCAGCGCATGTCGCCTGGAAATCGTGCGGCTTTTTTCTCCTTAGCCAACAGTCACAAAGAAGATGGCAGCGGCCCCATCCTTGGTATCGTGCGCACAAATGGGCTGGGGCTAAGAGGGCTGCGAGTCGATACCGACGATGCCACAGGGTGTGCCTCGATGTACAGTGCAGTGCTGAAAGATATCGCTCGGCTGAATCACAGGTGCGTCAAGATGGCTGAGTTGTCACTCTTGCCCTGACCCATGCCCGATCTTAATCTTACTAGCTGCTCGGCCAACACCAAGCCCATCTTCGACCGCGGATCTCTGTCGTACAATCTCTATGCTGTCCGCGATGTTGCCGACGGAGAAGAGCTCACATTCCACTACGTCGACAGCTTAGCCCCTGCCGTAAAGCGACAGGAGGCCCTGGCGCCATACGATCTCGTCTGTGCCTGCGATGCGTGCAAGAATTCCAGCATCTCGGATGTGCGTCGCGCAGCAATCACAAGTTTCTCCCCGTCCCCGGCTGTCTGGGCGGCCAACAAGAAGCTCTCTGACAAATGGCTGGTGGAGCAATGTATGAAACAGCTGCGGTTGATTGAGAAGGAGAAAGTCCAGTCTCGCGACGAATACCACAAGGTCCTCGCGGGCCTGCGCGACGCATACATCTGCCTCGGCGACGCCAAAAGCGCTAGCAAGTGGGCTGTCCGGGCGAACAAATGCGTCTGGGCCGGCGGTGCATCCACTGAACTCGAGGATCCTGCAGGTTCAGCCTATCCTTCCCATCCGCTATGGCTTACACGCAAGAATGGGGATCTACCTGGATTCATGCAGGCTTTGATCCAGCAAGAGATGGCCACTCTTGCAGTTGAGACATGCGTCCGTCCGTCGGACTTGCCGCCGACTGGCAGCGGTCTAGCAGCTATGCTGAAGACATTGCTATTCAATCTAATGTGATACAGTACATCTATTTACCCCGCTTCGATCCAGTTTGGACTGCGAATGCATAGGCCGTGTAGGAAAGACAGCACAGCGAGAGAAATTCGAATGATCAGAGTTGCGCTCGTGGTCCAAGCATCGGCTTCTTCATGCTCGTGATCTGGATTATGGCCGCTGCCCATATTTACCCCACCAGTGGAATAATCGAACATGATATTACAATTATGAGCTATAAAGATAATGCTGTTTAGACATTAACCTCAGCTGCAGGATCCTTCGACCTCTGCGCAAAAATCTTGGACAGCGTGGACGACTTGTTTCTGAGCGGAGGTCTGGGTGTGCTAGTAGCCGCCTCAGCATCCTCGACAGATCCCGTCTCACTCCGCCGTTTGTCTACAGTCAAAAAGTTAGTGATGACCGACCACAGGTTGTTCGCAGTCAGAGAATGCTCCTCGGGCCGCAGCATAGACTGGTCTGCAATCCGAGCCAGGCGCAGCGCCTCGTGGGTGTCTCGGCGCGAAACGATGCTGCTCGGAGGCGGATTTTCATGGTTGTCCAACGCCCACGCCCAGCCCCAATTCCCCGACACCGCCAGCCCCGACGACGTATCCGACTCGCCGTCCTCTCTGCCGACCATGTTCTGTATCAGCATCGTGTTTCTCACGATGTCCTTTTTCGCCTGCTCCAGGTTCCGCCTCCGGTGCTTCTCCACGGTCTTGAAAGCGCTCGCGAACTTGTGGTTGAACTTGCGCCGGCCGTCGATGTACCGCTGCATCGCCAGCTCAGAGATCACCCCGATCTTCTCCGGCTCGAGACTGAACGCAGCCAGTTCCGACTCTGGCTCGAGCGGCCGCACCGCCCCACGGGTAGACACCCGTTCCCGCAGCATCGCTCCATCCTTCCACTCTTTAGTCTCGTAGATCTCCGGCTCGCCGGCGGCCCGCTCCTCGTCGAGCATCAGCGGTGTCGAAGGCGGCGATCCGGTCAGCGGTGCATCGCTCGGTGTCGTTAATAGATCCGACGGAGTGGAGACCAAACCCGGTGTTCCGAAATAGGAAAAGTAGGACGAGTTCCTGGTGTCTGCCTCATCTACGCCCAGGGAGGCAGATCTGGCCGGAGGAATCGGCAAAGAGGGCGACCGGAAGACGGACAGCCGTCTCGAAAGCAACCCAGAGCGGCGTCCCGGTTCCTGGCCGTCCGAGTTCGGAAACCCTGCGGAATTCATCGGGGACGGTGGGAGGGGAGGAAGATGACTCAGATCGTTCTTGTCAGCCCACTTCGTATTCGTGCTGCTGTCACGCCGGGGAGGAGGCTGCTTCATGCCCGTGACGTTTCTGCAGAATGCAGCGATCGCACGGTAGCAGAATTTGCCGGGAGTCGTAAAAGAGAAGAGGACAGGCAGGACGTGGGCCGTGTCGTCGTAGACCTGCAGATGCACGCGAGTTGGCCCGTACTTTGCTTCGATGCCGTCCAACGGGGGGTACATCGCCCTGACCTCTTCCTTGATGGGATGTGTCTCAGGCTTTGCTGCCTTGTGAGCACTGTACACCGTTCAGCAGTCACTCGGGAAACTCGAATCAGGTGACTGACGCGTAGATGATTTCATCCCTCAGGACCTCTTTATCACTGGCAATGAAGAACAGAGGCGGGAGTCCGCCCAGATAGCTCAAGGAACTGGAAATTAAAGGGTGCGCGAGCTGCGAATTCTGCGCGTAGAGATGCACCTGCTGATCGATCTGTAGCTGGTTGCCAGAACTCGTAGTCAGCGTAAACACCTCGCTGCCTTGCAGTGGCATCGGTGCCGTCGCTCCAACATCAATCGCTGAATCAGTGTGGGAGGGAATCGGCAGAGGCGGCGTCGCTGGCTCGGGGAGGGGCTCAGCCTGGCCTTTGAACGTGCTACGGATCCAAGTGCGTAGTGACGCATGGACTCGCTGGCTCAGTTCCTCCGATGGCGGAGGCCACAGCGAGCTTGGTTTCTGAAACGACAGCCCGAATGCCGGAATGACGTCCGTAGCAGTGTTCGTGTGAATGCTCGGAAACGAATGCGTCAGATCGCACCATGGCGAGATCAGCACTCCCCCCGCGGGAAGAGGCAGCCCCGTGTCGCGAAGGACTTGCAATAATGCCAGAGTAAGGCCTCCCCCCGCCGAATCTCCGGCAACAACGATGTGTGCCGGATTCAGAGGCCTATGCGGTGCACCCGGTGGTGGTCGAATCAGATACAGATCTTTCGAGATCCATGGGTCAGAGAGCGCGAGGATCGCTGCGAACTCACTCACAAGCAGCCAAGATATCCTGCAGAGCACACGGAAAGGGATACTGCGGAGCCAGCCGGTAGTTGATAGCAAAAACCCGTCCGTTGATCTTGCGAGCATGCCGCTGGATGCTGTACCTCTCCTGGTCCACGCTGCCAAAATAGTACCCGCCTCCATGCGAGTAGAGTATGCACCGCATCTCATCCATGTGCGCCTCGTACGGCGCGGAATCGGGGCCAGAAGCGGACGACGGGCTGGGCGGGGGTTTGTCGCGCATCTTGTCGCGCCGCTTGGCCTCCTGCCAGTCCTTCTTCGCTGTGATCCACTGCGCGTCGATCCTGCGATTCCTCTCTCAGCACACGCGCGCGAATGAATGAGCGAGACGCTGGATCAGGTCGGGACGTACCCGGAGACACCTCGGACCTGCCACCACTTGCAGCCGCCGACCACACGGCGCGCGACCTCTTCGCCTCCCAGAGCGGTAATAACATATTGAGCAGCATCGTCGCAGCATGACATCGGGATGACGAGTCGGACCACATGGACCCATGGCGGCGACGGGGTGCGTGTGTTCCCGAACGCTAAATACAGCGCACGCGAGCTTGGGTGAGCATTTGATGGCTTGCAAGCCGAGGGAGACCGCACCTTGGACCTCTTCGACAGTGTGGCTGACTTCGATTGAGGAGCGGCTCCGAACATGATGAAACACTCACTAGCTAGCCTCAGTGAGAAACTTCTTGACGACCGTGAAGGCCTCGTCGTATAACAGCTCGTCCTGCCTGAGTTGCGTGATAGTAGGATCGTCTTCTTTCGCCTTGGATTTCAGGCGTTCGAGATAGTGCTTGACAAGAGTTTCGAGCAATATTGGCCCGAGTCTGAGCCCAGCCTGGGTCGTAAGGCCATTCATGGAGATGACAAGCTTAAAGAAGTGGAATGAATTACATGGACCAACCTGACAAACGCCCAGAGCACAGAGGGTGTCACGCTGTGATCGAGATTTGACCTCATCGTCACTCACCGTCACTCAGGTTTTGTCTCGTACCGGAGCCTCCGTGCAGCAATTTCCACACGCCGAAGTCATGTCCAGCCTCCCCTCTCTAGCCGACGTCCAGTTCGATCACGATGGTAGAACCCTCTGGCCTAACATACTCAGCGCGGAACAAGCAGCTCTGGAAGCAGCTCCGACAAAATCTAGCGCAAAGTACAACAACTCGCTCATTGGTATCCGCTTTCTGGGATTCTTGTTGCAGGATCTTTGGCAACATAACCAGCACTCCTTTGGTCTCACTCCGTATCAAAGACTCATCAAAGAGATTGCATCATGCCTGTCAATCTCCGGTCAGATCCCTGCTAGCGAGGAAGAGGCTGAAGCGCAGCATGGGCAGCTTCAGAACCTAGGATTGTTCTACCGTAATCACCTCATCCGCATTTGTAAGTCATATATTCTTCCATCACTTGGCAGTTCTCTGACCTTCCAGTTCGTTCGAATGGAGACCCGATACCCCAAAGCTCGGATCCTCCTTCCCGTCCATCCATGGACGTACTTCGAGATAGGATAACCAGAAAGATGAAGACCCCAACAACGCCACGTAGTGCGCGTCAGAGTGTAAGCCTTAGGCCGCTATACCAAGTTCTATCCAACTTATTCTAGGCACTCATGCGGGATGGATACCGCTGTATGGTGACCGGCCAATACGATATCCATTCCGCCGATGTTTACCCTGAGTTAAATGATCGTGCGGTCGCTGACGGTGTGAGCATGGCGGTTACGCAATGTGCCCACATCTTTTCCGAGATTGCGCAGGATGATAAGCGGAAGGCGGATTTGAGTGCTTTCATGTGCGACAATGCTGGTGCTGATATATTTTCAGGCCAAATACGCTGCCAGCGCGATTGCAATTTTGAGAATGTTTGGGCTTGAAAACGAGGCCAGAACCTTGTGGGCAGCAACGTTCATCGACATTTCAACATTCTCACCATGCGGAGCGATCTACGCAATCTTTTCGACCGCTTGGACTTTTGGTTGGAAGAAGTTGCAGGGGAGGCGAGCGATAATCAGTCCATTTCAATCTAGATGACTGACGTATTCGCATCAGGAAGACACTTACAATATTGTTTCTATCAAAGGCAAGCCATTGAAAATGGGCCTACCTCTTCCCTCGTGCGTCACCTTCCGGATCGATCCCGACGTGGTAGCAAGCTGCAAGAGGAATCAAACCAATCCGCCTGCGCTGCCTTCACCCTCTCTCCTCGCCATACGCGCTGCCTGTTCGCGTGTTGCGCACCTGTCGGGGGCCGCTGAGCAAGTCGACCAGATTCTCCGTGATCTAGAGGATAGGCCTGTGATGGCAGAGGACGGCGGCAGTGCTCATCTTCTCGAGTCGCGCCTGCTGCAGTTGTCGCGTGCTGTTTCTATTGAGGCCTAGTGCCCCCAGGAGGGCCCTCTTCTCATTTCAGTCGCGTTTAGGAGTGCATGATGATTATTGAAACACTCTTCATCGCAGAATCTTGGAACCTAGCAACAATCCTTCAGACGATGGAATTGGATCATGGACATCGCTGGCCCGGAGCGGAGCTCAGCGCGCCACGACCAGACCAGCATTCCACCCACGAGAAGAAACAGCCACGCATCGCACAGAATTAGTAACAACGCGAGAGCAAGCCCTCCCGCCGCAAGAGCACACGGATCAGACTGCGGCAATTAGCCAGCGGAGGTCGAGTCCATGACCACAATGAATCATGTCATCGGAGACATGGGCAAAAAGAAGATGTAGAGATACAGGTACAGGTTACACATTATCGAAGCTATATGCCAGGGTATCCGATTATTAGAACTATTTATCACTGTCCCGATCGAGCCTGGCCGCATTCCTACGGGCTGCTGACAAATTCACCTCTTCATGGCTCTGGCGATGGGCTGTTTTCCGTAGCCGCCACTCCGCATCGTCTGGCCGGCTCCTGGCACTGGACGCGGAGAACGTGTGTTCCCGCGGATCTTCGTCGTTGTGCTCATGGCGGTTTTCTTCTTCTTCCGCATCTTTCCCTGCAAACTCGAACGGGAGCATGACTGCCCGATCGATTGCGACGGGTAAGCCGCGATGCCTGCCTCGTATCATGACGAAACAGACGATCAGCTTGGATAATGGCCGAAATGCACCAGAAAAAGAGTAGTTTTGCTGGCGGGGATCAGATCGTACATGAAAAAAAGCGCAATGTAACATACTGTGGGTATCCCAAGACTGAGCCCAACAGTTCCATACGCAGAGACAAGCTCAAACACTGTTTTGCGTCAATTGAGGCCATCGAATTGCTCTAGTTTTCTGACGCACCCACTGAGAAGATGTTGAACCAACCAAAGTTTTCTTCCTTGTCGATGCTGCTCCGCTGGTCCAATCTCAATACGCAATAGCTCACACTGAGATAATCGTAGCACACCTCGATGATACAGACGAGAAAGACAGCTAGACCGAGCCACCACATGTCTGATACAACATTAGCCCACCGACCCAACGCGATAGATTGGCGAATACTCACCAAACGCCAGCTGCTTACGGGCATGCATGGCCAAGTAGCTGCTCCAGACCGTCATTCTGCTTTCGCCGTGCGGCTGAAAATTCCATTCGTCTTCCTCAGGTTCGCCATCTCGGAAGATGCCCAGCGACTGTTCTTCGTACACATTCGTTGATCGAACACTTCACATCGTAAGCAAGAATTCGTCGCATTCGTCCAACTGCGAACCTCATGGCGATGGGATCTTCGCCAAGGATGTCAGAATGCATAGAGAGTGCCCAAGACAAGGACTTACAGACACTGATGTACATCATAATGAGATACAACACCCTGCTCCTCATCAGCACTAGAGCATTGAAGCCGGAATGCGACATACTTGACAGCGGGGGCCAGCGCAGAGAGTGCCACAGTCCCAAAACCGGCAGCGCGGACGGCAATAGCTTGCAGCAGCCCAATAGCAAACCGGGTGTTCAAAGAGATGCTTTCGATGGCAGGATTGCCAATGTCCAGCACCATAAAGAAGAACCAGTCCGTAACACTGACCATCAAGAACACAGAGCATGCAGGACATGGGCACTCACTTGAGGAAAAGAACGACGGTCGCCAGGAACCACGTTTGATGTGAAGGGAAGAGGTAAATGAAGCATCGCCGCGGGTGGTCCAGAAGAAATCGGAGGGTTTCGCCAGATCTCGATGATTTGGGCACAAATTTGGACAGAATCCAGCTGAAGACGCGAGTCAGTATCCCAGTGTTCTCGTTATAGCAAACCTCACATGAGGAATCGAAGACTGGACCAGATAAGGTGAGATTAGCGGCGATCAGGCTTGAATGAGTAGCCTCACAAGATAGGCTTGGCCGATTCAGTGTGGTCAGGGACGGTAGATCAAAATAACTCACAAATGCCGTGTTCCCAGCCAGGATGAGAACGACCAGAAACACGATCATTGCATAGGCTTCTTGGAAGGGGACCATGGACTGATCAACCAGAGACATGCCTGTGTTCGTGTATGCGGAGACAACCTGGAACAAGGCAAACCTGAGCGCGAGCATGAGAGTTGTTTCCATTTCATTGAACCCGTAACCAACCACGCCGGTCGGATACGACTGTGTTGCATAGGAGTCTCAAAGTTAGCAGCCCATCGCGGTGTCGAAATGTACGGAGCGATGACCGTAAAAGCGACGAGCTGAATCCCAATGTGATACTGGAAGCGTCTTCAGCAGGAGATTGATTCATCGCACTGAGGTCCACGCACCCCAGCAACAATCCACAACAGAGCATTCAGTGCCCGGTACTCGACGCCTCCTAGTTCGTCTTGTTGTTCGGCCGTCAGTTCCTTGAACAGAGAGTTCCGTCCAACAATCGCGTCAAACGAAATGTATGGAGCAGGCTTGATGCCCAGGCCACTGTCCCCACCGCCCCGAGAAGCCAGCGTCATCGTCGGCGGCAATGTCAACGTTCGGGTCAGTTTACGTTCCAACTTGGGAAAAAATCGTGTGAGCAGATCCTGGGCGATCTGGAGGGGCATAGGAAAGCCCCCGAACCCGCTATGTTTCGCACCGCGGCCGATGTTGGATGGCGGTCCGTCCTGCATTCCGCTGCTCATTCGCTGGGAGCCTGGAGATAGTCAATCAGCCGTGGCAACAACAAGCAAGTGAGCCCCTGCTCACGCCGAGAGTTCACGGAAGACTCGTAGTCTAATGTCGAAAGCCGGTGTGTTCGATCACGCCGTGTTCCAGGCGCGAATTCGACCGTTTGGGTTCGGGGGAACAGCGCACCCATCGCTACGGTGTCAGATCGCGGAAACGAGTTGGTGACGGGAGAGGCGGGCACCGGCGTGGTTCGACCGGGATCAGAGAGTCTTCGACTGCAATAAGTCAGTGTACGAACGAAACTGCTTGGAAGGTCCAAACCTTCGCGGGGGACGCAGTGAGACCTCCGATCGCTCGCCAGCCGATGGTGTTTGCAGAGGTGTCGGCTCCTCGGAGATAGGCTCAGGACTCGAGACCATCGTTCCTGTGAACGACAAATGCTGTGGGCGTGTGCCCTTGGATTCGGGGGCAACGTGCTCCTCCAGAGGGATATCCTCTACATCCGGGGGGTCATCTACTTTTTTCTCGCCTTCCGCTTTGGCGTGCCGCTGCGCCGATTCTGCGTCACTAATCCAGCCGCTCGGATTAACCAGTTGCGGAGGTTGATCCATGCGCCGAATCATATCGGGGCGAAGCTTGCGTACAGAACCCATGAGTCCCTTGGTATTCTTCTTCTTTGCCTTGACCGCCGCCAGGTCCTCCTTGCTCATCTCCTCCACCGCCGACAGCATCGTTTTGCGCGACAGCAGCGTGCTGAAGCGGCGCGTCCATTGAGGCGGTGCGTTACCCCGTGCCTCAAGTGAATCGATCCGGGCGCTTGCTGCAGCGATAATGTGCTTGAACTTCTTGGCAAAGTAATACCTTGGTGACGACTTAGGTTTAACGAGTCCTGATGTGAAAAAGGAACGCGCCAACTCACCGACGGAGGTACACCATGACCCAGGATACGACAACCTGCACCAACTGGGATGAGGAAGGAAAACATATAATTCATGCATCACCACGCACAGGACTCCCCAAGCACATCTGGATGAACAGGATGACTTGTTGCCAGGCCGTGAGCGAGCTTAGATCGACCGTAGCAAGCCCACAGACGGTCATCGCGCTGACGGAGTTGTAAAGCGCGTCGATATAAGATATGTGCGTGTGACCATTGGAGGCGTAGAAGATCCCTGAAAAGATGAGGGGTGTGAATGTGCTTGAAAACGACGTGAGGGCCGTTGTGTGACGCAGAGATGAGGAGGGCGTACAAGAACAAGATGTGGACTCGGTAAAAGTTGAGATGTTTGGTCAAACTCCGCCAGGTCGAGCGCATTCGACGTTTCGCGGGGCTCGCGACCGCGAGCTCAGGGAGAAGATTTCAGATCACGACCGAAGATCATCAAAGAGATACATGACGTCATGATTCTCTTGCGAAGTCTGCTTCAAGCGTTGGCTCATTTACTACGTAGGATATATACAATGCGTGCTAATGCAGAACCACGAATAGAGGAAATGCAATGAGAGATTCAGAAGGGTCGAAAATATGACGGCTGACGATGATGAGTAGATGACGGCAGTCTATGCTAATAACTCCAAAAGCTTCTCCGGCTCCATTGACTTGTTTGCAAGCTCAGTCCTCCGGTCAGCATCGAACGGAATCGACTTGATGATCGCAGCCATGTTGTTTGGAGCCTTCGGAGCATCGATGGCGATGTCCTCGAGGATCTCGACGAGAACAGCCAAACCCTCTTCGAAGGCATCCAGAGTGCACAGATTCTTCTCCGAGACGCGAACGAACAAGTCAGCCACGAGCTGGGCGTCGGCAGGCTTCGACTCGACGGCCTTGCCGGCCAGCTTCTCGACCAACAAGTGATGGTGGACCGGCGGCAGTGCCGTGAAGTAAACCTCGGCCTCGTCCAGGTTCTTAACGGCGAAGAACTCTTTCAAGTCTTCGGAGATCTTCGTGTTGGCAGCTGCCTCGTCCATCTGCGGAGCGGCAGATTCCTCGTCCTCGGAGCCATCGTCGGAGCCCACAGGGGTCGCTTCTGCTGTTGACCCCTCTGTGGGTTTCGTCCGGGGTGCAAGAACGAGCTTGCGCCTCTGCGCTGGAGGTTCTGGAGTCGCCGCTGAGTGACAAAGTCAGCGCCCATACGAGTAAACCGTGTAAAATGGGCTCACCCTTGACTTCAGCGCTCTCGGACTGGCTCAGCATGGAGAACATATTTGAACTCATGGAGCTAGCACGAGAGACAGAAGCCGACTCGCGCTTGCTCTCTTTGCTACGACCAGAAAAGACATTGCTCGGACCAAAGGTCGCAGGAAGACCCTTGCCGCCGCTGCTGATCTTCCCAAAGTTGGATAGATCACCAGCCTTGGATGGTAGTCGAGGTGTGTTGCTGACGTTGGTCCAACCGTCGGGCCCGGGCCCGGCAAATTCACCATTGCGATCACCACCGCGACGGGATCCTCCGCGCGACATGCTTGCTTGCCGATAGTTTGCATCTTTATCGGCCGCAGAAAGGTCCTTCGCACCCTGCGATGGCCATCAATAATCGGCGTAGAGATGCGACAGATGATGCTTACGCCGTCTCGGACTTGTGAGATTGTCGATGGAGGGGCCATCTGAGATCGTGTGGTCCACTTTCGGTCGCGCAATTCGATGACATCCTATTCCCAGTTAGTGGTGTGCGAGAGTCACGGAGATTATGACACACCTGCAACATGAATTGCATTCGGGAGCTGACGCTGTTGCTCTTGCCAAGTTCCTTCATCCGCGAGAAGTACACATCCATATGCGCCTTGGCCTTGGGGCTGTCCAAAAGCTGTCCGACAGTCGAGATGAGCTTGCACAGACTCTCGATTTCCTCCTCCTCGGGGTTCTCGACGTTGCCCAGCAGCTTCTTGATACACTCGTGCATAATCCGCTCTGTCAACATCTGCAGTTTGAACAGCTCTCCGATGAACTTGATCAATCCAAGACCCTGTCGCTTTGCCTTTTGCGCAGCGTAGTATTCGTCAGAGTAGAGGACAATCTCGTCAGGGTTCGTTCCAGCCTCGGTCACAGCAGTCTCCTTGGCTTTGTCCTCCAGAGCCTTGGTGGCTGCAGCTGCAGCCGTGGCCTCTTTCGCAACCCAGCCACGTTCAAAGTCCTCCTGGCAACGGTTGAGGAGATACTTGCGGAAGAGCTGGCCACCCGCGATGGGCTTGCCATCGGCGTTCTTGATTCCGTCATCCTGCACTTTGGGACTGATCTGCTCCATCATCTTGCGACACAGTCGAGCATACATCTCAGACCAGGTGGCCTCGTCGGTTGCTTTCTCGAACACAAGTCGAATGACTTGAATAAGCGTGCGCCCATCCTTCTCCTTCTCAGACTTGTTCGCCCACTCGATGATCTGGTCCGAAATCGAGTCGAACTTCTCCATCGACAATTTGTTCAACAACGATTTCACCTTGCGATCAACGATTTCGGGTGAATCCGGATCGATACCACCCAGAGCCTTGCGATCCCATCGGTTGGCAGTGACTTGTAGAGGTGCCACATTCTCGAGCGGAGTAGAAAAATTGGAGTTGTGCTGAGAACCAGAGCTGTTCTTGTCCCTCGTCTCGCCTCGCTTGCTGCGCGTCCGCTTGTTATTGCTCAAGCCGGAGCTGATACCAGGCTGGCTGCTTGTTCGGGTCATTGGCGCTGGCCGCCCGAACGGAGGGATCCCGGAGCCACTGGCGGCGCGCATGGCGTTGGCCATCTCGTATCGTTCCTGACTGGTCTTGCCAGTAGAACCGAAGTTGCCCATGCCACTGTAGCCCGGGCCCGTCTTCCCGCTGAATGGGAAACCCCCTCCAGCGCCTGACGCACTGGAAATTGAGGGTGTTCGCCCGGACCGATGCGTTCCTCCTCGCGATGACGTCCGCGTCATTGCGTTCTGGTCTGCTGGGCCAATACCAATCGCATCCAAAGGTGGGAGATTGTCAGGCTTCTCTTTGCAAATAGACATGAACTGGAGGAGGAAATCCCGATCGTATCTATTCTGAGTCAGTCGATGTCAGATGAGAATTTCGCCACGGCATACCTGAACTTGCCGTCCTTGGCGTGGACGTTGAGTTCAAGCTTAGGGCTCTGAATATTGTCGGGATATTGGATGCGGTTGATGTCATCGATGATACGTGCTGTGGCGAGGGCAGAGGGAAGGGCGCTCGGGATATTGGGCTTGAATGCACCGGAGAGATCGAGAGGACCTGGGCGACGACGCAGTGGTTCGGAGGGAGCAGTGTCGATTCGGAGCGATTCCTTCTTATCCTTGGAGGGAGAAGCGTCGGCTGCAGCCAGCTCATCGGGTTTGCTGATTTCCTGAACCTCGCCCTCTTCTTCCTCTTCGATCGTGGCGGGCTCATCTGTCTGCACAGTCGAGGTAATGCTGGCAGCGGCAGCCTCTTGCTCTTTCTTCAACCTGGCCTCCTCTTCTGCCTTTCGTGCTTGCTCTTCCTTCTCCCTCTCCAAGCGTTCCTTCTCGAGGCGATCCTTCTCCTCTTGCTCTTTGCGGGCCTTCTCTTCCCGCTCTTTGCGCTCCTTCTCCTCCTTCTCCTTACGCTCAGCCTCAGCCTTGGCCTCCTCCTCCTTCTTCAGCTGTTCCACTCGGAGCCGCTCCTCCTCTTCCTTCCTCTTTCTCTCGTTCTCTACCTCCTCCTCCTTGCGAGCTTGCTCCTCCTTGGCCTTGCGTTCCTTCTCCTCAGACTCGGCTTTCAGACGAGCGACCTCCTCCATGCGCTTCTTCTTGTCCTCTTCAGACTCCATCCGGATCTGAACAGACTTGCGTGGAACATGTCCTGGATTAGGCAGAGGAGATGACGTCACGCTTGGTGTCGATGCAACCGAGGAAGGTGTCTGGTTCTGCTTGAACTTCTCCAGGTTGATCTCGGTCCCGTCGGCGCTCTTAAGTGAGATTTTGCCGCCGGGCTTGCGCGGGTTGTTGCCGGGCACGAAGGCGTTTGCATTCGTATTCAACCGGACCGAAGACGGAGTGGGAGGCGGAGAAGCAAGTCCACTGGACGCCGTCGAGTGCGTGTGTTGTAGTGAAGGTGCCTGATGGTGGCCAGTGGGAACAGCTGCAGCAGGTGTCGGTGTCCCGGGTCCACTATGGATGGGGATGGGGTGATTTCGTGGAGAGATGGGGATCGGGTTGTGGGGAGCCGGCACGGGGGGCGGGCCCATCGATTGGTTGGGAGGTGGCATGCCGTGCTGGGGAGGCATACCGTACCAGTTATGCTGATACGGAACAAACTGTGCATCTGGAGGCATGCCTGGATACTATGAATAATGAATAGAGTCAACTTCGCATTCAAGGATTCAAGTGAATGGTAAGCGTACATAGTAACCCTGCCACATTGGCTGTTGCATTGGTGCGGGAGGCATTCCAGGCGCTGGCATCCCAGGCTGCGGGTGCTGAGACATTCGCGGACTGCCCATACCGGACGGCATCTGCGACGGAGCGCCCGGACCGTTGGGTCCATTCGATGGTCTGGGTCCATTCCCATTGGCCATCGGTTGTCGAGAGTATACTGGCGACCTGGGAGGAGGGCCGCCGGTGTTCGGTTGGGGTGGAGGTCGCATACCATTCTGGGGCACGAATGGAGGCGGATAAGGGTGGGCGCCCATGGGTGATGGTTGCGACGGAGGCTGTCCACCATTTGGAGGCGGCTGAGAGGATTGGGGAGGAAGGTTGGAGGTGCGTTGTGAAGGTGAGGGCGTTTCGGGTTGTGAGGGAGGTGCGGGGGACGATGCGGTCTGGAAGAGTTTTCTGACATCCACCTTACTAATTTTTGTAGGGGGTGGTGTCGAAGAGGATGGAGATGGAGAGGAAACCGCCGCAGATGTCGATGCAGTCGGTCCACTGGCCACTGTCGGCTTTGTCATCGATGGTTTGCCGTTTATTGTTCCGATATTGGCCTGAGCTGGGAGCGTCCCAAAAGACTTGACATTTTCGGATTTGATTGTAGGCGCAGCGGTTGGGGAGGAGGATATGGGTGCAGAAGCGTCGTCTATAGAGCCAAACGTAACAGCCGAGCCTGCGAGTTGCATTTATTCAGTAAAGGTTTGAAGTCAAGATCCGACAGTTGACGCACTTGGTTTTACAGCTCCAACATTGTTCCGAGGTATGCTGACTCCGTCCTTAGTATGCACAGGTCCACCACTAAGGGCACTAGGGCGACGCGAGTGTGTGGGTTGGGGTGCAACGGAAGGTGCCGGAGATTGCGACCGAGGTGATGGTGCCGAAGTATTTTGAGGCGGGCCCTTTGCCCAAGCAGACTTTTGCGGTAGCTGAGTCGAAATCTTCGATAATGAGGCAGTCGAGGGTTTGCTCATTCTACATGAGGATCGTAAGAAAGGCAAGCAGATGTATCGAGGTAGAAAAAAATACAGACGAATGTCAAAGAGATAAAGTAGATGGCGGAGTTGGGGTTTTTCTGTTTTCTGCGCGTGCGGTGGTCGTCAAAAGAGACCTGCCAGCAGGCTGAGAAGCAGCTGGAAGAAGACGATAAGTCTAGGAGAGGCGGACGCTGCAGGTAGCGATCCGGCAGAGATGTCCTGTGTGAAGACACGGACAGAGGACAGTCGTCGACGGCAATCACGACCAAACAAATGATCATTTCCGGAGCCGCGGGCAAAATGATTCATATGAGGGGCGGTGCCTTGGCAAGCCAGCAATGTAATCGTATCATGGACTGCACGGTGAAAACCTCCTGGAAACTTCTCAACACGCCCAACTGCCGTGGCAAGTCCGGGCATGCAACCCGGTTCTCGTCCTCGTGGAGGACACGTGACTCTACATACAGCTTAAATAAGCGATCACGTCACCCTCGTGATTATAGATTCTGTAGAGATCCGTTCACACGGCGGTGTAAAGATCCAGCGGGGGTGAAAAGCCGATTCCTAGGGTCGGGCTCGAAGGCAGTGAGTTAATACTCCAAGGAGCAGGCTCGTCTCCACGACCGGCCAAAGTTCGGATCGTGGAAGCAATTGATCGATCGATCTGCAGACCTGGTCAATTCACCGAGACGTCAGCGCAAGAGTGCATTATCAGGTTTGTGAGACACAGAGAGAGACGGATACCGTCCCATATGGAGGATTGGGAAGACCGCTTGCGAGTGAAAGTGACGGTGCGAGGCCTTGGCTTCACAAAGTACGGTAGTTTCCTTCTTCTAGTGATTCAAAACACATTCCACGACGTTAAATTCAGACAAACGATTCAAGAAGTGCTTCAGATTCATACATTTAATGCAGACATTGGTTCAAAGCTGGTGGCGACCCATCAGACCTTGAGTCAGACTTTGACTTCCATACGAAACTTGTGTCTTCCATGAGGGATCAAGCATCTCCACGGTAACCCGGGACATCTAATGTCGCTCGCCGACAAACCAAGTCAAGTTGGTGACCGTCTCGAAGTTCTTATCACAATCGGCATCGCATAGCTGTTGCGCTTTGTCCCAGTGACCATGCACAGACAGCTCCGCAGAGATTCGTGTCATCCCTGTGAAGCCGACGCGACTCGCAGAAACCTTGATGCCTCCAATCAGAACGTGAAGCACGAGAGTGGACGCCTGAGGGACCCAAGTCTGGAGGCTGCCGAAAATTGGTTTGGCAAATTCATCCGAAGTGGCGATTGGATACATAATGCGCCTACGACCGCTCGAAGCTTTCATTTGAAGACTAAGCGGATAGACTCGTTCACCGCAAGTCCCTCCATCAAGATACATCTGAGACAGCGATCGAGTCTTTTGATTTCAAGTCATTATAGCCTGAGGCCAGGCTAATCATAAGGTCTAACATCTTCACAGAGTCTTCAATCGCGGGTCGGTAGGTCAAGGTAATGAGGAAGAGCAGACCAAGAGCGCGCCACACATACCCAAATAGCGCGTGACGTCACAAGCTTCTGAACTTCTCTGAGTTGTCCATGATAGGTTTTTCGTTCGCCATAGAACGACTGCTATCTGTTCTGGGCTCTGGCAGTTCAATGTACCTGGGTATAACGTCACGATCGTATCAGCTCCTATTTGTCTCTGGTAGTGTTTTATGACAACATTACCTCCAGTTATATGAGGCATGAGCCAACTTTTCGATTCTGCAACGAATCTCTTCCCCAACTCAATCCATGTCCGCTCCATTCCAATTCAAAGTTTCTGGTCACACAACGGCCTCGTCTCCGCGTCCCCACATTCTTTACAAGTTCGACTTCGAGCACAACGGCACCCGCCACACTGTTCTGAAGCGGTACTCCGAGGCAAGCTGTTCTCGATTCTGACCTCGATCATATATCTTCACTCGGTTCAAGTTCGCTGCCTTTCATAATGCGATCGGCGCTGGTCCTGGCGCCCCCGAATTGCCTCCCAAGAGGCTGCTCACCACGCTGTTTATACCTTCTGCATGGGTTGACGACGCTTTGATCGCAGAACGCAAGGAAGGACTCGAGCGCTATCTCAATCAACTTTCGAAAACCTCAGAGCATATACCTGCTATCCTGGAGTTTCTGAATGCGGACACGACCGCGCTCCATCTACAAGCCTTCCAACTTGAAGACGCTCTTCCGTCCACTCTGTCGAGAACGACCTTCGAAGCGCTGACCGCTGGTGCTCCCGTGCCTGATGCTAAGAGCTTCCAAGCAGCCGCATACTACCCTTGTATGTCAATCTTGCATTGACTACAACACGTTCTGACATCAAAAAGCGTGGTCTTCTGACGCATATATTCCTGAAAAACTCGACTATTCTAGATTCGATATCTTATTCTTTGGTATGGTCCCTGGATTGGCTGTCTTTTCTACATCAAGACTCAAATCACCTGCAGCATTTGCAATTCCAAACACTTCATCTGCGTTAACTTGGTCGCCCGAGGACCAGTCTTTATTGAAACGGCTTGTCGCAGCGGCTAAGAAGAGCGGAAAGGGAACCAAGATCGTACTTTCTGTAGGCAAGTCGGCCCACTCGCTAATCGCATCCGAGCGCAGCACTCATATTGCCAGGGGGTTGGAACGGGAGTACGGCGTTCCATAGTATTACGTCCAGCACAGCCAACCGCGCCAAGTTCGTTACGAATTTGTCCAATGTCGTTAAAGCATTTAGTCTGGATGGGATCGACATCGATTGGGTGCGTCTCAATCCTCTGTGCGAGTCTTTGCTGACTTACCGCTTCCAGGAATATCCCAATTCGGTCGGCGCCGGTAATCCGTACGGGGCTAAGGACTCTGCAAACTTCCTCAGTCTTTTGAAGAGCCTACGTGGATCGCTCGGTATGTTCGAGCCCACGCATTATCAAGTTTTGATTTTAGAAATGCGCTCAAGGACCATCGAAGATCATATCGGCCGCAGTGATCGATCTGCCCTGGCTGGGACCAGACGGCAATCCCTTGACCGACTTGTCAGAGTATGCGGCTGAGCTCACCTACGTTAATTTGCAAGTGTCTTTGCTGTGGATCATTCTATGTCTACAACAATGCCCAGGATGAACTACGACATCAACGGTTCATGGTCCAGCACAGTACGAGCGTCTCTCTAGTTACCCTTCTCCCTTCCCATTCTCACAACTTTTGAAATCTAGCCTGGCCCGAACGCACCGCTAGGAGATCTATGCAACGGCTCTTCTCAGCCCGAGTTCACTGCTCAAGCGGCATTCAAGCAATGGACCACCGCCAAGTTCCCTGCCTCGAAACTGATGCTCGGAGTCCCGCTCTACGGTTATGTCTACAACTCCTCCAGGACGATGCTTGAAGGATTTGTCGACCCGGCCGAAGAAGGCGATGCACCTGTCAGTAACGCAACACCTGGCGCTAACAAGAAGATCGAGCGGATCGAACAAACCACGTCGAACCCAGTCGAGATCAAGGCCACAGCCAATCTGAAGCCCTGGTGGGGACAGGCGATTCCGTTCAATTCTCTGCTTGCCAGCGGTGCTCTTGTCAAGAAAGGCGATGGAACGTAAGTCTGTGGCCTCGAACAGTATACCTCTCTTCTCTTCATGTCGCGTTCAGTTACGGCGCTGGACCGGGTTTTTCGCGAGGTCAGAGGCCTGAAATCTTGCGCATATAGTCTAATGACGAGCTCCCAGCTTGGGACAAGTGCAGCTCGACCCCGCTGCTCTACAGTGTTTCGCAGAGATCCGTGGTGGCGTACGATGGTATTCAAATCAGATGTGACTTCGTCTCAGATTGAATAATATCCCAACAGACACGGCGTCTCTTCAGCAAAAAGCCGGGTTCGCAAAATCGAAGGGCATGGCCGGATGTTTTACCTGGTCGCTAGATCAAGTGCGTAAACTGAAGATCCCCATTCTTCTCGCTGACATGCAATTCAGGACGACGGAGTGACCCTGCACAACGCCATTCGCGCTGGGTTGGGCAAGTAGAATGTCTGGTACCTAGAATCGTTCGTGTCATGAATTGCAATCGAAGTGTTCACAATCTGTTATCCTCTGGTGCTAATGTGTGATGATAAACCCGCCCGAGCCGACCGACGAGAGATGCAACGCTCCCGAACGCACAAATGCTCCGCTGTCAAATACCTGTTTCACCGTGCCCGCGAGATTGAGTTCGGAAAGCGGGAGAGAGACCTCGCGGTAGTTGATGTTCGTCGCCAGCACGAGCGTCTGACGGCCCACTGTCCAGAGAGCGACATCCAGCCCGGTGGAGAACGTCCGTTGCGTAATAGTCGCGCTCGCGCTCATGATGAACGATTTCATACTCGCCGAGAGAGCTAACGCCAAGGAAGACGCGGAGCTCTTGACGTCTGGAGTCGTTGGATCATCCCAAGACACGACACCTGCGGAAATTTAGCCAATAGATCTGAGACGCGATGAAGTACGAACCAAGTCCGCCGTGGTTGATTCCCAATACACTTTCAACAATCCATTCTTTTCCGCTGGGATACCGAGGCCAGTATCTGGAAAGGGTATGTCAATTATTGGAAACGACGGACACAGTGAGTGAGACCCACGTTTCGTTGCCAAAGCCCTGCGGTACAGTCCATACGGACTTGCTCAACTCCCAGCCATTACTGAAGATGCGCTGCTTGAACACATCCATCCGGGTGGCGATGTCTGGGAACCCAGTGTGGCAATTGTCGCAACCGCAATCGCCGTAATCTGTCCAAGAATCGCATTCGTCATTGAAGGGTTTGCTAGCAAAACAACGAGAGCGCACCATCCGTGCACGGAGTTCCCCACACAGTCGAGAACGAGAGATTGTTTCCGATGGTGTACGTGTCTTGCAGCACGACATCGGCTCCACTCGTGTATTCGGTGAAGAAGTAGTTCTCGCAGTTGAGCACGAGGGAGACAGGATGGTACCCAGCGCCGCCAAGGCCGTCTCCGCCATCGAGCGACCTGATGAGGTTCGCGGCATGCGTGGTGGCAGTCAGCGGATCTGATGTCCCGTCTGGCTCGTCTCCGGTGTACCACAAAAGAAGCCCCTTGCGCGATTTGATGAGATTGACTTGTTCCGTAACCGATGTGTCGTTCATGTATGTCCTGGATTTTTGTTTACAGGTCAGACCCAGCCGGGGAGGAAATCGCGAGATCGTACAGGCGCATGTCATACATCAGGTACAGTCCTTCCTGGGAGCGATTTCTTCGATGAAGCACCCACGGGAACGACAGCTGGGTCTTACCGCTTCCATCCGATCGAGGACTTGCTCGAGCAACGTGATATTGTCGAACGACGGAATGGGGTGCACCTGCAGTCGGAGATCTGAGCGTGGGCAGAACCAGCCCCGAGAGCTTAAGACTTACCACAGTGAATCTATGGATCCGTTCAACTTCAACGCACCATTCAGAACGGCTCCCCACTCACCCCTGTGTCTTTAACTGAGGCAGTGCCGTAGTGAAGTTGTTTTGCAGATAGTTTCCGAATCCCGTGTAGAACCCAATCGGGAACACCGGCTCGAAGGGCGCGTTTTTGGGTCCATTGATTGGTCGAGCCAACAACCCGCCCGTCCGCGCGTCGAATTTGGTGACAGAGCCAATCTCGGGCGGAGGATCAGGCAGATACGTCAGAAGGCCCGTCGCGGAGTATCTCTGAGTCTCCTTCGGCGCCCGTGTGGAATACGTCGCAGAGCACGTGATCGTGTACGCTGCACTCTGGGGCTTTAGTGCGGACAGCGAGAACGGGAGCGCATGTTTCGTCGCATTGAGTGGTACCGTTCCGCTCGCAATAGTCTTGCCGTTGATCGACACGGAGACTTGGACAGTGTGCGCGCCGGACTCGAGAGAGATGGGCACCGCATTCGAGACGTGCGAAAAAGTCACAGGCGTGTCAACGAGGATCGTTGCCGGCGACCCCGTGTTTGTGCTCTTCGCATCTTCTGGCAGATAAGGGCGGATAGCAGGCCCGCATCTCAGCGCTAGCAGAGGCGACTCGGAAATCGTTGGGATCGGAAATCGTCCTCCTGTACGAGATATTCAGATCGAACGACGGTGGCGCAAATGTAGTACTAACCAGGATCCGTGACTGGCTCAGTAGACATGTAATTTTTGCCACACCTGGAAAGTGGATCGCGGTCGCATCAAGCTACACACAGAAACCCTGGGACAGTGCTTGCCATGTTTGACAATTCGTTGCGGACACAAACAGCAGGATGCAGAGCAGGATGCGAGTCATCGCTGGCGACTTCGGGGGATGTCTGAATGACGACTGGAAGGCCCCATGCTACTTATAATAAACACTCTGTTGGTTCCAAAAGAACGTTGAGAAGAAGCAATTCCACAGGCCAAATAAAGGATCACAGCCACCTCTTATCCTTGACTGACTGCATGCAAGCATTGCAGAACATGCGCAAGAGCAATCTCGTCGTCCTCGATTCTCATGTTTTCGTTGTGCTTCAAAACTTGAACCTTTCCGTCGATGCCGAAATAGGAAATCAACTTCGCCGTTTGACGGACATCAACCCTATTTGCTCATGACTCAACAGTCATATCAACAATGTGACGAGAGAAAGAAAAAGTGCCCTGCAAATAAGATAGGAAAACATTATCAACATGCAATCAAAAGTACAAATACAGAAACCAGAGTCCAAGGCCAGGTTCAGACAGCGTTGTCATCCTTGTCTTCGCTTCCCTGTCCCAGATGAGGATCAATCGTTCCCGCCTGGCCTGCGTTGGTGCCTGGTAGGTGTTCAGAAATCAAATACTTGCTTAAGACCATTGAAAATCATACCTGCAGCATCGGTGCCATTCACGGATACACCCTGGTCACCTACACCGTTGGCCTGTGCCGCAACGAATGCAGCTCTGAACGGCACCGGAACAGTCATGGCCCCGGCAAAACGGCTGCGGAAGTCTTGCGTCGGAGGCGGACCTGTACATCAGACGTTGAGCGAAATGGAAAAGACAAGAGGTCACAAGAAGCAGACCGGCGGGTGCTGCCTCCGCATAAGGGTAGGTTGGTCCTGAGGGGGCACCGGCAAACTCTTGCGAGCCTGGCGGATGATAGACCAATCCTCGTCGCTAGATTGGCCGGTCAATGAAAGGTCAACCAACGGTATTCAAACGTACCGCATGGTCCCATCGGTCCCAGGCTTCAGCAATTACCGGTTCAAGAGTGGGCAACTCGTCGTTCTCCATATTGAGCGTCCGAAGCAGGTGCTGCTTCAACAGAGGAGCACAGGAAAACGAGAGCAGCAGAGTGGTGGCGAAGGTCTGCCCCCCGTGTACAGGACCGGCAGGGAATGGTGGCTCGGGGCCTGACTGGAGTTGCAACGCTTGCTGGAGTTCATGTGGTGCCAACACGGTAACAGGCGCATAGTTCCCGTCCGCATCAACGCGGTAGTGTATCGGAGGGGGGCCAGCCGCAGCACTCGCGTCGTCCATGGGAGGCATCACTTCATTTCCCATATCGAGACCTAACTCGCGCATCTTACGTTGCTTGACCAGCTGTCGATGCTTGCGCTGCCGGTCCCTTGCAGACGCTCGAACTCGATCCCGTCGCGCTATTTCCTCTGGCGTGAGGTGACTGTCATCAGGTCGGACAGCAACAGGGGCCATCTGGGGCGGGGCGGAGAGGTAGTCTTGCTGGTGGAAATGCGGGTCTTGGGGATGGGGGGCAGACACTGCAGGGAAGACCATCGCAGGAGGGGGGCCGATGCCAGTTGCAGCCCGGTCGCGCTCGCGTTTCCTTCTCTGACGTTCGGCGGCCTTCTCTCGTTTGAGGCGCTGCTGAGGAGTCTCATTCTCCCTGCGCTTACGCGGAGATGTGGTAGGTTCAGAGTATGTGTCGTCCATCCCACGCGTCGCGTTGATGTGACTATCGGGCGACACGACGAGGTCACTGGGCGGTCACTGTGGGTCACAGTGGAAGAGAGAGAGGCAAGGTAAGCAAACCCCAACACGGCTGCACCGCTACAAGTTGCCTCACTTCTTCGGTTCAGCGCATAGAAAGGTCATTATTCAATCTTTTGTTTTATTGTTTCCTACGTCATGTACAAGATTGAGTGGGGGGATTGCGAAGGCATGCAAGTATCGATATACCATGGTGTGATGTCAGTAGTAGAGTGTATGCTAAGATAGGATACTTTTCGTCTAGTCGGGTCGTGGCGGTTGCAGATGGGCGCCAGGAAAAGAATGCGTCTACTCCTTCTTCTCTTCCTTGGGCTCAGAGGACGACTCGGAGCTGGCGTTCTCTGCGTTCTTCTTCTCGTAGATCTGGGGCTGCATGTCAGCAAACATATCACAGCATGAAAAAAGTAGCACAGACCTTCTGGAAAAGTCCGAGCGAAGCCTGCTGGGTCTCGTTGATTTTCTCGCGGATCATGTCTGGTGTGATGGAGGCATCACCAGCCTGGCCCTTGAGCGCAATCTCGCGCAGTTGGCTGACAAGGTTGGTGACCTTCTCCTTCTCAGTCGCATCGAGCTGGTCCTTGAACTCGGACATAGCTGCATCTCTGTGAGCAACGCAGTAAAGCAATCAAACAAGCAGACTAACCCTTCTCAGTGTCAGCGCAGACGGAATCAGCCTTGTTAGCCTCCTCGATCAGCTCACGGCGAGCCTTATCGGTCTCGGCGAACTGCTCCGCATCCGACACCATCTTGCCGATGTCAGACTTGCTCAAGCCAGAAGAGGAGGCGATGGTCATGGACTGATCCTTGTTGGTAGCCTTATCCTTGGCAGAAACGTTGACGATACCGTCTGCAGGTCAAGTTTGAGAGAGAATCGCACGGAGGAACGTTCAAGGACATACCAGCGTCAATGTCGAAGGTGATCTCAATCTGGGGAACGCCCTTGGGCGCGGGGGGGATGCCGACCAGGTTGAAGTTGCCGAGCAGCTTGTTGTCCTGGACGAGCTCACGCTCACCCTGGTAGATCTTCACCTCGATCGCGGTTTGGCCGTCCGCCGCGGTGGAGAACACCTGCGACTTCTTGGTGGGGATGGTCGTGTTACGAGTGATGAGCTTGGTCATGATACCACCAAGGGTCTCGATACCGAGGGACAGAGGAGTGACATCCAAGAGCAGAACGTCCGTGACGTTGCCGGCCAAAACACCTCCCTGGATGGAAGCACCGATGGCAACAGCCTCGTCGGGGTTGACGCCCTTGCTGGGGTCTCGACCGAAGACGGCCTTGACCGTCTCACCAACACGAGGCATGCGAGTCATACCACCGACCAAGATGACTTCGTGGACCTCGCTGGCCTTGACGCCAGCGTCAGTCAAAGCCTTCTTGCAAGGTGCGACGGTCCGTTCGATGAGAGGAGCGACGAGGGACTCGAACTTGGAACGCAACAACTTGCTGTTGATGTGCTTCGGGCCGCTGGCATCCGCAGTGATAAACGGCAGATTGATCTCAGTCTGATTGGTCGACGAGAGCTCGATCTTCGCCTTCTCAGCAGCTTCACGGATACGCTGGATGGCCATCCGGTCCGACTTCAGGTCAATGCCGTGCTCGTTCTTGAATTCGCTCAAAATGAAGTCGACCAGAACAACATCAAAGTCCTCTCCGCCAAGGTGGGTGTCGCCATTGGTGGATTTGACTTCGTACACGCCATCGTGCATTTCCAGAATGGAGATATCGAAAGTTCCACCGCCAAGATCGTAGACTGCAACGACCTTCGCCTTGCTGTCCTTGTCCAAACCGTAGGCCAGCGCAGCGGCGGTCGGCTCGTTGATGACACGAAGCACGTCAAGACCGGCAATCTGGCCTGCGTCTTTGGTGGCCTGACGCTGGGCATCGTTGAAGTACGCGGGGACAGTGATGACAGCATGGCTATACACAAGACACGTCAGCTTGCAAGATCTCTCGCACCACCGGCAAAAAAACTCACTTGACTTTCTGGTTCAAGAACTGCTCAGCGGTCTCCCTCATCTTCACCAGGACCATGGACGAAAGCTCTTCCGCAGACTGAGATGATTTCCATGAGCAGTCAAATTAAGCGACTGACAGCGAACTTACATAGTTCTTCTTTTGGTTGTCGACCTCAACCTGCACTGCAGGACGACCCTCGGGACCGGCGACGACGTTGAAAGGCCTGTGAATCTAGTTCAGCCACAGCTGACACATAAGAAACAGACCCTCACCAGTGCTGCCTGTCCTCAGTCACCTCCTTGTCCTTGAACTGACGGCCAATGAGACGCTTGAAGGCGAACACAGTGTTGGCGGAGTTGACAACAGCCTGGCGTTTGGCAGGGAGACCGACAAGACGTTCGCCGTGCTTGGCGAAAGCGACTACTGACGGGGTTGTGCGGGCACCCTCCGCGTTTTCAATGACACGAGACGTCTTGCCCTCCATTATGGAGACACAAGAGTTCGTGGTCCCCAAGTCAATACCAACGACGGGGCCTGTGCAACACATTGAGAGAGAAGAGCAGCGCGACGGGGAAAGTACATACCGTTGACTTTGGTGTTCATAGACCGTGAAAGTAATGAACGCTGAACAGAAATATAAGTCGCGCTCAGAGACTAACACGAGGCGACGTACGCCATGGGGCCCTGAACGACTAGCCGCACGGAGGGGACGAAGAAACATGATGGAGGGGGAGGGATGGGGGAAGAGGTGAGAGTTGGAAAATTTGCGTGCGCGTATATGTAAGCTGATTTGCCGAGCCGGACGCTTCCGGAAAAGACCAGAACATTCCCACGGAGTCATCCGGGCTTGGATTCCGCGCGTCCTGATCGAAATCACATCTAGTAAGAATCATATGCGGACATGCATACAGTACACATAGAGTACTACTACTGGCCAGGTGGCGGTACACGCGGTTACTGTCAATGGTGCCCAGTTCTGGTACATATACATACAGAAATATAATTTAAGGGTCGGCCACAACCAGTTTCAGCAGTCCATCGTCAGTCTTCACAAGCCCTCGGAACATCGTTTTTCCCTGCAGAAAATCGACAAACTTGACACCCTTCTGTCGCTCGTGTATTCCACAGTCGGACTTGTATCCGGTTTGACATCGGATACTCTCTTGCCTGCAACGGCGCGTGAAAGCTCTCGAGACTCGAGCTTCTTTCTTCGACGACAAAGCCTCCCAGTCTTCACTCGAGATGGGTTTGTGCAGTTGCTGATGGATAGCAATGAGCACATCCCCGACGCTGATCGGGGGGCCTTGGCCACCGAGAGGGTACGCCAGCTCGATCGGCAAGTCTGGCGTCATATCGCAGACGATTCGCAGCCTGTTCACGCCTGGGTAAAAAGCCTGTGCTTGGATGTCGGACATGGAGAAGTGAACCGTATCCTCGCTGCCAGGCGAGACGAGCTTCTGCGGAAGGAAAGCTGAATATGAGAGATCGAATAGGATTATGCGTGAGCAAGTGTCACTGCTGAGCGATGGATGAATCTGAATCTGTCCAGGAAATGATCCGTAGTTGGATGGATATATGCCTGGAAGTGGCTGATTGGCGAATGGTGCCCCACTGAATGATTGGACCAAAGCTGGGTATGGCGTGCCATAGGGCCCACCAGCAAACGGCGTCGCAGGGAATGCCCCAGTGATAATTGGAGCGCCGGCGATAACAGGTGTGGCAGCAGCAGCGAACGGCGTGCTTGGTGGACTCCAACTCGGTGGTGCCCCCGGCCACGAAGGTGCTCGACTGATAGGCTCGGCGAAAGGTGATAATGGAGGAATGAATGGTTGTATGGGCGACTGTCTGCTGTGTTGGTATGGAGATCCGAACAGGTCTGGGCCGTTTAAACCAGATATAAAGGGAGACTCTGCGACAGGCTGCTGTTGGGGGCTGGCGTACGGAGAAGGAGGATATATCGTAGCGGGAGGTGACGGAGCATGTGGCGTGTTGGCACTGCATGGCTGGCCATATGCGCGGGGCCAACAGCTGCTCGTAGCCTGCCATCGGAATGGTGGGAAGTGCTCTGCCTGTGGATTGTAGACATATGGCGCAGACATGTCGTCAAGAAAGCTAGCAGTCGTGAATAGGATATGGCTGAATGTCAAATAGAGAGATTGATGATAGTAGTGCAGAGGAGGAAGACGACGGAACGACAGGAGGCTGCGAAATGATCTCTTCGGGCGATATGAGCCACGGTGCTATGTCGTTATTCAAGAGCCGCCTCGAAGTAATGAGACTGGAATGGCGCGTCAATTAAGAATTATTCCTATGGAATCGTGTCGAGGCGCGCAACAGGCATACAGTTCTTCGCGAAGGTACCAAATCTTCTGCAATCGGTGGGTAGGCTCTGGGTTGCCAGTGTGTCAAGCTTTATGCTACAAAGAAGCAGTTCCTGCACGAAGCCGTGCGTACGTTTGAGGCGAGGCGTTTGAGGCAGGCCTCAAGGCGAGAGCGAGTGAGTTCCGTCATAAATTTGGATTGGTTCTGGCTCCTTCCATGACTGCAAATGGCATGAGGTGCCTGGAGGTGCCGAAGACAGTTGAAGTCCATGATCCGGGGTAAGTTGATCGGATCCTCAATGTATTGATCCATACGTGGCCAACCGGCAGATTTGGCTCCGGACTCCGGACTCGATCACTTGGTAGTGCGGGGTACGAATCTTCAATAGCTCTTCAGTCTTCTACATCTTTCGAGTCTCGAAATCTAGCCATGACCGCGAATCAGAAAATTGGTGGAGAGTTTGGGGAAGTTAGGGCCAACATCGACGTCGACTCTCTGACCGAGTATCTGCTCCGCAACGTCAAGGTGCTGAGAGGACCTATAGACGTGAAGCAGTTCAAGGTCTGTCATGCAGTCTGGTCAGAATACTGGTCTCGCATTCGAGTACTGACTTGCTAGCAAGTTTGGACAGGTAAACTTTGTGCGCTCCGTACTTGCGTCCGATACTGAACGCTTGTCGAGTCTAATCCGACATACTTCTTGACCGATGCCAAGTAGGTGCTATGCTTGCTCAGCTCCGCCCTTGTCATCTCATTTGCTCGATGATACATTCAGCAATCTCAAACTTGTGTTGAGGAAGAAGCCTGCAGGGGGTCTGATTTCGAAGACAGCTCATCAAGTCGAGAGGGAATACGCGATGCTACGGGCTCTTCATGCTCACAACACGAACTCCCGCACCCAACCCGTCCAACGCGTCCCTGTTCCCGAGCCCATCATTCTTTGCGAAGACAACGCCGTTATTGGGACCCCGTTCTACGTGATGGAATTCGTCGAGGGTCGCATCTTCACCGACATGAGAATGCCCGAAATCGCACCCAAGGACCGGAAGGAGTGGTAAGCTTAATCGGTTCTCCTCTTCATTTACTGAGGTGGTGCCTAGCTGGCTATCTGCTGTCACGGCTCTCGCCGCGATTGCCTCCGTGTCCCCTTCCGATGTTGGGCTAGCAACATTTGGGCCGTCGTCGGACTACTATCCTCGGCAGATGAAATCACTGTCCAAAGTGTCCCAAGCTCAAGCAGTGATCACCGACGTGGACACGAACAAGGCCGTTGGGCCCATACCTTTCTTTGACGAGCTCATGGCCTGGTATCGCCAACACCTTCCTGACGAGAAGAAGATGGGGCTGCGCATCGTGCATGGAGATTACAAGTTGGACAATCTCATCTTCCACCCCACGGAGAATCGGGTCATTGCCATTCTTGACTGGGAATTGTGCACTCTGGGCAGCCCTGTGCGTCATTTGGGGCCATCAACCCGAGGAATGCTCACAGTACCCTAGCTCGCAGATTTGGCCAACCTCACACAGCCATGGAACGTGCGAACCAAGGACATTCAGCTTGATGCCTCGGATCCCTTCATGCGTGGATTCAAAGACGAGCCGGATGCAGCGCCCGTAACCCTAGATGAACTGGAGCGAGAGTATTGTCGATTGACGAACCAGGCGTTTCCCATCACAGAGATGGTGTTTGTGCGCAGCTGGATGCTCTTCCGGGTGCGCATGCCCTTTGACATTCCAGGCAGCTCTGACAGACACAATCAGCTTGCTGTTATTTCCCAAGGAATTGCAGCCCGAGCTGCTCGGCGACAGGCGAGCTCAGAACGTGCCCACATCCATGCCGAAGGGTTCAAGATAATCGGAAATTTGGCTCTCATCGTGCTCCGAGATAATGGGATCGAGCTTGGTGCTCGATCACGACTCTGAGGACAAGTGTTATACAGCATGTAACAGATCCTTTTATCCCTTGGAGTGATTTAGATTGTCTTCTTTACGCGATGTAGAAACACATGAGAGGATCCAGCTTTACTTTGTGGGCGTTAATGGAAAGTTGTCCGAGCTTGTGAGGATGCACGTTCTATACTACTTAAAAATTATTTTATCAAGATTCACCAGTGAGGCTTCAGGCTTCGCCTGGAACATATGTATACCATAGTGTTGACAAGATGGAGCCTAAGACTTCAGTCGAGTACTATGTAGTAGCCGAGAGTGGCAGGAGAAATGATCACATCTGACGATCAGATTAGATTACAGACGAAACGCCACTCGGATGGCAGTGCTTGTCCACCCAGTGCCACTTGCTTGTCTTATTCATGTCAACGCTCATAGGTATCCGGGGAGTGACAGAACTCGGAGCCGCTTGTTTCAATCTCTCATAAGTCAAACAATCAGACACCACATAGGTCTCATTATGCCTCATCCTGTGCGCGCACAAATTGCCAAAGACACCCTCGCCGCCGTCGCCGCCGGTTCTTATACCGACACCAATGGGACAAAACACATCGTTCCAGATCTAGGCGGCGTAGAAGAGGCTACGAAATACTATCCCCCTGAAGACGAACTGGCGTCTGCATGGAAGTCCTCATCTTCGAACGAGAGTGTCTCAAACGCAGACATCTTGCTGTACCGGGGCTCGACGATACAAGGACTCAGATTCTGCGCGAGAGAGCCACGTGGGAAGGTCGGGGTGCTCAACTTCGCCTCAGCCACGCGTCCCGGAGGCGGATTCCTGTCCGGGGCAAGTGCCCAAGAAGAGAGCCTCGCGCGGTCATCAAATCTGTACTCCTCGCTGATGTCTCCAGCGGGACAGCGGTTCTACCACACGCATACCCATGTTACCAAGAGCAAGTTTTACACGCATGCGATGGTGTTCACACACAGCGTGACCTTTATGAGGGACGACGATGGGACCTGGGCGGCGCCAGCCACTGCGGACGTCCTGACAAGTTGCGCGGTCAACGCTGGTGTCGTGCGACAACGGAGTGCAAACGAGAGTGATATCGAGGAGGCGATTGAGGAGGTTATGAAGGAGCGGATGGGGCGGCTGCTCTGCATTTTTAAGCAGAATGGCATCGAGGACGTCATCCTGGGAAGTTTCGGTACAGGCGTCTTCCGCAATAATGTGGCCACTGTCGCAAAGCTCTGGATTGAGTTGCTAGATTCGCGGTTCAGACGGTCTTTCCGCAGGGTCGTTTTCGCTATTATCGACGAAAAGACATTCGCAGTGTTCAGAGATATTTTCTCGTCATCGGAGATCGAGTTTATTCAGGCAAAAGTAGAGGAGTTGTAGACAGCTCCACTCAGCGTTGCATTGACTGTCGCGTCGGCGGGATTGATCGGGCTTGACAAATCATCCACCGGCAGGCATAGTTCCCCATTCAACTTCTTCAGCGCTTGTTGCTCGGTCATCGACCACACTCACGCGCCATTCCCTGATTCCAAACGTCGCCAACATTCTTTACAATCACTCTCTCCGGTCCGGATTGACCGGAACGCGTAATATAAATCCCCGGTGCGCGATTCGGAGATTGCTCAGCAAACATATCTCAAAACCTACGACCATCACTATCATGGCTCAGAAGTGCGTCCGATGAACCAGGGAATGCACTCGCAATAACGCAGACATCTTATTCTTGCACAGAGACTACGGATCGCCTCTCAACCGCCTGTCTTGGCTGCGCTCGTCTCCTTCATTCCTGAACGCCGTCGCACTCTCCCCGAAAGCAAGATGGCTCGTGTCTAAAGGACACAATCAACTCGTCTCCGTCCCCGCATCGGATCCGAACGCGCGGCCCAGTATCGCTACGCTCTCCACGAGCCAGCTCCAGCCGTTCCTCGGCCCCGCACCGTACTTCGGGCAGGGCAAAGACGAGGGCGGCCTGCTCACCGCGGAGGAGCAGATCTCGTTCACGGAGGCGGTCCGTCATCGTGGTGTCCGGGTGGTCTTCTTGGGTCTTCTTGACACTTTGTCCGTAGCCAATGCGCTCCCGTCATCCGACTTCACGGACCCCGAAAAGGCCGTGGCGAACCTCACGGGCGCACCGTACTTTGCCATAGACGTCAGCGAGGCGGAAGATGATGCGGATGCTCTGCTTAGTTTGGAGAAGGATTCGTTAGCTCTCAGCTGGGCGGAAGCCCGGGGGGTCATGATGGGTCTAAAGTTGGATCAAACGTCGCTAGACCTGTTCAACGAGGCGCGCAGTATGGTAGATTGGAATCGGCGCAACAAAGTTCGTTCGTCCTTCTTCCCCGTCGTCATCTCTCTGATGTTGCCCTCAGTTCTGTCCTGGATGTGGCAGCCCGACGTACTCTCAATGGGGCGGATGGAAAATCTCCTGCTCGACACTTCTCCCCTGGGCTGACAACACCGGCAAAAAGCCTTGCCCCACGGCGTGCGTGCGATCCGCTTTTCATTGAGCTCCCTGATCGAACATCCGCACAGTCGAGGACTGCAGAATTTCGCTCACCCTCGCACAGATCCGGTCGTCATCATGATCGCCATAGACGAGACTGGAGATAAAATCCTGCTTGGCCGAGGGAAGAAGTACCCTGGCAAATTCTACTCTGCGTTGGCAGGTTTCATGGAGCCAGGAGAGACGTTTGAAGATGCAGTGGTTCGAGAGATGTGGGAGGAAGCTGGAGTCAAGGTCACGAATCCAGTCTATCACTCGGCGCAGCCTTGGCCGTTTCCTGCAAACCTGATGGTACGGTATCTACATATCGGCTCAAACGGGCTCTCGACTGATATCTGACTAGGTCGGGTTCTACGCCAGAGCAGACTCTTCGCAACCCATCAGATTAGATTTGGATAATGAGCTGGTTGGTCAGTCCTCTCATCGACTCTGCTCGTCGAACGAGGTCTTAATCGCAAACAGATGCGCGCTGGTACACTCGCGAGGAAGTCGTGTCGATTCTCGAACACCCCAAAGGTTCGTATTTGAGCAACACAGACAACAAGAAATTCCAGGACATTGCCGATGGGACCACCACCAAAGACAATGAAAAGCCATCGGTCGTGGACGAGCCGCCGTTCCGCGTTCCGCCAGTGACGGCGATCGCAGGTGTTCTCATCCGAGACTGGGCGTACAAGAAGATCCACGTGGACCGTTTGGGATTAGACAAGGGCGGTCTATAGCGTACTTATGTTGTAATCAAGAGTAGAGAGTTGTATTATTGACATTGATGTGTAATTCTTCAATCATTTCGAATCGCGCGGCGGGATGTCGTCCAACAACCAGCCGTGAGAGTCCGTTCGCGACCTATGAACAGTGAAAACAAGAATGAGCGTAGTTCGTGTGCTCCTACGGTTTGTTCTTCGCACGCCGCCGAGCAGCTGCGAGTGGCTGGAAATCCGAGGACGAAGCAGCCAAACGTGAAGGTCGAGGAGTTTTGTCAGCCGAGACCAGCGAGAAACTCCCGTCGTCGTCCGAACAAGCGTCGACGACCGCCATACACGAAGACGACGGCGAGCTTTTTGGCGGCCGGGCATCACTATCGGATTCCGAGACCATGTGCTTCTGCTTGCTCTTCCATTTCTTGGAAATCAATTCGTCTGAGCTGCTCAACTCGAGTGTCGGTCGCCGACTCGGTTTCGGGGTCGGCTCCGCTTCACTGCGGCTTGTGAAGGGCAGAGTATCGTCGTCTTCTATCGTACCCCGGGACGAATCAGTTTCCATGTCGCTGGAGGCAAGCACAGCTGCTCTCTTTTTGTGCAAGGCCTTCGGCCGGGGTCGAGCTTGAAGGGGAGACTCTTCGTCTATAGTCACCAGCTCATCCGAGTTTTCCTTCTCTGTCTTCCGCTTCGCTCTCGTTTTCGCCTTGGGCTTTGAGTCAGATGTCTCTCGAATTGTATCCTGGTGCATCATCTCTTCCTCTTCCCTCTCTTCGACCTCCAACTCCTTTCGACGTCTGCGGGCTCGTTCGAGAAGCATCAGGTCCGCAACACCCAGATCATTCTCGTCAACAACTTGACTCATGGACGACTTGCCCCACTCGCCGCCATCCTCCGGAAACATTGCCACCCCGTAGCTCGCGCTGTCTCTCAATACCTGCACGGCAGTCGCTCGGTCGTCCGCATCATCAACGTCCATGTTCATGTCCTCAATCACGAGACGCATTCCGACTTCTGGAATGAGAATCCGCTGCATGAAATCCCGAGGAGTCAAGGGCAATACCAGATCAGGATTGATGCTGTCCAGCGGGAAGCTATTGTACAAAGTCTGGTTGATGATCATGGCGCCCATTTCACCGTAACTGCGCAAGTTATCAGTGCAAATGCACCGCGACTGATGCACACACGCACTATCCAGGTTGCGTCTTCTCGAACGTAGCAAACTGTCCTCGAACGCTCTTGACGGCTTTACTGCCCTTGTTTTTGAGATCCCTGAGAAGGTCTCGCCAAAATATACACTGCATGCGCGGGCCGCGGTGAGGTTCATCCGAGTCCGACTCGTCCGCATTTTTCCCGAAAACAATTGCGGCGCCGCGGTCTTCGAGAATGGCCCGCAGAGCATGCTGCATAGCCTGGACGCGACTCTGGAGACGCTCCCAATCAATGGACTTCGGCCATCCTTTCGCATCGGCTTCGGGGAGAATCTCGCTTTCAAATCTGTGTCGTTGGCATACAGCGACAAAGACGTTCATGGGTGCTTTTCGACCTAGCGGATTCGACGGGCGAGCGTCACGGTATGATTTCCTGCGAGTTTCCGCCAGCAGTCTGCGCAACAAGGGTGTCGGATGCAAAGGAAGCCGGGTATCACAGAAGGGACAGAGCATCTTGGGATCTGTGTCTGGGGAGATGAGACCTGCAGTAGAACGAATGAGTAGACAGATAAGGCAATGATTGTGATAATTACACAGTGCGCTGTCTCCCTCGTAGTCAAAAGGTTCCTGTTCCGTTGAGGAGCTGCCCTCGGTCGGTGAGTAGCATTGAGAAGATAAGGTCCGACGCACATAGAGACACTCCTGACCCGCTTCTTGTCCCTATCCTCGTCACTACCGGCTGAACGGCGCTTGGCTGGGGAGTTGCTGGAGCCCAACTTGACATTTTTCAGAGGGAATGGCCGGATCGGCGCGCTCTTCTTTGACTCTCTTCTTGCGGCATTTTTGGACAGCGGGGACACTGCATTGAGCGGGAAAGGTCGCACTGCCGGCTCAATAACCTTCCCTTTCCCTTTTCCCTTGTCATTCCTGCTACGCCCTTCCAAAGCTCTGGAATTATTGCCCAAAGGGGACGGCGCAGGATATCCACGAGTCTTGGGAGTCGGCGAAGACGCCCTCGCTTTGCCCTTGGAGCTCTGCAGGGGCGAAGGCCGCGGGAAACTTCTGCTCGCGGACAGTGTCGATTTCGGCTCGGAGTCGGACCCAGACTCATCATCGGTAAAGACGGATGTCTTTTTTGAAGCAGGCTTAGCAAGGGGCTTCGATTTGGCGGTCGAAGAGGATGCCACTGGTCGTGCTAGCGGCCTAGGTTTGGGCCGTGCGGGCGCGGGATCGTCGGGCGATGTTACGAGTTTGACGCGTGCTTCGCGTACAGAACGCGCATTGGATGAAGAGGATTCTGTTATCCTCTTTGTACGGGCAGGGGATGTGTTTTTGCCCGTCGCTTTCGACTCAATCGTCTCCTGCCCGGTCGCGGTACTGGAGAACGCACTGTTCGTCTTCTTGAAACGAAGCTTTCTGATCGCATCCCTTGTGCCCGGCATCGGTTCCGATAAGATTCGTTGCGGTAGTTGAGATGGGCGCGGTATCAGATCCAGCTCGTCCTCATCGTCAGAACATTGAGATGAACGAAGCTGGACGCGTCGTTTCGATGACTCTTGTTTCCCAAAAGTATTGAGATCCTCGAATAGTGAAGGACGGGAGAATGTCTGGGGGTATCTTGCCGCTTCCATAGCTGCAGAGGCCAAGTGGTCGCGGAACGTGAGTAGGAAGGAAAGATCACCACCGTCAAGCACGTGATGTTTAGGGGCTATTGCGTATAGCAAAGACAAAGTTGAGATTCAGATAGCAGTACACAAAGCATGGGATAATTAATACACGGTAGAGTCTTGTAGGCGCCACTGGCCGAGAGGGCCCCAGAGCCACAATCCGCGTGGACGAGCAACCGCTGGGGGAGGGGCTTGTAAATTAGTAGGGTGTTCACTTCGTTGTTCCAGCTCGTATTCTTCTTCCTCTGAAGCTGGTTTTGGCTCTCCGGGCCGCAATCCGACCGTTCTCCACGCAAAACTACCAAGGCCCCAACCATTTCTGACCGGGTCAGACCGGCCTATCCGTTCTTGTCGTTCAGCAGCTTGTTGGCGAGCGGCGGCCGCATGTTCGTATCTGAGTGAAGAGTACCAGTGATGGACAAAGCCGGGTAGGAAACGGAAGACAGGCGAAGTGGATGACGACGAGATCGATGCGGCCGAGGTCGCGGACCGTTGGACCGGTGCATTCGGCTCTGGATCAGATGAGGACTCTGCCGGCGGGGGACGTCGCTGCCGAAGGATGGACGAGATTGTGGTCTTGGGTTTCTTCTTTTGGTTCTTTCGCTCGAGTTTCCGGGCAGCTCGCTTCTCCTTTCGCCGCTGAAGCCGCTCAAACTCCTCCTCATCGTATCCATATCCGTTGCCCGCGCCGACCCACCACCACCAACCAAGGAAGCTCTGCCACAGCACAACCGCCCACATCAATGGCGGGAGCCACATATACTCTTCTTCTCTTGGGACATAAAGGAAATTGAGGCCGGTGCTGAGTAACGCCAGAGTCAAAGCCGCACAGCCGAAGGCAGCCGTCCCTCCGTCTGTCCTCCATGCGTCATGGCGCTTGACCAGCAACCCCCATACAAACAGCGCGGATGTGAAGAGAAGCGAAAGAGTCGCGTTGCAAACGTTGCGGACGGCCGAGGCGATGTTGTTGACTGAGGCAGATGCGCCGATGGGGATGAGTTGCATGATGGCAGCGACGACGGCTAGGGGACCTAGTGAACAACATTAGTTTGAAAAGAGCAAAATATGGATGCCCCACCGAGTAGAGCGAAAATCAGTCTTGCTTCCATACGCGACGGATACAAAAGGGTTAAGAATTGAATATGGGTGATCTGTATGTCAATTCGTTGGCAACGCGAATGGAGTAAAAACGTCGACCGTACCTGTATAAGTCCAGAGGTCGATGCATTCATGATCAGCCACGTTGCCCTCTCAGCGATGCTCCACCCGTAAGTTGAATTATCAGTTGGCGGCACGTTAACGGCAAGGTAACTGAGCATATATGGCCAATGCTCGCTCTCATTCATCGTCGCAGCCAGGACGACGTGGAGGGTGGCAACCAGCGAGATGAGGAGGGTGCTGACCCCCGATATTTGGAGGACATAATTCACAGGAGCGAGAGGCCAATGATATTGCGCGGTGAAGATGAGATGGATGAAGAGCACGGCCACGAGGGTGAGGACGACTCCAGTGAGCAGAATCTGCACGGGGAGGGAGCGGGCGAACGCCGGCCTGTACTTGAGGTATGGATCTCCAGCATATCTGGAGATGGGGTAAGCGGGAAGACCAGCCTGCATGGTAGCAAATGGCTAAATACGCATAAGAGTGACTTGAGTTGTCCGAGCTCTCCGCCGCTGCCGAGGCGACAAGACATAACAAAGCCAACATATACCCAAGCAAGTTGCGGGGTCTTGGAGCCATGGCACGCTGGCTTGGCATAGGCCAGGCAAGGCTTGACGCCGGCGGATAAGAGGATGGAACAGGACAAGTGATGATGAGATCGCCTGATCCAGTCATCGCCACTCTCCTTTTCTCCGAGCGTGCCTGTCTGCAATTTCATACTCAGTGAACCATGTAAATCGCGGTGAAGGCAGACGAACTCGCTCATTTTCCTGTGAGAGTTTACCTCGTGCCAAGAAATTGCCAAATGTCTTGGGCTGCATGACGCCGACTAGATCCGCTGAAATTGACATGCAACTTGGCCTCGCCGGAAATCATCTTCACAAGCTCTATAAACAGGTCTGAATTAGACGCCTGGAAGTGACCATACATACATCCCAGCTCGCACAGAACAGCGCCCTGTTTACGCCCTCTTCTTGTGTGGATCTCGAGGTCCGCCGAAACCAATATGTACGGTCGACACGTAAAGCACGACCACATTCAATTTTCTGCGCCAAGGACCAAGCCAGGTGCCTGTTCAACAGATCGGGGGATGCTGAGCGCTGATTTCCCCATGTTATCCGCCAACAACTGGATCTTTCCATTGAAATTACATCTCCACAGCAGCGGCTATTGAGATGTTATGACTCGAGCAATCATCTCCGAGCTATGCGCAATATCCTTGCCTGCCGCTGATTCCACTGACAAAGAATTGTAGTAGTACTCGCATGTATTCCAGCTACTCCGATCCTCTCCCCGAGGGTTTTATCTGTCCTCGTCTATCAAGTGCCTTCCTACTTACATAAGTGTCTTCAAGAACCTACCTACCTGGATCATTCATTCTGCAATCAGTTCTGGAATGATGGACATAGTCAGTTCTGCTGCAAGGGCAATGAAATTATCAGATGGGTCAAGGTCGGAGTCCCAGGCAGCGTGATATCCTTACAATATAAAATAAGGCGAAAAAGGTGTCCGACGTATTGCTCCTCCAGGAAGAATTGTGCACTATGGGTAGGCGCGAATCGATGCGTGGCCGGACTGGGATATCATCGATGCGATCAGCAAAAGGGCTGCAGAGGGAATTGAACCCCCGACCTCCTGCAATGTCGTGAACGTATCGATACACTTTAGAGTGAACCGGAATTCTCCCAAAGCAGGAATCATGCTTCTAGACCATACAGCCGTGGGCACTTGCACCGACAGTAACCCTTATGACAAAGTAGTACCGAGGACTTGAGTGTGAGTGGACTTCCCCCTGCTCTCCTCGCTTATGCCCTTGGGTTCGAAGGAAACGAGCCCCGCCAACTATATTCTTAATGTATCAGATTACCAGTGTCCGTGTCCTGTAGAAACTTGAGACTCTGTGACATGGATTCTCTCCGATAATCCTCACACACCGTGCAGAATGATGGCGAGCATGTTAGCTGTCCGCAATAAACACTATTACACGGTAGGTATATATATCACCAAAGGAATAATACTCAGCCCGTCGATGAACTTGACGGCCCCTGGGATACAGGTGTCTGTCCGAACGCAAGCGGTGCGACCAGAGTGTATGCGGTGAACCCTCCGATATCCGAGCTATTTCTGCTACTAGGCGTTAGGCTTCGTGCCGTAGGGAAAGAGGCCTGGCCAAAGACCGGATGCCGTTCTGATGTGGTCAGTGGCTGGCCCAGCACAGAAGACGAGGTCGGCGGGACAACAAAGGTAGCGGGCTTGAGCTCCAGCGGCGGAGGAGGCAATGACCGATGCGCCTCGTCCGCCCGCCTCAGCTCGGCCTCGAATGCATTGGCAATATCGATATTCCTGTACAGATTGGAGTGCTGGATCAGTAATGTGTGCTGGGCAACCCTGGCCTCTCGGAGTTGAGATATCTGCCACGTTGCATCCAGTCCAAGCTCCCTCGCTTCGTCCATCGACATCGATTCCTTCCGAGAGGCGATGTCGGTATATCCCGAGCGCATCCAGGCGGATACGTCATAGCGTCGCCCGAGCAGAACTCGCTGGATGGGATCCACTGTCTTGCTGTGCGACTCTAGCTGGCGGATGGCCAACTCACGCGCTTGTTCGAATAGCCACATGTTGGCAAGCTTCAGGACCGAGATCCATTGATCGGCGCTCAGCACCGGTGTCGTGGGAAGAGAGGATCTGGAGGAAAGCGTCAGCGGCTGATCCCCAGCATTCGAATGAACATAACACGCGCACAATGGATAGAGGACCGTTAATAGCGCATCAAAGTCCTTGGAGGCAATCCCTTCCAGTTTGACAGGATTTTCATCGCTCGAGCCTTCCCCGTCAGGTGAAGGAATGGAGAATGCTGTTCCAAAGACACCAGATTTGTTCTCGAATTGATATCGCGGAACCTTGAAGAGCGTGTTCTCGACCTGTAGGAGCGGAAATCATTGGTTTTTGGCGAGGGAACGGGGCCAGAACAATTTGACCAAGAACACGATAGGTTCAAGATAATAAGTCGAAGCCTTCTCAATCGTGGCCTGGTGGGTTGACTTTGGAGACATGGAGGTAGATGCCAGTGAGAAACTGTCAGGATTGATGCCGTCCGTCAAGGTACTCACTGGTAATACTGATGCCGACAAAGCAGTGATACAGTGATAATCTCATCTAATCTCGTTCGGAAGATCTGGACGACACTACATAGCACTACATCGGTACCCTCTGCTGGCGTACAGTCGTGGCTTTGACTGCCTAGGGAAAGCCGTAGTAGATTTTAAGGAGGATCGGGGCGCAAACCCATGGGTCGGAGATGCATGTTGACCAAAAACGGGGGCAGTTCGACCGGAGACAACATCGGCCCTGGCTTATTGATGCTATCGGGTTCGAACGGTGTCAAGACCCTCAACGAGAAAGGATCGCGGCTGTTGGAGATGCAGGCCCCGAAAGCGTCGAGTCGAGTGTGGATGTTGCGGAGGTAGCTGAAAATGTGGTGCGGCGTGGCTCTCAGCATACACTGGCATTATGGAGGATTGAGCACTTGCAGTAACGCGTTGAATCCCGACCAAGATATACTAGTCCAATTCGAGAGGAATATGGCCGCTGGATCCGTATATGTTATAAGATGGAAAGGAGAGCATGGTAGCAACCATTCCCGAGCTGTTTGTAATTAGTGTCGCGGCATACTTTGTCTAGTTTGCTCTCCACCGATCATTCGAACGTGCTAATCAAACAGCCTTGATAACAAGACGACCGAAAAGCATATCTGAAATACGATATGTTCTAGATAGAAAGTGGCGTCTTTCTTGTGCTTCACGACCGAGTCTAAGTCCTGCTTGGTGGCAGTTTCTGTCATTATGGTTGCGGACGGACAGGGGTTGATGGCATCACGCCAGCGTCTCTGAAAGTCTTGACTCGACCAGCCATGGCGCGCACGGCCAAGCACCCATGCACCATTGTTATAAAACTAGGTCGGAGATGGGACTAAGATTCAACTGGCGTACGCTCATGTATGTATCTGCGTTCTTTCAGGGACGTCCTCAATTGTTCATGAGAAAACGCACCAGCCACTGCTGTCGACGCTTTCTTCTGTGGTGGAAACTGTAGTTAACCTTCGACGCGAGGGACACAAGGTTGTGCTGGTCAGCTCGGGGCTATCGGTGTCGGTCTCAAGAGAATGAACATGGCAAGCAAACCAAAAAGTCTGTCCGGGAAGCAGGTGTGGATCCAACGTTTGCTTTTTGTGACTTGCTTCTCAAGGAGTTTAGGCTCTTGCGGCGATTGGTCAAGGGCGTCTGATCGCACTCTGGGACAATCTGTTCAGTCAGGTCGAACAGCCGATCGCGCAAGTTCTGTTGACGCGAGGGGATATTGCAGATGTGGGCCATTACGAGATTTCTAGTGAGCCAGCCATCTAATGTTCGGAAACAGCGGACACGCTACTTGAATGCTGTCAACACCTTCAAGGAGTTGCTCTCCATGGGCGTGGTTCCCATCGTGAATGAGAATGACACGGTTTCCGTCAGCGTACGCAGTTCAGCTCTGTCATCTGAGCACCACTCAACTTCCGGCTCAGGAAATCAAATTCGGCGACAATGATACATTATCGGCCGTAACCTCTTCAATGATCCATGCTGACTACCTATTTCTTCTGACCGACGTGGACGGCCTATACACATCAAATCCCCGTAAAGATCCAGATGCGAGGCAGATTGAGGTGGTGAACTCTGTGGCGGCTATCCGCTCGCAAGGTATGGAGCTCATCCTCGAGTGGAGCAGAGGCTAAACACTTGCAGTGAGCACTCACACGCTTGGTTCCAGTCTCGGCACAGGCGGAATGGAAACGAAGCTCATCGCGGCCGAAATCGCGACTGGAGCCGGGGTGACCACGATTATCTCGTCTAGTAAAACGCCGCAGAGCATTTTCTCGATCATCGAATTCCACAATTCCCGGGTGTCCAACCCAGGAACGCCCTCGGAGTCTCGTTCTGGCAGGACCAGTCCAACAGTCGAACCAACAAATCCCACAATCGTCCGCCCGCCACACACCGTTTTCACGCCAAGTCCTGTCCCGATGCGTGACCTCAAGGCCTGGACGACCCACACGCTATACCCAGCGGGCAGTGTTGTGATTGATTCGGGCGCTCACCTCGTGCTATCACGACGCGAATCTGGAGGCCGGCTGCTCGGAGTCGGTGTCCACGGCGTCATAGGCGCTTTCGCATCCGGCCAGGCTGTGCGAATCGTCATTCGGAAACCGGTAGAAGGCATCACGGACTCGGAATCCGCCGCGCTGCCAGGTGCCTTATCCAGGACGGCTTCCTCCTCGGAACTTGTCTCTGCATCCCCTCTTCCTCCGACACGACCCGTCGAGCGAAATTATGCTGAATCCGACATAATTGAGGTTGGCCGAGGACTGGCGAACTACAATTCGGCGCAGATCGACAAGGTCAAAGGATTGAACAGGTCAGCACGCTTTTACATTACTCGTCCCCGCTCGTTCTCATTTCTCGGATAGTTCTTTCATGACGCAGTTGCTGGGATATGCAGACTCGGAATACGTTGTAGAGAATATCTCCATTAGAGTTCCTCCGTTGTCTTGATAAAGTACTAGCCTCAGAGATTGCTGAGTAAGCATCTGCAATGCTGTGCCGATCGCAAATGATTAGTTTTTCCTCCACTCTCAAATCGAAACCTTCATGTTATAGTCCTTCTCCGCGCATTCATCACATTCTCCTCCTCATTTATCCTTTCGTCTTGCGTTCTCCTTATGTATCACAACAACTCTATCCGAATCCTAACGGGTGTGTTCTGCCTCAGTGTCTTGGCCGCCCACTAACACTGATGCAGGGAACAGTCACCCGGAGCTCGCCCAGGCTGTGGTCGAGCGGTGAGATACTGCTTTCCGCGAGAAAGCATTTCGGTCGATCGACTGGTGTTTTAATGCCTTGAAACCCAGGCTGAATGTCCCCCTCGTCCCTTGCACGGTGAAGAAGTTCTCCAACGGCGAGATCAACGTCAAAATCTCCGAGTCCGTGCGCGACGAGGATGTGTTCATCCTGCAGTCCGGCTGCGCCGATGTCAACGACAACCTCATGGAGCTCCTCATCCTCATCTCCGCCTGCAAAACGGCATCCGCTCGCCGCATCACCGCCGTCATCCCCTGCTTCCGTACGCGCGAAACGACAAGAAGGACAAGTCCCGCGCACCGATCACCGCGAAACTGGTCGCCAACATGCTCGTCGTGGCTGGGTGCGACCATGTCATCACGATGGACCTGCACGCGAGTCAAATCCAGGGTTTCTTTGACATTCCGGTGGACAACCTGTGGTCCGAACCCCTCATGTTGACCTACATCAAGCGACAC